GATGAACACTAACATTAGGGTTTCCTTGAATATCGATAAAATTGTTTTCTTTGTCATGATATTGCCAGAAAAGGCTTGTAATTTCTACCGATTTGGTTTTGCTTGTAAATCATACAAAGTATGATCATACTAACAATTACCCCCTCTCCCAAAGGAAGCCTCTAAAAAGAAAGATACTCTGTAAAATACTCATTCCTCGTGTTAAGGATTGCACAGTTGAAGAAGAAGTAGCATTCCAAAGACCAAATTGCTTCTTCATATCACCATTCTTTATGCAGTAAAATCTCCCTCTTCACCCGTTCTTACACAAACCAGCAACCAATAACGACTAACAGTGATACATACCAAAGAGAAAATATTTCATGACTATTTGATTAAGACTAAAACATTTAATTTATATCAGACTCGATTAAGCCCGCCTATATTTCATATCTTAAATCAGAGGATTAACGAAACTTATCATTGTATATTGGTATTTTACCATTTTTGCACCGTTTGTTTTAATATATATATGGAGTGATGTTTTAGTACTTCCTTCGTTTTTGAATATTTGTTTACTTTTTTGTTGTTAAAATCGATAAATTTTGATCACAAACTTAGTAAAAACGTTATCATATATATTGATACAAAAATAATCTCATTAAATTCATGAAATTAAATATTTTTGATACTCGTATTATTTTATTCAATTAATATACGGTATATATATTTTAAAATTGATGTATATTTTAAAATTAAAAATGATTGATTGTAAAAAATTAAAACTACACAAATAATTAGAATATGAAACATGTTTATTCGTTATGACAATGGGGAAAGGCTGAGATTTGTACCTCAGAAGGTTTGGCCGTGGGATATCTAAATGGAAGGCGACGAGGGGTTGAAGGTGCAGATTTAGCAGACAACGAAGGCAAAGTGCGGGAGAGCCATGACTCCGATGGAGATTCCGGCAATGGCGGCGGCGAAACCGGAAACTCAAAACTCAAATCTGCTGAATGCCTTAATTTCCTACTCCTCATCTCCTCCTTCACACACCTTTCTTCGTCTTCATCGAATCTATACGACGAAGTTTGCAGATCTAACCCTAAATTTTCTCGATTTCTCATATACTCCTCTCTTTCCGCTCCATCATCATCATCATCATCATCATCACCGTCCTCATCCTCATCATCTTCACCATCATCATCATCATCAGTGAAAGTGAAATCTGCAGCGAATTCTTCTTCGTCTTCGTCTTGCTCATTCATCGTCATCCTTGGAGAATCTGTTTCTGGAGTTGAAGATTTCTCCATTTCCTGCATTGAATTAGGACGATCTGCAGCCATGAGATCTTGAAGCTTTCTGCAGAACTTTTTGCAGGTTCTCATGGCGTCAAGCCCCACGCTGGCTGCGAATCTGTGACTGGTATTAAGAGCATCTGAAATCTGCTTGGTCACATCACCCTTTGGTCGCTGCAAATTAATTAATCAAAGTTCATATGTGAATAGAACTCACTCAATTGAGTCATTAAACAGATTGGATTATAATTAGCTCATCTTTTCTCTCTAATTTTTTCGATGTAGGATACTTAAAGCTAAGCTGGGACAAATACCTCATTATTTACTCTCGTGCACGAATGCGCAAACGAGTATTTTTGCGCTCTACGAAAGCTTGTTGCGGAAATGGGATTCACGATGAAAATTGAGCTTCTCACGCAAAAGCGAGGCACCCCTCGAAAAACTTTAGGGGGGAAACCGTTCGTTTGTACTTCGGCGTTGTCTTCTCCTTTGAAATCGTGTGATTGGTGATAACGTCGTATCCTTCTCGGTCCTTGATATGGCCCTTGATTTCTAGGGGCGTATATGGGCATTTCTGAACATTTTCCCTTATTTGCTGGCAAGAATAGCCCGATCATGAAGTCCTTCGTGTGTGGGTTTGTCCTGTCGGTTGCGTGGGACCCTTTAAAGAAGACAAAGTTTGTTTCTTGTTGTTCTTCGACGTTCGTGAAACTTAGCCTCCTTCTAACGGCTTTATCAAAGCATTGATGCCTGACATTTACCGTTCTATCCCCGGGAGAAGATTTAGGTTTCCCAGGGCTATCTTCCCACACAAAGGGCACAACCCCGGGGCTCCTCACTGGCTCGTTCTCCTTGTCCTTTTTGTCCTCATCTTTACTACTCTTAGGGGACGACGAAATTCGCCTCACAGATAGAATTGGTTGATTCAGTTTTAGTTTCTTCTCTTCATCAACATTGTTTCTCAACATTTTTGTCTTTTAAACAAGTCTTCTTGTTGTTATGCCTCTCTGCAGCATCAAATAATCATGTAACACATATCATTAGATAAGAAGAAACAAATTATTCTCTATATAAATATCATATAATTACAATTGGTCTTGGAATTTAAGTTGATTTAAAAACAAATTAATGGTTTAATTTGAGGACATTCAAATGTGGGAATAACACATTTTGAGAGAAAAAAATCATTTCAATATCAAATCCAAAAATAGTGCAGCATCATAAACACAATTTTAAAAAAACTTAACATGGGTTGTATATATGCAGTTTTTTTTAAAGAAAATAATAACAATTATTACCTTATAAAAACAGAGAAAAACAGAGAAAGTTGAGATTCAAGATTGATGTTCTTGGATGAAAGATTGTGCCTGAGAAAACCCAACAAAAAGCTAGATATATATAAAGTGGTTAGAAAGGTTAATTGAAATCCTGGAAAGATTAGCAAAAGGAAAGAAGAAGTAATTAAGAATAACCCACTGAAGAGGTTTGCTCATGCATGCATTTGGAATTTCTTGAGAGTGAGTTAAGAGCATTAGCCCTTAGTTTTGATAGCTTCCATTAATGGAAAACTCTCCAAATTCTTTAATAATAAAACTGAACTTATGTATCTTACAAGTGCACAACTAGTTAGTGAATGCTTAGTAATTCATACAATGCTTGTTATTGTTTAAAATTAATGCAAATTACTTCCCTCTCCTTAAGAAAAACTAGGTTCTAATTTTGACAACCGATGTCATAATATGAAACCGGTCTAATTTTGACATTAAATTGTTCCACTTTGAATATTTATATATGTGTTTATAAATATGAAAAATTAGTCTTCTCATGTCAAATAATCAAAGCTATAAAACTTTTAAAATATTAGACCCTATAAAATAAAGGATCTTGCGTGGGTACACACTTGGCACAACCACACGGTCGACTCTAGAAATTTAATGTGTGAAATTTGATTAAACCAAAGAACAAGTTCAGAAAAGTAATCTATATTAGAAAGTTTCAAAATTCTGTAAATTTGAAGAGAGAAAATCTACCCCGGCCCTGGGTATAATTTTCAACATCTTCCAAAAATCTACTATACCAAGCATAATTTAATTTAAAAATTGTAAATTTGTAAAATCTAACAACTTATTTTAATTGTAGGAAAAATAAATCCCCTAAATTTGGTGATAGCACACCCTTATGGCCATATGTACCAAGTATTCTCCATTTGGACATCTTCCCACCTTCTACTCTTCTAATATAATTAATCAATCATAGCATTTTTTATTTTAACGTGTCTTCTCATTTGTAAATTGAATGCTTTTTTTATGAAAGCATGTGATAAATTTGCTTGTTGGAGTTACTTTAGAATATTGAATTGCATGCATGAAGTCGTTATTTTCTAGTAAAAAAAGATTTTGATATCATATATATATAATAAGCCAAATCAATTATCAATAAAAAAAATTAAATATATAATTGAATACCTCGCACGTATTACTATTACATATGAATATACTCTCTGCTTTATTTGTAATGTTTTATTAAGGATATCTTTTAATTTTAATTTATTCTAGTGTTGTTTTGTACAAAAGTTGAATTTTCTGCTGATTGCATTTGTTTTAAAAGTTTGGAACTGTAGTTAGACTTGTGTCCATATAATTCATTCATTCACCCAAAGTCCCAAATGGTTCATGAAAGAAAGGTATTGGTAAGTTTAATTAAAGTGATGGTAATTAATGAATGTGGTCTTAATCATGGAGTTTTAAAAAGCAGAAAAAACGTTTACATTCTCTTAATCAGTGTCCTTAATCATTAATTAATGACCTGGTTTGTATGGTGCTTAGAATTGTTTGGCTACTCCAAAACTCCGACGAGAAGGGAAAAGGGAGGAGAAACAAAAAGATATGCTCTCGTTGAGAGTCGAACTCAAGACCTCCCGCTTACTAAACGGGTGCTCTAACCAACTGAGCTACGAGAGCTGTTGCTTCATGCTTTCTGTTGAAGTTATATATACCTTAATACTTGCGCTCTTCGAATCTAAAGAAATACGGCAGGGAAATTTAGTCCCAAAATGCACTCTTTATACCTGAATTCTTCGATAATTGCATGGTCTATTATTATACATTAAAAAATACATCAAATATCTCTATTTTTTTAAAAAAATTACACGATTTACTTCTGAACATTAAATAGTGTATCAAATATCGTTGAACTCTTCAGAAATTGTATGCTTTATCCTAAACATTTAAATGAAGGCAATAATTTTGGAGATGGTACATTGGAGAATTCACATGGGCCTCATACTCGTAATTTCTGTGCATGAGAGCAACACATTCTCTATCTAGCATTTTGGGACTAACGATGCAACGTTTTAAATTGTTCATGTGAATTTGATGCACTTTTTAATGTTCACGAGTACATCGTGCAATTTTTGAAGAGTTTAAGAGTAAATGATACGGAGTACATTTTTTAATGTTCAAGAATAAACAATGTACTCTTTTTAAAATTATAAAGTTCTTTAAAGGACATTCCAGATACGGTACATTGCTGTTTTATTCTCCAATTTCTTTGGAACTTTCTCTGTCTAAAAACACAATAATGAGTCTCGTAATGCAAACACCTTTTGGCCAAAAAAAAACCCATTTTAGGCAAATAAATTTTTTGACATTCGAAAACAAACAAATGAATTTAAGATGCTCCATCCGATCCAAATTGAACTTTCACGTTTACTTTTTCACAAGTTTAAATGAAAGTTTATTATTGATATTTATGTGAAATAATATTAACCCATAACAGTAATAATATTTATCAGGAACGTTTTTGCGAGACGAAAGTAGAAAGTACTCTGTAGTTATTACAATCGATACTTTATCTATCAATTCTATATGCTCCATATATGTTGTGAGGTAGTACCATGTTTGGATCTTTCATTGTGAGGCTCATCAAACCAAGCAACCCAAAAGGAAAACAAGATAAAAATTTACAATGACTCAATGAGAACTACTTGGCTCTTTCCTTTCCCTCCTCCCCACAACCTTCCAAACCAAACAAGGACTAAGTGTGACGGCTGCAATTCTCGCACCTCATCCCACGCCTACAATACATCTTCAATGGCTTGGATGAAAGCGGAAATCTTGTAGGTGAAAAATCCAACCAACATTGGGATCAACTCAAGGTGAATCAGTCCGTATTCGGGGACCACAATCCTTCACAAAAAAAATACGATTTCAAGGGTAAAATTGTCAATTATCGAGAGATGATTGAAAAAAATTATAATCTAATTGGAACTACATAACCAAAATTTTTGTACGCTACCACCCCTTCACAATTCACCTCGTGTTCAAATAACGCGCCCCCATCTCTTTTACACCTATGCAATTTGCCAATTTTAAATTACGCATCCCCCATCTCTTTTACACATGTGCAACTTCAAAAACCCCTTCACAATTCCATGTTCCTTTCAACTTTCGACGCATCACCCCTGCAAGAATGAGGCTTTTCCGGAACCTGTGGGACAAGGCGAAGAAGTTGTTGATTGAACGCTTCTGGCCTACCTACAAGAAGAAGGCGGAAGACGTTTTCTTGGAGGTCTTCGATGAAGTCCTGGATCAGTATCTCGAAAAGGAAGATTCCCATGAGGATGAAGAACCAGAAGATGTTAAAACAGTGATAGAATGGAATGGGGTAGAAGGCGCCCAAAAAGATGAAAAGAAAAAGAAAAAGCAAGGAGGCAATTTTTTCTTCAAACGCCCAAAAAGCAAGGACACACCGTCATTCATGATCTTTCTAAGAAGAAACTTACATGAATCACAAGCATTGCGAGTAACACCAGTCTAGAAAAAGGGCATTCAAAGAAGAAATTGCCTCCTTGCTTTTTCTTTTTCTTTTTCTTTTTATCTTTTTGGGCGCCTTCTACCCCATTCCATTTTATCATTGTTTTAACATCTTCTGGTTCTTCATCCTCATGGGAATCTTCCTTTTCGGGATACTGATCCAGGACTTCATCGAAGACCTCCAAGAAACTTCTTCCACCTTCTTTTTGTAGGTAGGCCAGAAGCGTTCAATCAACAACTTCTTCGCCCTGACCCAGGGTCAGGGAAAGCATCATTCTTGAAGGGGGTGATGTGTTGAAATTTGAAAAGAACAGGGAATTGTGAAGGGGTTTTTGAAGTTGCACATGTGTAAAAGAGATGGGGGATGCGTAATTTAAAATTGCACAAGTGTAAAAGAGATGAGGGGTGCGTTATTTAAACACGAGGTGAATTGTGGAGGGGGTGGTAGCGTACAAAAATTTTGGTTATGTAGTTCCAATTAGATTATAATTTTTTTCAATCATCTCTCGATAATTTTACCCATTTTGGTTATCTTTTTCCCCGTTTCCTTTTTGAACATTGTCTCGTATCTTTCTTCCTCTTTTACAACTAAAAGACTATACCCATACTTTAGCATGATTCACCTTTCTTAGATCTATCTTGAATTTACTACACCACCAAGGGAAAAAATAGAAAGTCAGACATTTTTTCATCTTACATAAAAAACGTGTCCAAATCAAAACGAGAAGAAAGATATCAGATGAAAGTTATTTGATGCTAACAAGCAAAAGATCTTACCCATTCCACCGGTTATAGATCATAACCAAAACAACAGGAATCAATAGTCTTGGCTGCCCTACACCTCCTCTGAAAGGAAAGGCAAAAGTATTAACATTCGTGTAAGCTACTTATTGAAAGAAACCCAAGCACACCCCAGCCCCTTCCTCCTCTTGAAGTGGGGAGGGGGGGGGGGTACTAAAATAAAAGAAGCATGATCTAATACAAAGCGTACTTTACGAGCCCCGAGGCTCCTTGAGTTTGTATGGAATCCACACTGTTCCCAAGCATGCGCAAATATGCCAATGACCCAAGCAAGCCGACGCCATAACTGTGTACATTATGAGATAAAATAACATTTGCTTCGAGACTTCGAGACGCACAAATTTATAAACACTTATTGCCTTGGGTGGGAAAACCATATCGGAATTCCTTGTTGGATTATCCAATTTTATTTTATGAAGTCAATCCCTATTTTGAAATTCATATATTTTGTGTGTGTGCATTTGCATAACTAATCAGCAAACAAAACAACAAAAAGAGCCACAAATTTTAAATAAATAAGCAAAAAAAACACAAATAAAGGGGAAGAAGAAAGAACCTTGCTGCAACTTCGGGAGAATATGAAACATATGTTGAGATGACACCGAAACCACCAATGCCTAAGGTGAGCAGCTGCAGTTTGTTTTTCAACTGCACTAAAACGCATACTCCCATTTATGATAAGAGAAAGAATGGGAATAAAATAACAACAAAAACAACAATGCCACTAGAATCCCACAAGACAAACATACCTAACCCTTACTTGAAAGTTTGGAAGTAGAGAGACCCTCGGCTCAACACAAAAGCACACATAAAGTAAAAACAACACTAGACCCAAAGCACACGGGCACATGTTAAAAGCATGGGCAACACGGAAAAACAAACAAAAATCAGAATATACCTTTATGTATTCTTTCATTGACTGAGCTGCTAATACTTTAGGGTCCCCATTGGGATGTCTCAGTTCTCTGAGCATCAAATCCTGCGAAACCCAGAAATTTCGTCTCAATAAACAGATGTAACATTTTTCTGTTATCCTATGGAGAATGTTTCAGCACCATAAAAAAATTAATGTGTTTCATTTTCACGGAGTTTAAGAAAAAGTGTAGAAAAGTGAAAAAAAAAGTGTGGTTGGAATTTGTAAAGAAGAAAGAGAACGTTTCTAAGCATCATATTCTTTTCATTAAAAGAAAAGTGAAGTTTTTTGGTAGCGATTAAAATGGAAAGAACGGAAATTTTTGCGTGACGGAAGGAGTAAAATGTATGCCAAGTGAAAAGTTCATAACAACAGAAGATGGCATACACCGCCACTGGTTGCTTCCCTAGTATCACTGTTCCACTTCTCTTGCTTGCGTGGTGATGGTTTTTGTCTCCATGTTTGATACATGTTCTTGTCGGTCTGCAAATCATTTCACTTGGAACTGTTATATTGGGCCAAAGACACCACAAAAGGATGCTCAAGATAAAAGGGTTATCTCACACTAATTATATATTTGTACTAGTTTTAGACTCAAATGCAGACATTAAATGTGGTATACTCAACACACCAATGGGTTGAAAGGATGGGCCACCATCGAACGAGCGATTGGCCCACAAAGATCCTTAAATTGAACATAAGTCGCATCAAAAGAATCCTTACTCTATGTTTGGGTGTGGGAATTGCGAAGGGAATTAAAATGCTAAAGAAATGAAAAGAAAGTCAGAGAAAAAAAAAACTTAATCTTATCTGGTCGCTAACAAAATTGGTGAGATTTTTTTTTCACCAATATTTTTTTGATTGATAGGGGGAGGGTGAGGTGGGCGAGAAGGTGGAAGGGAAGGGAGAAGTTTGTTATTTTATGTCCTTGTCCTCACAAAAAATGATGGAAATCGCATTTGTAATTTTACATCACGTTTCCATTACCTTTTATTTTCCTTTGAATTTAACATAACATCTCCATTACCTTTTCTCTTTCTTCCAATTTTCTTCTTTTCCTTCTAACCAAACACCAAAATTGCCACTTTTTTTACCTTTTTTCTTTTCTTTTCCTTCCCGAATTCTTTGAACCAAATAAAGTCTGAAGAAATTAGGTTTATCTCCTACTTATATACTAGACTCAAACACAATAGACAACCAAACTCAACACGAACATTGAAAGTTGAAACTGAAGGATGAAGTAAATAGCTCCAAAGAAAGGTGATATCACACTTCAATTTCCTCAGCTTTTTCTGCTCGGAAACGTTTTGAAGGTGATGCCAGTTCCTTGCTCAAGTCCACTTCCAAGCTTTAAAAAAGCCAAAGTTCAATAATTTTATCATAAGAAAAAATCATTTACAATGACACACAAAATAAAAACAGCAAAAGGATGCCTACTTGTCAAGGTTCAATACGCGGTTTATGCTTATAAATCCATGCGTTCTCTCTTCCTGTGTGAAACCCAACCAAGAATGAGCATATCAACACATGTATAAGTTCTATGGACAATGAACAATTAAGAAAAATGGGTATCTTGTTACCATACATAGCATTATAATTTGTTTTGCAAAGAGTTTCTCCACACCATAATGATACAATATCAAATCATTCTTATCATTTGACCTTCAACATGTGTTTGGAAATATGAAAACGGTAGGGAAGGAAAAAATGCTTAGTATTTTTTAATGGTTTGTTCTCTCTTAGAAAATGCAAAGGAAACCCCGGTTTTATTTAGATTTCTTGGTCTTTAACCTTTTTAAAATTTTACGTCCATTGCCAGTGGAGCTAAAGACACTTACTTCGCTTGTTACTTTCTAAGAAGTTTTAAGCAATAAATGCAACAATGCATCAAAGGTCTAGCCGAAACAGCCAATATTTTTACAAGGGTAAGGTGGGGTACATCTCGACTCCAATGGAGTTGGGATTATACTGGGTTTTTGTTATTTTTATTGTCAATCTTAAATATATATATATATATATATATATATATAATGTGTTTAAACGAATATCTAAAATTTATTTATTGAGTTTCAACTCAATTTTTACTATTAGCCCCACATGTATCTTCTTCAAAATTTCAACTCTATTTAATTTCCCATCATTTTCCTTGTTTCAATATGTTGAGGATACAATCCACATCGAACACTCTGTAATAATATGCACTAGGAGTAAACAATTCTACATAATACTCTGTAATAAAACTTCTGGGAGTAAACAATTCAAGAACAGCCCATATACACAAATGAACCAACAAAAAATCCAATATAACGAATTTCCCATATAATTATTTTCAAACAAATAAAAAAGTTCAGACCTTTGAAGGGTTGGAAGGAAAACCGGATCCATATTCAGCAGGATCCTGGATCAACATCTTCATGCGGCCCACGAAATTTCTGTTCCATATATAATCATCAGAGGTGAGAGGGTCATCATCGACGAGCCAGTAATTTCTGGGATTGGTGGTGGATGGTGCGCCGCCGTACTCCGCCGGCGACACCCCGGCGCAGAGTTTCTCCGTGTTATTCTTCGGCAGTTTCAATTTGGGCGGCTTTTTCTCCGGCGGTTGGTCGGATGAAGATGAGCGATGAGATATGGGTGTCGCTGTGGCGGTGACCGAAAGGTAGCAGTTCAGGCCAGCCATCGGTGCAGAGTACTGTCGTTTCTGGTACGGCGTTGGCTATATGTGTTCGGTTTATCTACTCCTATACGACGTCGTGCTTGGTTGTGTAATGTATATCCCTGCTTTGAATAAAAACTAGCATCGCACGGTCAGCATTTCATTATTATATTTGTCATTAATTAAAATTTAATTAAGTGTTTAATTAATGAGGAAAAAATTTCCTTCTATATAACTTAAGAAATTCCAAGGATAAAGATAATATTCCTACATAATAAATTATTGATAAGGAAAAACTGACTAAATAATATTAAAATATTATTATTATTAATATATTACAAATGACACGTGTTGATAAAATAGAAAATAGACCATTACAACATACTTCAAATATGAGATTAAAGTGTATACATCATGATCATCCAACAACAACAACAAACTGTTTGGTGACTTAAGACTCTCTAACAACTGCGAGAGATTGAAGGACGTAACTCGATTGTAAGGCTAAGGCTTGTGTATTTACTAAAAATAATATTGGGGTATAAAAAATGATCCGATCCAAGCCGGATCTTATTTCAAAATGGGGAAACGGACCGACCCTAAAATCTATGATGATCAGACCGGCCCGGACTGTTATAAATTTTTGAAAATAGGACCCGCCCCTAACCCGGACTGTTATAAATTTTTGAAAATAGGACCCGCCCCTAACCCGGACTGTTATAAATTTTTGAAAAGAGGACCCGTTTGTCCACCCCTAATTGATATTGTTGGTTCCCCCATTCAAAATAAGAGAGTGCCGCAATGGCCCCGACATCCAACTTTCAAATATTTCTTCTTTTTATATTTAATAAATTAATTTTTTTTTCTTTTAGGTATGAAATTTAGGTTTACATGTTATTTGTTTTGTAGAGTATGTTTTAAGTTTACTTGCTCTATTTTGTATTAAATGGGATTGTTCATTGAATTGATTGCAGTGAGTTATTTATTCCTAAAAATATACCATACTCCCTACATCTCACAAAAACATCTTACTTTTCTTTTTCATGCACCCAATTAAAAATTGCATTTTTCTTTTTAAAAAAAATAGTCGCTACAAAATTTATCTCTCCTCTTAATGAATTGTAATAATTACTTTTATATTATTCATCATCTTTCTTAAAATTTGTAAAAGTGAAACTGAGAAGGTTTATGAGATTAAAATAAATAAGTTATATTTATTGTATAAATCATTAAGGAATACTTTTAAAAAATTACATTTTAATATTTTAAATGTTTGTTTCACATATAACTTATTACTCTTTTTGTCCCAAATTATACACACACACACATAGACACACACACATACACACACACACACACACACATATATATTAATCACATCGTTAAACTTTATATTTTTACTTATTCATTTGATAAAATAATACATTTATGTCGTAGATTTTTTTATTTAGTTTTTAGATACCCGGAGTATAAAATTTATTTTTTATTTCCAGCACAAATTTGAAATAAAATTATATTGAAAATAACTTTAATCAATTATCAAAAACTGAAACAGGCCATTTAATTCATGACCTCATGGAGCATGCTCCGCCATTCGATATTTGTCTGTGAAAGAAAGCTCATGAGCGCTTCTTCTAAACCCGATTCTAGGCTGCTCCAGTACCTTTTAATCTTAGATCCGCCACTGCCCATTGGTTCCGAGCTGGTCTCAATGGGTATGCGGACTTGTCAATTAATGATGATATGTAAACATTTATATTTATATGGATTTTGTTTTGTTCGAATAACACCAACTTTAAGTGAACTATACGTTGGACTATAAAATTAATTTAAATATTTATTCGTTACTCATTATGTCCTAATTTTAGGATCCATTTTTTTGGATATATTTCTTAAACTCAATAATAATTACATTTTGAAGCATAATATAGGTTTATAGAATAAACATTTTAATTGTACTCATTATAATATTGGAAACTTTAAAAAAATAAAAAAGGAAGCCTACTTTAGGACGAAAAGAGACTCAAAATCATTTAATAAATTACTCCTTTCGTCACAATTTATATCCCTATTTTTCATTTTCAACATGTCACTCAGTTTAATTTCAAATCATTTTAGATCTAAAAAGATATAGAATTAAAATACAAAAATTACATATTCTAAAATTACATCAAAAAAATAGCCATAACGTAATGAGGACATTACTATATTATTGAATCAAATTGCATAATCAAATAAAAAAGAAAGTGATTGAAGTTTAACTGTGACAATAGTTTACATGTAATTTAATTAAGTATTGAGGGAGTAAATTATGTTCATATAATTCATATGTGTTTTTCTGACCTAAAAAATATTAATCCAATAAATACACCCCCCTTCATTTAGTATTTGTCTATATGTTCATATTTAATTATTTTTCATCAAACTTGGTAAACTTTAACCTCAAAATAAATAAAATTGAAACCGTACATTATTTTATCAAATAAGAAGCCAAAATATGTATAAAAAAAGATTTAAGTTTGACATTATTAATAAATATATATTTTCATTTAATCATAAGTAAAATATTGAAAATAATTGACCAAAAAGTAAAAAACCGAACTAAAACTCAGGATTGTAAAGAATACTAGTATTCCTACCCGTGCCACGCACGGGTTCGGACGAATATCTTGTCGATTCTAAATTTATTCAATGTAATATTTTTTTCTGGAATAAAGGAAATATACCTCATGCATGATTTATAATAACTCAGAAAAGAAAGACAAAGTAAAAAGAATAATATATGAGGAATTGAATCTACACACAACAAAGTTTGCTTTAATACCAAATTTTTTGAAAGACTTCAGAGTATACAACATTTTTGGTATGGCTGCAAGAATTTCCATTGTCATATAAGACTAATATTTTTAATCCTGTCTTTGTCTTCACTCGCAAAACAGCAACATAGAGCTGAGAATGAGTGAACACTGACTTGGTTAAAAATAATTCAACAAATGACAATGTTTGACCTTGCCTTTTGTTAATACTCATAACAAAGCATAAGACTATTGAATTTGTCTTCTCTAGAACTTTAGAGGTAGTCCTGGATCAGACGGCACCAAATTCATCCGGGGTGTGTAAACTTTTTCGCCCACTCGATTTCTCGAAACCACAATAGCACCAATAACATTCTTTCGCATCTCGTCAACAATTAATCTTGTACCATTACACAATCCAGATGTTTGGTCAATGTTCCTCAGTAACATAATTGGTACCCCTTTTTATAAAACTATCATGTGTTTTGAGATTCCCGAACATTTGATTTCATTCAAAAACTCAACTGTTATCCAGTCGCCATCAACACCTACATCTGAATTTGCTTGGCATGATGAATCAGAACTCAAGTACACCATTTCATCTCCGGGAATGATGGATAAGACAAATTCATTTACCATTTCTACAACTTCGAGCGTGGGTGCTAGTAGTGTCCTGTCTTGAAAAAAAGAATAACTTCTCATTTTCTCCAATAAGTTCGGATAAGTAAAATCCGCTATACTTTTGAGGGGTGAACTATTATCTATAATCAAAAATTTGAGAGGAATTTCAACGTCAGCAGTTCCATCAATCACTTGTCCAAGCTTTCCATCTCCAACTTTGATTATCCGATCAAAAAAATCTTGCGTGTCTCTATCTACGTAAGAGGACGTTGATGAATGTAATCTCATATTCTTCGTCAACTTAAAAACTTTACAATAAGACCATAAATATATATAAAATCTAGGTTTACTAAATTATATATATATATACACACACACACACATACACACACACACAAATATATATAAAATCTAGGTTTACTAAATTATTACAAATATATAATTCTTCTCACCCCTTAATTCAAAAAATATACGACAAACTTAGATTTCTGATCCTGTAATTTTAATATTAAAAAAGCATGATTCTTCTCCGCTAGATTAATTTATATTAACGGAAATATATGATTTTAATTTCTATGACGTATTAATGTGATTCTTCCTCTCCTTCGCCCTTTGCACTTATTAAAAATTGACTCCTTTTTCTTGTATTATTAAAATTATGAAAACATAAATTAACAATCATATGATAAGATATATAAATTTTACAATACACTAAAAATATAATGACTAATCTCCCTTGTATTATTTCAAAAATTATGCGAACGCAAAAAAAATAGTGATTATATGATTTTAATGAAAATTTTACAAAAACTATTCCATAATTTTTACTCATTTTTTTGCTTTCTTTTTTAAATATAAAATCATTTAAGTGTGTGAAAGTATTTTGGTCAATACATAATTTTTTATAAAATACAAAGAGTTACAATTTAAAAATTACATTTCTCTTTGATGTTGTAACTGAGCCTAAATCATATTCACTTCTGCACATTAGATCTTCTTCGTAGTTCTTCTTAAAGTATTGATTATCCTTGCATCTAAATTTTAATTTTCACAAATCTTCACTCGTTTCTCGGCTTCTAGATCTTAGAAGTTTTGTAATAATTGAATAGAAAAATACGCATAATTAGGAAATAATTTATTATAAAAATGAATATATCCATTCTCTTCCATAATTAATTGTACCAAATGACTTCATACCATAGTATTAACTTATTATTTTATATAATATATTACGTGTCAGAAATGTCTCGTAAACAACATCTAATCTCAGCTTCTTAAAAATTAAAATATCAATTTTATAAATAAAGGATCAATTATAAAAATATTTGATTCTTTCATATAAGAATACTTTTAGATGAAAATATATCATTATCAAAATTTAGTTTTTTGTGTATTCACTTAGTTAAAAATTTGATTAATAAAAATGCTAGTCTAGAAATGGTAAGTGATAATACCAATTTTATATTTTCACTAATTTTTTGCTACATCATAATAAGTTTTATCATAAAATTATATTTTATATAATTGCTTTCCTTTAATAATTTTATTTCGGACAATATTATATTTATCTTTCACAAATTTGATTTTATAACATAATTAATTAATTTTATCACAACATAACAAATAAATAAATGAATTGCTTTTTAAAAATAAAAAATATAAAAACTCAACTAATGTCACAAAATAATGAATTCTTTATTTGTCCTAAATCTTTTTAAGTAAAATTTTTCCAAAATTTGAAATCATTATTAAATTTCTATTTTAAAATAAAAAGAAAAGGTCAATTCATCATTAATAAAATTTGCCACTTAAGCAACCAATAAACGCTTGCGATCTCACTTTAATATAGCCCACATAAGATTGACACTTGGCGACTTTCTAGCAAACGGAGTCTCAGATATTGTATTAAAGAATTATATTGTTTATAACTAAAAAGAAATTTTAATTGGAGGACTTCATTAAACAAACTTTTTTAATACTCTGTAACTTAATCAATCATCTTTACCTAAATTTATTAAAATCAATGATAAATACCAAACGCATAACCGAGGGTAACTAAGTCAATTAAAAGTTGATATAGTTATTAGAAATTAAAGATTGTTGGATTATGCTATGTGTACCCCGAGGTTTGTACCCCAATTTGTACCCCATAGTTTTGCACCAACACTTTGTGTTGGTGTAAAACTAATTTTTGTTAAACGCACCAACATTTGTGTTCGTGTGAATTTTTATTAACGCACCAACACTTGTGTCGGTGTAAACCATCGAAATGTTTGTGCAAACCTGTGGTGTACAAATGGGGTATATTTTTTGGTGTAAGTGTAGCATGGTCGAAGATTGTTTCCCTACTTTGAATGGTGGTTTGGTTTGTAAACCGTAGCTGCTGATAGGGTTTTCAGAAAGCCGCTGTTGCATTCTTGTAGGTACAAATCATTGCCTCCTCCGGTCCGATCCTATCTTTCTTTAAGTATTGCATCCGATTTAAATTCATTCTACAACTCTTTCTCAATATATATATATATATATATATATATATACACACACACACACACACACACATATATCCGTTTCCACCTTTGTGTTTTGCTTCAAGATGGCGGATTTAGGGCTACTCAGCCTTCTATTCTTATGATTGAATCCTTTGATTTCAGGTCGAAATCTGTGTGCTTTGTTTTTTGTGTCAAGATTAACAAAAAACCCATTATTTATTATGACATATTATTGGGTTTTTTTTGTTGTTGTGAATATTTACTTATCCTTGAGGTTGGTTGAAGTTAAGATCATAGATGGAAAACCAAGAGGGAGGTCAGGGAGCAGGGCAAAAGACATGCATCTTCAGCAAGAAGCCCATTTACCCAGAGGATAAGAAGGCTGTCGAGTTCGAACTTGCTCTATTGGATAGTGATGGCCATTGCACTGGGGAAAGCATCCCGGTTCGCATTTGTGCATCCATCCGAAATAAGGTTTTCGTTCGTTTTTTTTATATGATTTGAATTCCTTTCATAATGTTAATTGTCATCCAAATTCATGCATTCAGTTAGTTTGGAATTGGATTAGTTAGTTTAATTTGTGCATTTTTCGTTAATTATTGTGTTTGGTGTAGGGTAAAGCCGACTCCAGGTTTGATGTTTTTATGATTGTGAAGCAAGTGAGTGATGGTCTTTGCATTGGAAGACACTTTGACAAATACTATGATCAGATGAAACTTGAGATGCAAGAGCCGAGGAAGGAATACAAGGCAAGTGAAATGAGCGGAGGGAAAAAATGCAGCAACAACAACAGAGTAGAATCCCACATAAGTAGGGTCGAGGGAGGAGCGAAAAAAAGCAACGCGAAGAAGAAGAAAAATGGGAAGAAGACGTAATTTCTCCCAACTACTCGTCAAGAGGATCATTTGAATGTCATGTCCATTCTGCTTATGGGCCTATTTGGGAATAACGTTAGCGATTACATTAGCCTTTTGAAAAGGTTATCTACGGGCAGCGTTTAGCGTTAATCTCTAATGCTATTTCCAAACAGACCCTATATGAAGAGGTGACTCTTCATCTCGTTAATCTGCTAAAATATATTTTTCAGGAAATATTTTTTTACCTAGAAGTAAAAAATTAATAGGGAAATAGTAATTCTTTGAGATAGTGTTTTTGCTCGTAATCATATAGAGTAATGGACCTTGATTGATATACAATGCATTGTTCGCCCCAAAGAGAAAAGATGTTTTTGCAAACATTTAAGCTAAATTTACACACTCCTTCGTTCTTCTACATTTAACTTGGCACCATTTTTTAAAAAAACTAAGCTTTGTGTGCTTGTAGTTTGTGCAAAAGAAAGAAAATGGTATAGACAACACTTTTTTTTCTTCACCCCGTGTTTCCTCATTTTTCTCACCGAAATGTGAGAAATTTGGTTTTCCTTCCTTTTAGTACATTTTGTTTTCTCATTTTCTTTTCTTTCCACTTTTCTTTTTTTTTCATCTCTAACCAAACAAAAAAAATATTTTACTTCTCATTATCTTTTCTTTTCTCTCTCCAATTTCTTGAACCAAGCATAGTGTAAAAGGAAAGTCAAACTTTTTAAGATAATTCAATAACAAAGCGAAAAAATAATTTAAGGAGGAAAAGAGTAACACTTATGGAGCAATAGAAAAACATTTGCCCATGTTCAAATTGGACCTGCCCAAAATAATAATAAGTCATTTAAGAGCATTGGCAATCACCACTCTTTCTCCAAAAGAAGCCATTGCTGTCATAAAGTTGAGAATGGGGTGAAATTTGGCCATTAGTTAATATCTATTTTGTGGAGAGTTGAGGAACACAAATTTTCTAGTATAGGGAAAATTCTCACTGAGAAAAAAAAACAATTGTTATGTTATTGAATGTTGTTGCATTCTGATTCATATCATGGGTGACCAAGAGGGTGTGTGAGGTGGCCCCCCGTACAAAGCTCTAAAATTTTTAGGACCTAAAATTATTTGATAATTTTAAAACTAATACTTCCTCTGTCCCATTTTAAATTGTTTTTCTACCTTTTTTTCTCCGTCCCAAAATAAGTTGTCTGTTACTTGTTATCGTAAATTTTTATGAGTTAAATACATAAACTACCCCTAAAATAAGTCATTCTTCTCCACTTTATCTTCTCATTCATCGTCACCCCTCCTAAAAAGTAATGGCAATTTTGGAAAATCAACTCTATTTTTTATTTTTCTTAAATATGCCCAAAAATCAAAACAGACAATTTAAAACGAGACGGATAGAGTATAATTTTGTATTTTATTATTTAAACTGTTATAAAGTAGTTATTACAAATAAATTTTAGCATTAAGTTTAAAACACACGTACTCTGTAAAAATAAAATAAGGCCCAACATGTGATTTTAGCACCGGGTCAATTTCATTTTTCACATTTCTAGGCCGGGCTGGATTGATATTATAATACAAAAGTTTAATCCGAAAGGATTTTGATCGTTTTCTAAGTTTAAGGGGGTCTCCTCCTACGAATATTGTGCGGTGTGTTCCGTTCCGTCCCTTTGTTTCACAAAATACTTCGGTCTTAATTTTTTGTGCATCCTTAAAATACTTCTACCCAACTTAAAATGTCTATATACACTCTCATTTCGTATTTTATTGTGGATCGAAGTTGTTTTGAGAGTATTTTAGATCTTTTAGGTGAAGTAGAAATGTGTTATGAGATGCACAAAAAATTAGAATGGAAGTTTTGTTGTGATTTGTGAAACGGATAGAGTATTTATTTACTATGTAAAGGAAACAAAGAATGAGCACGCATTTGTGTATTTAAATGTTTACTTTTTAATTATTTAACATGATTTAATTCACTTGATGAAGTACACAAATAACAAGATTGTATCCTTTGTGATCAAAATGTTTGTGACTTTAACATTTCTCATTGTTAAATGTGGGTTGTTAAACCAAAAGTGAAAGCCCATTGTAGGTCGTACTAAAAGAGAGGAGCTATCACGTATTAATTACTCCCTCCGTCCCCCATAGATCTTTCCATTAGCCCTTTTTATTTGTCCCACATAGATCTTCTCATTACCTTTTTTAACATTTAAAATATCTCAACTATCCTCACTTACTTTATTTATTACACCTTTTCCACCTTATTTAATACACCTCACCCATTTTCATTAAGGGTATTTTGGTAAACTTTCACCTTTTTTCAACTTTTCTTAAAAACCACAAAAAATCAAAACGAGAAGATCTTAGGAGGACGGAGGGAGTACCACATTTATTCCTAGAACTGATGGAACTATAAAAAAATATGGTTTATCAATTTAAGTTTTTTGAGTCAAATTAGATAAACTTTAGACATTAATTAAATAAAAGTGATAATATATTTTAGTATAAAAATATTTCAAAAAATTTTATCTTGTTGAGAACTATTAAAACTTTAATTCATGGTATTAATATACAAAATAAATTACGAGTGATTAATGTTTAAAATTTATCCAATTTAGCTCACAAAAATCAAATTGGACAAATACACCGTGAGACGGAGAGAGCAGTCGTTATATACATTTCCTTGGGTCATGTTTCCACGTCCCCCAAACCCTTTGTCTCACTATTACATTATATACATTCATTGGGCATCTCCCCAAATGGGCTGATTTAATTCGTCACGGGTCAACTGACGAAAATGAGGCACGCGGCCCAAATCCCTAGTAAGCATATCATCTGCAACCGCATGAATAAATTCCAAAATTATTGCATGACAAAAATTTATCATCTGAAATGCAGCCCAATAAACAAAGCTGCTTTAAGTGCTTCTTCACCACAATATTACATACTCCCTCCGTCCCAGAAAGAGAGGGGCATTTGACTAAAGAGGCAAAATAAGAGAGGGATAATTTTATGTTGATTTTCCAAAAATACCCTAAAAATAGGATGTGATGAGTAAAAGTAGGATGTGATGTGTAGATTATTAGGAAAAAGGTATGATGTGATAGGTAGGGTATTAAAAAGTAAGGAGTAAAAATGATTTTTTAATAAAAATGGAAAGAAGATTGTCGGACACCATTTTTTGAAATGTGAAGGACTTTTTGGGACGGAAGAAGTACAAGAAAAAATGTCAATGAAAAGCAGCATGATTTTATACCAGCAGGACACATACCTGTATCCACAATCACTCTTGGTCCATACTCACCAGGTGGTCCCTTTGGTCCAACTAGCAAAACAAATAAAAGAAATTAAAATTTATCTTCAAGCACAATAAGCTAAACTCAGACATGAAACATACTCCCTCCGTCCCACTAACCTTTTGGCACACCATCCAATGCACTTCTTTAATCTATTTTATCTTGTAATTTGTATATTAAAAAATTATACAAATTATATATTAATAATCTATATGTTAAGACGAATCAAACAAGATCACACATGACTATTTTTAGGCTTACACATTAAGAGAATTTCATGTTAGAGTAAGGAAAAGTCACACAATTATAAACAGAACTTGCAAAAGACATGTCTCAAACAAGGCATGGTTTTAAAATGCAAAAAAGGCAATCCGCCTCGAGGTGGTCTGTTTTTGCCCCAGGGGCGTCCGCATCAGTTGGTATCTGCAAGGCGCATGCCTTGTTTTTCCAAAGCCGTTGCGGCGGAAGTGATGCTACAGCCTCACTGCTGAAGCCAATTTCAGCCCTTTTAAACAAAGCTATTGGGACTTTAAAAAAACCTTGCCCTGTAACCCTGGAGTGCAGTTAAAAAATGCTGAACCAATATATTTTGTCAAAAATGCCGTTGTGTTTTATTTTGTTTCTATACTGCCACTAAAATTAGTGGCAATATAGAAACAACTTAAAAGTAGGTTAAAAAAACCATTTTGGGCACTGGACTGAATTCTCGTGGACCAATGGATCATTTTCTTGGCCGTTCTAGTTTGAAGATGATTCAAACAAAGAAGGTGATGTCCAGCCTTCAAAAATGACTAAGGCCACTGTGCGAGAACAATGCAATTTAGTATGTCGTGGGAAGATTTATCTTTGAGAATGCCATATCATTCAATGTTGCAAATAGTCCATCTTATTATAGATGATGCATTCTGTTAGCAATTACGAAGCAGGTTTTAAGCCATTATCTATGCATGACCTCCATACATAGATATTAAAAGTAGAGTATGATGCAACCAACGATGTTGTGGAAGGAGTGTAAAAGACATGGGCACATACTGGCGGGACTATTATGTCTAATGGTTGGAGTGACATCAGAAATTGAAGCCTTTTAAATATTGTTGTCAATAATCAATTTGGGACAGTAGTCTTAAGATCCGTTGATTCATCGGATGACTTAAATATGCAAACTATTTGTTCCAAATGCTGGATAGTACTGTTGAAGAAATTGGGGAAAGCTGCTGGGAAATTGCAAACAAAGAAAATGACAAACTTGTATTGGACTCACTTGTATTGCAAGGAAATTGCGGGTTATTGACAACAACACCATAGGAAATGATGAACTTGCATTGGATGTTGATGAAATGAATAATGAATTCAAAGGTCAATTAACTTTTTTTAAGAATGAGCTTGCAATAAAGTCAATTGTTTGGTTGGTATATAATTCAAGTTAGGTTTGTAGGGGCACATGTTACAAATGGCACAGATAGAAATAATGATGCAGATGTTGATGATGGAGATGAAATTGACAAATCCCTTGAAAATATGGATGATGTTGCTAAAATGAGCGATGATAGTCTAAGTTTTGAAGTATAAGACTTGGAAAACTCAAATTGTAGTCTCAAAATGATACCATGAATTATGATTATCTTATTGCCTTTTTATTTTGACCCCTTTTTTGGTTTAAATGAAAACTTATACATGACTTTATGACTTATTTGACATAATTATGGATTATGCATTTTGTTGTACCAAAAGGTTTTTATATTGTTATTTTTTTCAAGTCGAACTGAGGGTTATGCCTCATTCCGCCTCAAGGCTTACACCTTGAGGCAACTTGCTCTACCACCTCGAGTTCAGTTTTCAGCTTTTAAAACCTTGACAACAACAACAAGAATAGATAATACCGGAACCCTCCAGCTTTGATTCCTCGTCCGACGAACTATCTTTCCTAACAGCCAGAAAAGACGAGCAATGCAGCGCTTATTTGTGAGATTTCCAGGGATACCAATGTCAACATAGCGCATTGAAGCATCCACATCAGCAAATGCAATGACAGGTATCCTGATGTTGGAGCAGAAAGCTTCTGTGACAGCCTGCAAGAAGAATTCGGACTCCATAAATGAGATAAAGTGAAGCAAAGAAAGGAGGATCACAATAACCAAAAAAGGAAAACCTTGCGATCAGTTTTGGAATCAGCAACAATGAGGAGGCGGGGCTTAATAGATGATGAGTGCAGCTTAGCAGCAAAAGTTTCAATGCTGTTGTCTCCTTCAATGGCAGTAGCACCAATTTGTTTAGCAAACTCTTTGACAGCTTTTTGAGCAAATGGCCGTGCAGACAGAACAAANTAATTATCTTTCTTGGTGTGTTATTTTTCAAGGTTGAAGGATATTTGCTTGTTATGTACTCTTTGTTGACTTTATGTGCTATCTTTAAACATAAATTTGCTTTGGTTATGGTATTTTGACATATAAATATATATATATTCTTGTTGGGTTAATGTAGATATATATAATGTTAAAAATTTCAATACTAATTATGATTTGTCGACTAGTCTACGACTAGTCGCCTAGTCCACTAGTCTCCCCGTCACCGACTCGACTCGACTTGTCGACTTGACAACCATGGAGACAACAGCATTGAAACTTTTGCTGCTAAGCTGCACTCATCATCTATTAAGCCCCGCCTCCTCATTGTTGCTGATTCCAAAACTGATCGCAAGGTTTTCCTTTTTTGGTTATTGTGATCCTCCTTTCTTTGCTTCACTTTATCTCATTTATGGAGTCCGAATTCTTCTTGCAGGCTGTCACAGAAGCTTTCTGCTCCAACATCAGGATACCTGTCATTGCATTTGCTGATGTGGATGCTTCAATGCGCTATGTTGACATTGGTATCCCTGGAAATCTCACAAATAAGCGCTGCATTGCTCGTCTTTTCTGGCTGTTAGGAAAGATAGTTCGTCGGACGAGGAATCAAAGCTGGAGGGTTCCGGTATTATCTATTCTTGTTGTTGTTGTCAAGGTTTTAAAAGCTGAAAACTGAACTCGAGGTGGTAGAGCAAGTTGCCTCAAGGTGTAAGCCTTGAGGCGGAATGAGGCATAACCCTCAGTTCGACTTGAAAAAAATAACAATATAAAAACCTTTTGGTACAACAAAATGCATAATCCATAATTATGTCAAATAAGTCATAAAGTCATGTATAAGTTTTCATTTAAACCAAAAAAGGGGTCAAAATAAAAAGGCAATAAGATAATCATAATTCATGGTATCATTTTGAGACTACAATTTGAGTTTTCCAAGTCTTATACTTCAAAACTTAGACTATCATCGCTCATTTTAGCAACATCATCCATATTTTCAAGGGATTTGTCAATTTCATCTCCATCATCAACATCTGCATCATTATTTCTATCTGTGCCATTTGTAACATGTGCCCCTACAAACCTAACTTGAATTATATACCAACCAAACAATTGACTTTATTGCAAGCTCATTCTTAAAAAAAGTTAATTGACCTTTGAATTCATTATTCATTTCATCAACATCCAATGCAAGTTCATCATTTCCTATGGTGTTGTTGTCAATAACCCGCAATTTCCTTGCAATACAAGTGAGTCCAATACAAGTTTGTCATTTTCTTTGTTTGCAATTTCCCAGCAGCTTTCCCCAATTTCTTCAACAGTACTATCCAGCATTTGGAACAAATAGTTTGCATATTTAAGTCATCCGATGAATCAACGGATCTTAAGACTACTGTCCCAAATTGATTATTGACAACAATATTTAAAAGGCTTCAATTTCTGATGTCACTCCAACCATTAGACATAATAGTCCCGCCAGTATGTGCCCATGTCTTTTACACTCCTTCCACAACATCGTTGGTTGCATCATACTCTACTTTTAATATCTATGTATGGAGGTCATGCATAGATAATGGCTTAAAACCTGCTTCGTAATTGCTAACAGAATGCATCATCTATAATAAGATGGACTATTTGCAACATTGAATGATATGGCATTCTCAAAGATAAATCTTCCCACGACATACTAAATTGCATTGTTCTCGCACAGTGGCCTTAGTCATTTTTGAAGGCTGGACATCACCTTCTTTGTTTGAATCATCTTCAAACTAGAACGGCCAAGAAAATGATCCATTGGTCCACGAGAATTCAGTCCAGTGCCCAAAATGGTTTTTTTAACCTACTTTTAAGTTGTTTCTATATTGCCACTAATTTTAGTGGCAGTATAGAAACAAAATAAAACACAACGGCATTTTTGACAAAATATATTGGTTCAGCATTTTTTAACTGCACTCCAGGGTTACAGGGCAAGGTTTTTTTAAAGTCCCAATAGCTTTGTTTAAAAGGGCTGAAATTGGCTTCAGCAGTGAGGCTGTAGCATCACTTCCGCCGCAACGGCTTTGGAAAAACAAGGCATGCGCCTTGCAGATACCAACTGATGCGGACGCCCCTGGGGCAAAAACAGACCACCTCGAGGCGGATTGCCTTTTTTGCATTTTAAAACCATGCCTTGTTTGAGACATGTCTTTTGCAAGTTCTGTTTATAATTGTGTGACTTTTCCTTACTCTAACATGAAATTCTCTTAATGTGTAAGCCTAAAAATAGTCATGTGTGATCTTGTTTGATTCGTCTTAACATATAGATTATTAATATATAATTTGTATAATTTTTTAATATACAAATTACAAGATAAAATAGATTAAAGAAGTGCATTGGATGGTGTGCCAAAAGGTTAGTGGGACGGAGGGAGTATGTTTCATGTCTGAGTTTAGCTTATTGTGCTTGAAGATAAATTTTAATTTCTTTTATTTGTTTTGCTAGTTGGACCAAAGGGACCACCTGGTGAGTATGGACCAAGAGTGATTGTGGATACAGGTATGTGTCCTGCTGGTATAAAATCATGCTGCTTTTCATTGACATTTTTTCTTGTACTTCTTCCGTCCCAAAAAGTCCTTCACATTTCAAAAAATGGTGTCCGACAATCTTCTTTCCATTTTTATTAAAAAATCATTTTTACTCCTTACTTTTTAATACCCTACCTATCACATCATACCTTTTTCCTAATAATCTACACATCACATCCTACTTTTACTCATCACATCCTATTTTTAGGGTATTTTTGGAAAATCAACATAAAATTATCCCTCTCTTATTTTGCCTCTTTAGTCAAATGCCCCTCTCTTTCTGGGACGGAGGGAGTATGTAATATTGTGGTGAAGAAGCACTTAAAGCAGCTTTGTTTATTGGGCTGCATTTCAGATGATAAATTTTTGTCATGCAATAATTTTGGAATTTATTCATGCGGTTGCAGATGATATGCTTACTAGGGATTTGGGCCGCGTGCCTCATTTTCGTCAGTTGACCCGTGACGAATTAAATCAGCCCATTTGGGGAGATGCCCAATGAATGTATATAATGTAATAGTGAGACAAAGGGTTTGGGGGACGTGGAAACATGACCCAAGGAAATGTATATAACGACTGCTCTCTCCGTCTCACGGTGTATTTGTCCAATTTGATTTTTGTGAGCTAAATTGGATAAATTTTAAACATTAATCACTCGTAATTTATTTTGTATATTAATACCATGAATTAAAGTTTTAATAGTTCTCAACAAGATAAAATTTTTTGAAATATTTTTATACTAAAATATATTATCACTTTTATTTAATTAATGTCTAAAGTTTATCTAATTTGACTCAAAAAACTTAAATTGATAAACCATATTTTTTTATAGTTCCATCAGTTCTAGGAATAAATGTGGTACTCCCTCCGTCCTCCTAAGATCTTCTCGTTTTGATTTTTTGTGGTTTTTAAGAAAAGTTGAAAAAAGGTGAAAGTTTACCAAAATACCCTTAATGAAAATGGGTGAGGTGTATTAAATAAGGTGGAAAAGGTGTAATAAATAAAGTAAGTGAGGATAGTTGAGATATTTTAAATGTTAAAAAAGGTAATGAGAAGATCTATGTGGGACAAATAAAAAGGGCTAATGGAAAGATCTATGGGGGACGGAGGGAGTAATTAATACGTGATAGCTCCTCTCTTTTAGTACGACCTACAATGGGCTTTCACTTTTGGTTTAACAACCCACATTTAACAATGAGAAATGTTAAAGTCACAAACATTTTGATCACAAAGGATACAATCTTGTTATTTGTGTACTTCATCAAGTGAATTAAATCATGTTAAATAATTAAAAAGTAAACATTTAAATACACAAATGCGTGCTCATTCTTTGTTTCCTTTACATAGTAAATAAATACTCTATCCGTTTCACAAATCACAACAAAACTTCCATTCTAATTTTTTGTGCATCTCATAACACATTTCTACTTCACCTAAAAGATCTAAAATACTCTCAAAACAACTTCGATCCACAATAAAATACGAAATGAGAGTGTATATAGACATTTTAAGTTGGGTAGAAGTATTTTAAGGATGCACAAAAAATTAAGACCGAAGTATTTTGTGAAACAAAGGGACGGAACGGAACACACCGCACAATATTCGTAGGAGGAGACCCCCTTAAACTTAGAAAACGATCAAAATCCTTTCGGATTAAACTTTTGTATTATAATATCAATCCAGCCCGGCCTAGAAATGTGAAAAATGAAATTGACCCGGTGCTAAAATCACATGTTGGGCCTTATTTTATTTTTACAGAGTACGTGTGTTTTAAACTTAATGCTAAAATTTATTTGTAATAACTACTTTATAACAGTTTAAATAATAAAATACAAAATTATACTCTATCCGTCTCGTTTTAAATTGTCTGTTTTGATTTTTGGGCATATTTAAGAAAAATAAAAAATAGAGTTGATTTTCCAAAATTGCCATTACTTTTTAGGAGGGGTGACGATGAATGAGAAGATAAAGTGGAGAAGAATGACTTATTTTAGGGGTAGTTTATGTATTTAACTCATAAAAATTTACGATAACAAGTAACAGACAACTTATTTTGGGACGGAGAAAAAAAGGTAGAAAAACAATTTAAAATGGGACAGAGGAAGTATTAGTTTTAAAATTATCAAATAATTTTAGGTCCTAAAAATTTTAGAGCTTTGTACGGGGGGCCACCTCACACACCCTCTTGGTCACCCATGATATGAATCAGAATGCAACAACATTCAATAACATAACAATTGTTTTTTTTTCTCAGTGAGAATTTTCCCTATACTAGAAAATTTGTGTTCCTCAACTCTCCACAAAATAGATATTAACTAATGGCCAAATTTCACCCCATTCTCAACTTTATGACAGCAATGGCTTCTTTTGGAGAAAGAGTGGTGATTGCCAATGCTCTTAAATGACTTATTATTATTTTGGGCAGGTCCAATTTGAACATGGGCAAATGTTTTTCTATTGCTCCATAAGTGTTACTCTTTTCCTCCTTAAATTATTTTTTCGCTTTGTTATTGAATTATCTTAAAAAGTTTGACTTTCCTTTTACACTATGCTTGGTTCAAGAAATTGGAGAGAGAAAAGAAAAGATAATGAGAAGTAAAATATTTTTTTTGTTTGGTTAGAGATGAAAAAAAAAGAAAAGTGGAAAGAAAAGAAAATGAGAAAACAAAATGTACTAAAAGGAAGGAAAACCAAATTTCTCACATTTCGGTGAGAAAAATGAGGAAACACGGGGTGAAGAAAAAAAAGTGTTGTCTATACCATTTTCTTTCTTTTGCACAAACTACAAGCACACAAAGCTTAGTTTTTTTAAAAAATGGTGCCAAGTTAAATGTAGAAGAACGAAGGAGTGTGTAAATTTAGCTTAAATGTTTGCAAAAACATCTTTTCTCTTTGGGGCGAACAATGCATTGTATATCAATCAAGGTCCATTACTCTATATGATTACGAGCAAAAACACTATCTCAAAGAATTACTATTTCCCTATTAATTTTTTACTTCTAGGTAAAAAAATATTTCCTGAAAAATATATTTTAGCAGATTAACGAGATGAAGAGTCACCTCTTCATATAGGGTCTGTTTGGAAATAGCATTAGAGATTAACGCTAAACGCTGCCCGTAGATAACCTTTTCAAAAGGCTAATGTAATCGCTAACGTTATTCCCAAATAGGCCCATAAGCAGAATGGACATGACATTCAAATGATCCTCTTGACGAGTAGTTGGGAGAAATTACGTCTTCTTCCCATTTTTCTTCTTCTTCGCGTTGCTTTTTTTCGCTCCTCCCTCGACCCTACTTATGTGGGATTCTACTCTGTTGTTGTTGCTGCATTTTTTCCCTCCGCTCATTTCACTTGCCTTGTATTCCTTCCTCGGCTCTTGCATCTCAAGTTTCATCTGATCATAGTATTTGTCAAAGTGTCTTCCAATGCAAAGACCATCACTCACTTGCTTCACAATCATAAAAACATCAAACCTGGAGTCGGCTTTACCCTACACCAAACACAATAATTAACGAAAAATGCACAAATTAAACTAACTAATCCAATTCCAAACTAACTGAATGCATGAATTTGGATGACAATTAACATTATGAAAGGAATTCAAATCATATAAAAAAAACGAACGAAAACCTTATTTCGGATGGATGCACAAATGCGAACCGGGATGCTTTCCCCAGTGCAATGGCCATCACTATCCAATAGAGCAAGTTCGAACTCGACAGCCTTCTTATCCTCTGGGTAAATGGGCTTCTTGCTGAAGATGCATGTCTTTTGCCCTGCTCCCTGACCTCCCTCTTGGTTTTCCATCTATGATCTTAACTTCAACCAACCTCAAGGATAAGTAAATATTCACAACAACAAAAAAAACCCAATAATATGTCATAATAAATAATGGGTTTTTTGTTAATCTTGACACAAAAAACAAAGCACACAGATTTCGACCTGAAATCAAAGGATTCAATCATAAGAATAGAAGGCTGAGTAGCCCTAAATCCGCCATCTTGAAGCAAAACACAAAGGTGGAAACGGATATATGTGTGTGTGTGTGTGTGTGTGTATATATATATATATATATATATATATATTGAGAAAGAGTTGTAGAATGAATTTAAATCGGATGCAATACTTAAAGAAAGATAGGATCGGACCGGAGGAGGCAATGATTTGTACCTACAAGAATGCAACAGCGGCTTTCTGAAAACCCTATCAGCAGCTACGGTTTACAAACCAAACCACCATTCAAAGTAGGGAAACAATCTTCGACCATGCTACACTTACACCAAAAAATATACCCCATTTGTACACCACAGGTTTGCACAAACATTTCGATGGTTTACACCGACACAAGTGTTGGTGCGTTAATAAAAATTCACACGAACACAAATGTTGGTGCGTTTAACAAAAATTAGTTTTACACCAACACAAAGTGTTGGTGCAAAACTATGGGGTACAAATTGGGGTACAAACCTCGGGGTACACATAGCATAATCCAACAATCTTTAATTTCTAATAACTATATCAACTTTTAATTGACTTAGTTACCCTCGGTTATGCGTTTGGTATTTATCATTGATTTTAATAAATTTAGGTAAAGATGATTGATTAAGTTACAGAGTATTAAAAAAGTTTGTTTAATGAAGTCCTCCAATTAAAATTTCTTTTTAGTTATAAACAATATAATTCTTTAATACAATATCTGAGACTCCGTTTGCTAGAAAGTCGCCAAGTGTCAATCTTATGTGGGCTATATTAAAGTGAGATCGCAAGCGTTTATTGGTTGCTTAAGTGGCAAATTTTATTAATGATGAATTGACCTTTTCTTTTTATTTTAAAATAGAAATTTAATAATGATTTCAAATTTTGGAAAAATTTTACTTAAAAAGATTTAGGACAAATAAAGAATTCATTATTTTGTGACATTAGTTGAGTTTTTATATTTTTTATTTTTAAAAAGCAATTCATTTATTTATTTGTTATGTTGTGATAAAATTAATTAATTATGTTATAAAATCAAATTTGTGAAAGATAAATATAATATTGTCCGAAATAAAATTATTAAAGGAAAGCAATTATATAAAATATAATTTTATGATAAAACTTATTATGATGTAGCAAAAAATTAGTGAAAATATAAAATTGGTATTATCACTTACCATTTCTAGACTAGCATTTTTATTAATCAAATTTTTAACTAAGTGAATACACAAAAAACTAAATTTTGATAATGATATATTTTCATCTAAAAGTATTCTTATATGAAAGAATCAAATATTTTTATAATTGATCCTTTATTTATAAAATTGATATTTTAATTTTTAAGAAGCTGAGATTAGATGTTGTTTACGAGACATTTCTGACACGTAATATATTATATAAAATAATAAGTTAATACTATGGTATGAAGTCATTTGGTACAATTAATTATGGAAGAGAATGGATATATTCATTTTTATAATAAATTATTTCCTAATTATGCGTATTTTTCTATTCAATTATTACAAAACTTCTAAGATCTAGAAGCCGAGAAACGAGTGAAGATTTGTGAAAATTAAAATTTAGATGCAAGGATAATCAATACTTTAAGAAGAACTACGAAGAAGATCTAATGTGCAGAAGTGAATATGATTTAGGCTCAGTTACAACATCAAAGAGAAATGTAATTTTTAAATTGTAACTCTTTGTATTTTATAAAAAATTATGTATTGACCAAAATACTTTCACACACTTAAATGATTTTATATTTAAAAAAGAAAGCAAAAAAATGAGTAAAAATTATGGAATAGTTTTTGTAAAATTTTCATTAAAATCATATAATCACTATTTTTTTTGCGTTCGCATAATTTTTGAAATAATACAAGGGAGATTAGTCATTATATTTTTAGTGTATTGTAAAATTTATATATCTTATCATATGATTGTTAATTTATGTTTTCATAATTTTAATAATACAAGAAAAAGGAGTCAATTTTTAATAAGTGCAAAGGGCGAAGGAGAGGAAGAATCACATTAATACGTCATAGAAATTAAAATCATATATTTCCGTTAATATAAATTAATCTAGCGGAGAAGAATCATGCTTTTTTAATATTAAAATTACAGGATCAGAAATCTAAGTTTGTCGTATATTTTTTGAATTAAGGGGTGAGAAGAATTATATATTTGTAATAATTTAGTAAACCTAGATTTTATATATATTTGTGTGTGTGTGTATGTGTGTGTGTGTGTATATATATATATAATTTAGTAAACCTAGATTTTATATATATTTATGGTCTTATTGTAAAGTTTTTAAGTTGACGAAGAATATGAGATTACATTCATCAACGTCCTCTTACGTAGATAGAGACACGCAAGATTTTTTTGATCGGATAATCAAAGTTGGAGATGGAAAGCTTGGACAAGTGATTGATGGAACTGCTGACGTTGAAATTCCTCTCAAATTTTTGATTATAGATAATAGTTCACCCCTCAAAAGTATAGCGGATTTTACTTATCCGAACTTATTGGAGAAAATGAGAAGTTATTCTTTTTTTCAAGACAGGACACTACTAGCACCCACGCTCGAAGTTGTAGAAATGGTAAATGAATTTGTCTTATCCATCATTCCCGGAGATGAAATGGTGTACTTGAGTTCTGATTCATCATGCCAAGCAAATTCAGATGTAGGTGTTGATGGCGACTGGATAACAGTTGAGTTTTTGAATGAAATCAAATGTTCGGGAATCTCAAAACACATGATAGTTTTATAAAAAGGGGTACCAATTATGTTACTGAGGAACATTGACCAAACATCTGGATTGTGTAATGGTACAAGATTAATTGTTGACGAGATGCGAAAGAATGTTATTGGTGCTATTGTGGTTTCGAGAAATCGAGTGGGCGAAAAAGTTTACACACCCCGGATGAATTTGGTGCCGTCTGATCCAGGACTACCTCTAAAGTTCTAGAGAAGACAAATTCAATAGTCTTATGCTTTGTTATGAGTATTAACAAAAGGCAAGGTCAAACATTGTCATTTGTTGAATTATTTTTAACCAAGTCAGTGTTCACTCATTCTCAGCTCTATGTTGCTGTTTTGCGAGTGAAGACAAAGACAGGATTAAAAATATTAGTCTTATATGACAATGGAAATTCTTGCAGCCATACCAAAAATGTTGTATACTCTGAAGTCTTTCAAAAAATTTGGTATTAAAGCAAACTTTGTTGTGTGTAGATTCAATTCCTCATATATTATTCTTTTTACTTTGTCTTTCTTTTCTGAGTTATTATAAATCATGCATGAGGTATATTTCCTTTATTCCAGAAAAAAATATTACATTGAATAAATTTAGAATCGACAAGATATTCGTCCGAACCCGTGCGTGGCACGGGTAGGAATACTAGTATTCTTTACAATCCTGAGTTTTAGTTCGGTTTTTTACTTTTTGGTCAATTATTTTCAATATTTTACTTATGATTAAATGAAAATATATATTTATTAATAATGTCAAACTTAAATCTTTTTTTATACATATTTTGGCTTCTTATTTGATAAAATAATGTACGGTTTCAATTTTATTTATTTTGAGGTTAAAGTTTACCAAGTTTGATGAAAAATAATTAAATATGAACATATAGACAAATACTAAATGAAGGGGGGTGTATTTATTGGATTAATATTTTTTAGGTCAGAAAAACACATATGAATTATATGAACATAATTTACTCCCTCAATACTTAATTAAATTACATGTAAACTATTGTCACAGTTAAACTTCAATCACTTTCTTTTTTATTTGATTATGCAATTTGATTCAATAATATAGTAATGTCCTCATTACGTTATGGCTATTTTTTTGATGTAATTTTAGAATATGTAATTTTTGTATTTTAATTCTATATCTTTTTAGATCTAAAATGATTTGAAATTAAACTGAGTGACATGTTGAAAATGAAAAATAGGGATATAAATTGTGACGAAAGGAGTAATTTATTAAATGATTTTGAGTCTCTTTTCGTCCTAAAGTAGGCTTCCTTTTTTATTTTTTTAAAGTTTCCAATATTATAATGAGTACAATTAAAATGTTTATTCTATAAACCTATATTATGCTTCAAAATGTAATTATTATTGAGTTTAAGAAATATATCCAAAAAAATGGATCCTAAAATTAGGACATAATGAGTAACGAATAAATATTTAAATTAATTTTATAGTCCAACGTATAGTTCACTTAAAGTTGGTGTTATTCGAACAAAACAAAATCCATATAAATATAAATGTTTACATATCATCATTAATTGACAAGTCCGCATACCCATTGAGACCAGCTCGGAACCAATGGGCAGTGGCGGATCTAAGATTAAAAGGTACTGGAGCAGCCTAGAATCGGGTTTAGAAGAAGCGCTCATGAGCTTTCTTTCACAGACAAATATCGAATGGCGGAGCATGCTCCATGAGGTCATGAATTAAATGGCCTGTTTCAGTTTTTGATAATTGATTAAAGTTATTTTCAATATAATTTTATTTCAAATTTGTGCTGGAAATAAAAAATAAATTTTATACTCCGGGTATCTAAAAACTAAATAAAAAAATCTACGACATAAATGTATTATTTTATCAAATGAATAAGTAAAAATATAAAGTTTAACGATGTGATTAATATATATGTGTGTGTGTGTGTGTGTGTATGTGTGTGTGTCTATGTGTGTGTGTGTATAATTTGGGACAAAAAGAGTAATAAGTTATATGTGAAACAAACATTTAAAATATTAAAATGTAATTTTTTAAAAGTATTCCTTAATGATTTATACAATAAATATAACTTATTTATTTTAATCTCATAAACCTTCTCAGTTTCACTTTTACAAATTTTAAGAAAGATGATGAATAATATAAAAGTAATTATTACAATTCATTAAGAGGAGAGATAAATTTTGTAGCGACTATTTTTTTTAAAAAGAAAAATGCAATTTTTAATTGGGTGCATGAAAAAGAAAAGTAAGATGTTTTTGTGAGATGTAGGGAGTATGGTATATTTTTAGGAATAAATAACTCACTGCAATCAATTCAATGAACAATCCCATTTAATACAAAATAGAGCAAGTAAACTTAAAACATACTCTACAAAACAAATAACATGTAAACCTAAATTTCATACCTAAAAGAAAAAAAAATTAATTTATTAAATATAAAAAGAAGAAATATTTGAAAGTTGGATGTCGGGGCCATTGCGGCACTCTCTTATTTTGAATGGGGGAACCAACAATATCAATTAGGGGTGGACAAACGGGTCCTCTTTTCAAAAATTTATAACAGTCCGGGTTAGGGGCGGGTCCTATTTTCAAAAATTTATAACAGTCCGGGTTAGGGGCGGGTCCTATTTTCAAAAATTTATAACAGTCCGGGCCGGTCTGATCATCATAGATTTTAGGGTCGGTCCGTTTCCCCATTTTGAAATAAGATCCGGCTTGGATCGGATCATTTTTTATACCCCAATATTATTTTTAGTAAATACACAAGCCTTAGCCTTACAATCGAGTTACGTCCTTCAATCTCTCGCAGTTGTTAGAGAGTCTTAAGTCACCAAACAGTTTGTTGTTGTTGTTGGATGATCATGATGTATACACTTTAATCTCATATTTGAAGTATGTTGTAATGGTCTATTTTCTATTTTATCAACACGTGTCATTTGTAATATATTAATAATAATAATATTTTAATATTATTTAGTCAGTTTTTCCTTATCAATAATTTATTATGTAGGAATATTATCTTTATCCTTGGAATTTCTTAAGTTATATAGAAGGAAATTTTTTCCTCATTAATTAAACACTTAATTAAATTTTAATTAATGACAAATATAATAATGAAATGCTGACCGTGCGATGCTAGTTTTTATTCAAAGCAGGGATATACATTACACAACCAAGCACGACGTCGTATAGGAGTAGATAAACCGAACACATATAGCCAACGCCGTACCAGAAACGACAGTACTCTGCACCGATGGCTGGCCTGAACTGCTACCTTTCGGTCACCGCCACAGCGACACCCATATCTCATCGCTCATCTTCATCCGACCAACCGCCGGAGAAAAAGCCGCCCAAATTGAAACTGCCGAAGAATAACACGGAGAAACTCTGCGCCGGGGTGTCGCCGGCGGAGTACGGCGGCGCACCATCCACCACCAATCCCAGAAATTACTGGCTCGTCGATGATGACCCTCTCACCTCTGATGATTATATATGGAACAGAAATTTCGTGGGCCGCATGAAGATGTTGATCCAGGATCCTGCTGAATATGGATCCGGTTTTCCTTCCAACCCTTCAAAGGTCTGAACTTTTTTATTTGTTTGAAAATAATTATATGGGAAATTCGTTATATTGGATTTTTTGTTGGTTCATTTGTGTATATGGGCTGTTCTTGAATTGTTTACTCCCAGAAGTTTTATTACAGAGTATTATGTAGAATTGTTTACTCCTAGTGCATATTATTACAGAGTGTTCGATGTGGATTGTATCCTCAACATATTGAAACAAGGAAAATGATGGGAAATTAAATAGAGTTGAAATTTTGAAGAAGATACATGTGGGGCTAATAGTAAAAATTGAGTTGAAACTCAATAAATAAATTTTAGATATTCGTTTAAACACATTATATATATATATATATATATATATATATTTAAGATTGACAATAAAAATAACAAAAACCCAGTATAATCCCAACTCCATTGGAGTCGAGATGTACCCCACCTTACCCTTGTAAAAATATTGGCTGTTTCGGCTAGACCTTTGATGCATTGTTGCATTTATTGCTTAAAACTTCTTAGAAAGTAACAAGCGAAGTAAGTGTCTTTAGCTCCACTGGCAATGGACGTAAAATTTTAAAAAGGTTAAAGACCAAGAAATCTAAATAAAACCGGGGTTTCCTTTGCATTTTCTAAGAGAGAACAAACCATTAAAAAATACTAAGCATTTTTTCCTTCCCTACCGTTTTCATATTTCCAAACACATGTTGAAGGTCAAATGATAAGAATGATTTGATATTGTATCATTATGGTGTGGAGAAACTCTTTGCAAAACAAATTATAATGCTATGTATGGTAACAAGATACCCATTTTTCTTAATTGTTCATTGTCCATAGAACTTATACATGTGTTGATATGCTCATTCTTGGTTGGGTTTCACACAGGAAGAGAGAACGCATGGATTTATAAGCATAAACCGCGTATTGAACCTTGACAAGTAGGCATCCTTTTGCTGTTTTTATTTTGTGTGTCATTGTAAATGATTTTTTCTTATGATAAAATTATTGAACTTTGGCTTTTTTAAAGCTTGGAAGTGGACTTGAGCAAGGAACTGGCATCACCTTCAAAACGTTTCCGAGCAGAAAAAGCTGAGGAAATTGAAGTGTGATATCACCTTTCTTTGGAGCTATTTACTTCATCCTTCAGTTTCAACTTTCAATGTTCGTGTTGAGTTTGGTTGTCTATTGTGTTTGAGTCTAGTATATAAGTAGGAGATAAACCTAATTTCTTCAGACTTTATTTGGTTCAAAGAATTCGGGAAGGAAAAGAAAAGAAAAAAGGTAAAAAAAGTGGCAATTTTGGTGTTTGGTTAGAAGGAAAAGAAGAAAATTGGAAGAAAGAGAAAAGGTAATGGAGATGTTATGTTAAATTCAAAGGAAAATAAAAGGTAATGGAAACGTGATGTAAAATTACAAATGCGATTTCCATCATTTTTTGTGAGGACAAGGACATAAAATAACAAACTTCTCCCTTCCCTTCCACCTTCTCGCCCACCTCACCCTCCCCCTATCAATCAAAAAAATATTGGTGAAAAAAAAATCTCACCAATTTTGTTAGCGACCAGATAAGATTAAGTTTTTTTTTTCTCTGACTTTCTTTTCATTTCTTTAGCATTTTAATTCCCTTCGCAATTCCCACACCCAAACATAGAGTAAGGATTCTTTTGATGCGACTTATGTTCAATTTAAGGATCTTTGTGGGCCAATCGCTCGTTCGATGGTGGCCCATCCTTTCAACCCATTGGTGTGTTGAGTATACCACATTTAATGTCTGCATTTGAGTCTAAAACTAGTACAAATATATAATTAGTGTGAGATAACCCTTTTATCTTGAGCATCCTTTTGTGGTGTCTTTGGCCCAATATAACAGTTCCAAGTGAAATGATTTGCAGACCGACAAGAACATGTATCAAACATGGAGACAAAAACCATCACCACGCAAGCAAGAGAAGTGGAACAGTGATACTAGGGAAGCAACCAGTGGCGGTGTATGCCATCTTCTGTTGTTATGAACTTTTCACTTGGCATACATTTTACTCCTTCCGTCACGCAAAAATTTCCGTTCTTTCCATTTTAATCGCTACCAAAAAACTTCACTTTTCTTTTAATGAAAAGAATATGATGCTTAGAAACGTTCTCTTTCTTCTTTACAAATTCCAACCACACTTTTTTTTTCACTTTTCTACACTTTTTCTTAAACTCCGTGAAAATGAAACACATTAATTTTTTTATGGTGCTGAAACATTCTCCATAGGATAACAGAAAAATGTTACATCTGTTTATTGAGACGAAATTTCTGGGTTTCGCAGGATTTGATGCTCAGAGAACTGAGACATCCCAATGGGGACCCTAAAGTATTAGCAGCTCAGTCAATGAAAGAATACATAAAGGTATATTCTGATTTTTGTTTGTTTTTCCGTGTTGCCCATGCTTTTAACATGTGCCCGTGTGCTTTGGGTCTAGTGTTGTTTTTACTTTATGTGTGCTTTTGTGTTGAGCCGAGGGTCTCTCTACTTCCAAACTTTCAAGTAAGGGTTAGGTATGTTTGTCTTGTGGGATTCTAGTGGCATTGTTGTTTTTGTTGTTATTTTATTCCCATTCTTTCTCTTATCATAAATGGGAGTATGCGTTTTAGTGCAGTTGAAAAACAAACTGCAGCTGCTCACCTTAGGCATTGGTGGTTTCGGTGTCATCTCAACATATGTTTCATATTCTCCCGAAGTTGCAGCAAGGTTCTTTCTTCTTCCCCTTTATTTGTGTTTTTTTTGCTTATTTATTTAAAATTTGTGGCTCTTTTTGTTGTTTTGTTTGCTGATTAGTTATGCAAATGCACACACACAAAATATATGAATTTCAAAATAGGGATTGACTTCATAAAATAAAATTGGATAATCCAACAAGGAATTCCGATATGGTTTTCCCACCCAAGGCAATAAGTGTTTATAAATTTGTGCGTCTCGAAGTCTCGAAGCAAATGTTATTTTATCTCATAATGTACACAGTTATGGCGTCGGCTTGCTTGGGTCATTGGCATATTTGCGCATGCTTGGGAACAGTGTGGATTCCATACAAACTCAAGGAGCCTCGGGGCTCGTAAAGTACGCTTTGTATTAGATCATGCTTCTTTTATTTTAGTACCCCCCCCCCCTCCCCACTTCAAGAGGAGGAAGGGGCTGGGGTGTGCTTGGGTTTCTTTCAATAAGTAGCTTACACGAATGTTAATACTTTTGCCTTTCCTTTCAGAGGAGGTGTAGGGCAGCCAAGACTATTGATTCCTGTTGTTTTGGTTATGATCTATAACCGGTGGAATGGGTAAGATCTTTTGCTTGTTAGCATCAAATAACTTTCATCTGATATCTTTCTTCTCGTTTTGATTTGGACACGTTTTTTATGTAAGATGAAAAAATGTCTGACTTTCTATTTTTTCCCTTGGTGGTGTAGTAAATTCAAGATAGATCTAAGAAAGGTGAATCATGCTAAAGTATGGGTATAGTCTTTTAGTTGTAAAAGAGGAAGAAAGATACGAGACAATGTTCAAAAAGGAAACGGGGAAAAAGATAACCAAAATGGGTAAAATTATCGAGAGATGATTGAAAAAAATTATAATCTAATTGGAACTACATAACCAAAATTTTTGTACGCTACCACCCCCTCCACAATTCACCTCGTGTTTAAATAACGCACCCCTCATCTCTTTTACACTTGTGCAATTTTAAATTACGCATCCCCCATCTCTTTTACACATGTGCAACTTCAAAAACCCCTTCACAATTCCCTGTTCTTTTCAAATTTCAACACATCACCCCCTTCAAGAATGATGCTTTCCCTGACCCTGGGTCAGGGCGAAGAAGTTGTTGATTGAACGCTTCTGGCCTACCTACAAAAAGAAGGTGGAAGAAGTTTCTTGGAGGTCTTCGATGAAGTCCTGGATCAGTATCCCGAAAAGGAAGATTCCCATGAGGATGAAGAACCAGAAGATGTTAAAACAATGATAAAATGGAATGGGGTAGAAGGCGCCCAAAAAGATAAAAAGAAAAAGAAAAAGAAAAAGCAAGGAGGCAATTTCTTCTTTGAATGCCCTTTTTCTAGACTGGTGTTACTCGCAATGCTTGTGATTCATGTAAGTTTCTTCTTAGAAAGATCATGAATGACGGTGTGTCCTTGCTTTTTGGGCGTTTGAAGAAAAAATTGCCTCCTTGCTTTTTCTTTTTCTTTTCATCTTTTTGGGCGCCTTCTACCCCATTCCATTCTATCACTGTTTTAACATCTTCTGGTTCTTCATCCTCATGGGAATCTTCCTTTTCGAGATACTGATCCAGGACTTCATCGAAGACCTCCAAGAAAACGTCTTCCGCCTTCTTCTTGTAGGTAGGCCAGAAGCGTTCAATCAACAACTTCTTCGCCTTGTCCCACAGGTTCCGGAAAAGCCTCATTCTTGCAGGGGTGATGCGTCGAAAGTTGAAAGGAACATGGAATTGTGAAGGGGTTTTTGAAGTTGCACATGTGTAAAAGAGATGGGGGATGCGTAATTTAAAATTGGCAAATTGCATAGGTGTAAAAGAGATGGGGGCGCGTTATTTGAACACGAGGTGAATTGTGAAGGGGTGGTAGCGTACAAAAATTTTGGTTATGTAGTTCCAATTAGATTATAATTTTTTTCAATCATCTCTCGATAATTGACAATTTTACCCTTGAAATCGTATTTTTTTTGTGAAGGATTGTGGTCCCCGAATACGGACTGATTCACCTTGAGTTGATCCCAATGTTGGTTGGATTTTTCACCTACAAGATTTCCGCTTTCATCCAAGCCATTGAAGATGTATTGTAGGCGTGGGATGAGGTGCGAGAATTGCAGCCGTCACACTTAGTCCTTGTTTGGTTTGGAAGGTTGTGGGGAGGAGGGAAAGGAAAGAGCCAAGTAGTTCTCATTGAGTCATTGTAAATTTTTATCTTGTTTTCCTTTTGGGTTGCTTGGTTTGATGAGCCTCACAATGAAAGATCCAAACATGGTACTACCTCACAACATATATGGAGCATATAGAATTGATAGATAAAGTATCGATTGTAATAACTACAGAGTACTTTCTACTTTCGTCTCGCAAAAACGTTCCTGATAAATATTATTACTGTTATGGGTTAATATTATTTCACATAAATATCAATAATAAACTTTCATTTAAACTTGTGAAAAAGTAAACGTGAAAGTTCAATTTGGATCGGATGGAGCATCTTAAATTCATTTGTTTGTTTTCGAATGTCAAAAAATTTATTTGCCTAAAATGGGTTTTTTTTTGGCCAAAAGGTGTTTGCATTACGAGACTCATTATTGTGTTTTTAGACAGAGAAAGTTCCAAAGAAATTGGAGAATAAAACAGCAATGTACCGTATCTGGAATGTCCTTTAAAGAACTTTATAATTTTAAAAAGAGTACATTGTTTATTCTTGAACATTAAAAAATGTACTCCGTATCATTTACTCTTAAACTCTTCAAAAATTGCACGATGTACTCGTGAACATTAAAAAGTGCATCAAATTCACATGAACAATTTAAAACGTTGCATCGTTAGTCCCAAAATGCTAGATAGAGAATGTGTTGCTCTCATGCACAGAAATTACGAGTATGAGGCCCATGTGAATTCTCCAATGTACCATCTCCAAAATTATTGCCTTCATTTAAATGTTTAGGATAAAGCATACAATTTCTGAAGAGTTCAACGATATTTGATACACTATTTAATGTTCAGAAGTAAATCGTGTAATTTTTTTAAAAAAATAGAGATATTTGATGTATTTTTTAATGTATAATAATAGACCATGCAATTATCGAAGAATTCAGGTATAAAGAGTGCATTTTGGGACTAAATTTCCCTGCCGTATTTCTTTAGATTCGAAGAGCGCAAGTATTAAGGTATATATAACTTCAACAGAAAGCATGAAGCAACAGCTCTCGTAGCTCAGTTGGTTAGAGCACCCGTTTAGTAAGCGGGAGGTCTTGAGTTCGACTCTCAACGAGAGCATATCTTTTTGTTTCTCCTCCCTTTTCCCTTCTCGTCGGAGTTTTGGAGTAGCCAAACAATTCTAAGCACCATACAAACCAGGTCATTAATTAATGATTAAGGACACTGATTAAGAGAATGTAAACGTTTTTTCTGCTTTTTAAAACTCCATGATTAAGACCACATTCATTAATTACCATCACTTTAATTAAACTTACCAATACCTTTCTTTCATGAACCATTTGGGACTTTGGGTGAATGAATGAATTATATGGACACAAGTCTAACTACAGTTCCAAACTTTTAAAACAAATGCAATCAGCAGAAAATTCAACTTTTGTACAAAACAACACTAGAATAAATTAAAATTAAAAGATATCCTTAATAAAACATTACAAATAAAGCAGAGAGTATATTCATATGTAATAGTAATACGTGCGAGGTATTCAATTATATATTTAATTTTTTTTATTGATAATTGATTTGGCTTATTATATATATATGATATCAAAATCTTTTTTTACTAGAAAATAACGACTTCATGCATGCAATTCAATATTCTAAAGTAACTCCAACAAGCAAATTTATCACATGCTTTCATAAAAAAAGCATTCAATTTACAAATGAGAAGACACGTTAAAATAAAAAATGCTATGATTGATTAATTATATTAGAAGAGTAGAAGGTGGGAAGATGTCCAAATGGAGAATACTTGGTACATATGGCCATAAGGGTGTGCTATCACCAAATTTAGGGGATTTATTTTTCCTACAATTAAAATAAGTTGTTAGATTTTACAAATTTACAATTTTTAAATTAAATTATGCTTGGTATAGTAGATTTTTGGAAGATGTTGAAAATTATACCCAGGGCCGGGGTAGATTTTCTCTCTTCAAATTTACAGAATTTTGAAACTTTCTAATATAGATTACTTTTCTGAACTTGTTCTTTGGTTTAATCAAATTTCACACATTAAATTTCTAGAGTCGACCGTGTGGTTGTGCCAAGTGTGTACCCACGCAAGATCCTTTATTTTATAGGGTCTAATATTTTAAAAGTTTTATAGCTTTGATTATTTGACATGAGAAGACTAATTTTTCATATTTATAAACACATATATAAATATTCAAAGTGGAACAATTTAATGTCAAAATTAGACCGGTTTCATATTATGACATCGGTTGTCAAAATTAGAACCTAGTTTTTCTTAAGGAGAGGGAAGTAATTTGCATTAATTTTAAACAATAACAAGCATTGTATGAATTACTAAGCATTCACTAACTAGTTGTGCACTTGTAAGATACATAAGTTCAGTTTTATTATTAAAGAATTTGGAGAGTTTTCCATTAATGGAAGCTATCAAAACTAAGGGCTAATGCTCTTAACTCACTCTCAAGAAATTCCAAATGCATGCATGAGCAAACCTCTTCAGTGGGTTATTCTTAATTACTTCTTCTTTCCTTTTGCTAATCTTTCCAGGATTTCAATTAACCTTTCTAACCACTTTATATATATCTAGCTTTTTGTTGGGTTTTCTCAGGCACAATCTTTCATCCAAGAACATCAATCTTGAATCTCAACTTTCTCTGTTTTTCTCTGTTTTTATAAGGTAATAATTGTTATTATTTTCTTTAAAAAAAACTGCATATATACAACCCATGTTAAGTTTTTTTAAAATTGTGTTTATGATGCTGCACTATTTTTGGATTTGATATTGAAATGATTTTTTTCTCTCAAAATGTGTTATTCCCACATTTGAATGTCCTCAAATTAAACCATTAATTTGTTTTTAAATCAACTTAAATTCCAAGACCAATTGTAATTATATGATATTTATATAGAGAATAATTTGTTTCTTCTTATCTAATGATATGTGTTACATGATTATTTGATGCTGCAGAGAGGCATAACAACAAGAAGACTTGTTTAAAAGACAAAAATGTTGAGAAACAATGTTGATGAAGAGAAGAAACTAAAACTGAATCAACCAATTCTATCTGTGAGGCGAATTTCGTCGTCCCCTAAGAGTAGTAAAGATGAGGACAAAAAGGACAAGGAGAACGAGCCAGTGAGGAGCCCCGGGGTTGTGCCCTTTGTGTGGGAAGATAGCCCTGGGAAACCTAAATCTTCTCCCGGGGATAGAACGGTAAATGTCAGGCATCAATGCTTTGATAAAGCCGTTAGAAGGAGGCTAAGTTTCACGAACGTCGAAGAACAACAAGAAACAAACTTTGTCTTCTTTAAAGGGTCCCACGCAACCGACAGGACAAACCCACACACGAAGGACTTCATGATCGGGCTATTCTTGCCAGCAAATAAGGGAAAATGTTCAGAAATGCCCATATACGCCCCTAGAAATCAAGGGCCATATCAAGGACCGAGAAGGATACGACGTTATCACCAATCACACGATTTCAAAGGAGAAGACAACGCCGAAGTACAAACGAACGGTTTCCCCCCTAAAGTTTTTCGAGGGGTGCCTCGCTTTTGCGTGAGAAGCTCAATTTTCATCGTGAATCCCATTTCCGCAACAAGCTTTCGTAGAGCGCAAAAATACTCGTTTGCGCATTCGTGCACGAGAGTAAATAATGAGGTATTTGTCCCAGCTTAGCTTTAAGTATCCTACATCGAAAAAATTAGAGAGAAAAGATGAGCTAATTATAATCCAATCTGTTTAATGACTCAATTGAGTGAGTTCTATTCACATATGAACTTTGATTAATTAATTTGCAGCGACCAAAGGGTGATGTGACCAAGCAGATTTCAGATGCTCTTAATACCAGTCACAGATTCGCAGCCAGCGTGGGGCTTGACGCCATGAGAACCTGCAAAAAGTTCTGCAGAAAGCTTCAAGATCTCATGGCTGCAGATCGTCCTAATTCAATGCAGGAAATGGAGAAATCTTCAACTCCAGAAACAGATTCTCCAAGGATGACGATGAATGAGCAAGACGAAGACGAAGAAGAATTCGCTGCAGATTTCACTTTCACTGATGATGATGATGATGGTGAAGATGATGAGGATGAGGACGGTGATGATGATGATGATGATGATGATGGAGCGGAAAGAGAGGAGTATATGAGAAATCGAGAAAATTTAGGGTTAGATCTGCAAACTTCGTCGTATAGATTCGATGAAGACGAAGAAAGGTGTGTGAAGGAGGAGATGAGGAGTAGGAAATTAAGGCATTCAGCAGATTTGAGTTTTGAGTTTCCGGTTTCGCCGCCGCCATTGCCGGAATCTCCATCGGAGTCATGGCTCTCCCGCACTTTGCCTTCGTTGTCTGCTAAATCTGCACCTTCAACCCCTCGTCGCCTTCCATTTAGATATCCCACGGCCAAACCTTCTGAGGTACAAATCTCAGCCTTTCCCCATTGTCATAACGAATAAACATGTTTCATATTCTAATTATTTGTGTAGTTTTAATTTTTTACAATCAATCATTTTTAATTTTAAAATATACATCAATTTTAAAATATATATACCGTATATTAATTGAATAAAATAATACGAGTATCAAAAATATTTAATTTCATGAATTTAATGAGATTATTTTTGTATCAATATATATGATAACGTTTTTACTAAGTTTGTGATCAAAATTTATCGATTTTAACAACAAAAAAGTAAACAAATATTCAAAAACGAAGGAAGTACTAAAACATCACTCCATATATATATTAAAACAAACGGTGCAAAAATGGTAAAATACCAATATACAATGATAAGTTTCGTTAATCCTCTGATTTAAGATATGAAATATAGGCGGGCTTAATCGAGTCTGATATAAATTAAATGTTTTAGTCTTAATCAAATAGTCATGAAATATTTTCTCTTTGGTATGTATCACTGTTAGTCGTTATTGGTTGCTGGTTTGTGTAAGAACGGGTGAAGAGGGAGATTTTACTGCATAAAGAATGGTGATATGAAGAAGCAATTTGGTCTTTGGAATGCTACTTCTTCTTCAACTGTGCAATCCTTAACACGAGGAATGAGTATTTTACAGAGTATCTTTCTTTTTAGAGGCTTCCTTTGGGAGAGGGGGTAATTGTTAGTATGATCATACTTTGTATGATTTACAAGCAAAACCAAATCGGTAGAAATTACAAGCCTTTTCTGGCAATATCATGACAAAGAAAACAATTTTATCGATATTCAAGGAAACCCTAATGTTAGTGTTCATCCCACGAGTATTTCTCGTAGGCCGAACCCATATACTCCCTCCGTCCCATAAAACCTTTCTCCTTTCTTTTTTCATCCGTCCCATAAAACACTTCTCATTTCTATTAAAAAGTCACTTTTACCCCTTACTTTTTCATACCCTACCTATCACATCATACATTTTTACTAATAATCTACCCATCAAATCCTATTTGTACTCATTACATCAAAGGACATTTTTGGAAATTTAATACCAAAATACACTCCCTTAAATCTCTTCAAAAAGCAAAATATCTCATGTTTCATGGGACGGAGGGAGTATTATCTCTGAGCCTATATGAGTATTATTCCATCACATATGAATTAAACATATATAGAATGAATAATTTCGCAATGCAAACATAAACGAAATGCGGAGAATTTATTAGGGGACAAACAATGTGGAAAAAATATATTACTCATTCTTACTAGGAAAAATTATACATTATCGTATAACAAGGATAACTGACTCCTTAAATAAGTGCCGGAAGGATTATAGTTTTTCTCCCCAACTAATGGTACAAATGGAGTATATAAAGCCTGATTGCCAGACCAACAATAATATATATGGCTCTGGTATATTGATAATAATATGTACAAATCAAATACCTATTCTCAAGCCACCAGAAGACATTATTCCCACAATTGATTGAGCTATAGCAAAATTAATTGACCTCGATAATAATAATAATGGTATGAAGTGCTTGATGCATTCAATGCGCGATTTGGGGAAACGAGTCCTAAGTTTTTATTGCGCGACCCTTGTATTGCCCTTTCAGAATTACAAATTTGTCGGGAGGCTGATACTCTTCGAGCCAAGTCACTTCGGATGTTCCGACTCCATCCACTTTGAGCTCGCCTTCACCACACAAAGAAGGAAAAAAAACTCTTATATTTTAATGCTAAATCATGAAGAGTTGGTTTGGACAACTTAATTTTGGGCCTACTATATTCTTTCCACCAAATACTAGCTTATTTTATTGCGCTGGCTGAATCGACTTAAAGTGGAGTTGTTAAGGAACAAGTCAACCACAAACTCAAGCTTATTATGGTTGAACAATTGGGAAATGTTTTATACTCTAACATAGTAACATACTTACCCACGTGCAAGCAAGCGTTGTTTTTTTACTCGATCCTTGCACAACAACATTACCCTAGTGCCTCAAAGGCTATCGTCCATTGCACGGTAAGGGTGGTCGGATGTACGCATCCTAACCCTTGTTTTTAAAACATTGCGCGTCTATTTTCAAATGACCCATGATGGATGCTAAAAGTAGCAATGAATAATTGCTACTTCATTAAAAATGAAGTGCAGACAATTTAAAAATCATTTTGTTTTATTACCATACCCTAGAGCCAAAAGGTAGTGAATCCTTGGCTCTATCGGAGATGATAGAAATACTAAAGTCTTGCACGCGAATTTTTACTTCTTAATGCGTGACCTCTAGATCAAGAAGGCTCTCATACCATATTAAGAAACTAACCCAACTACAAGCTTTCCACAAGCTCAAGCTTGTATTTGAACGCTCATGAAATGTTTCACTTGAAAAAAAGTAATGAAAAAGTTGCTTTTTAACCCACCCTTTCATGTATGAGTCGTTCTTTCATGGTTTTAAGGTCCACATTTGAAATATGGACCTTCTCACACTCTTCATGGGCTGGCAAGTAGATATTTTCTTGTTTTCTAAAACGCCCAATTCTTTTGTGATATCAATGCACTAAGGTTCATAAAATGAACACAGACCTTAGGACCACGTAAGAATTTGTCTTCATGCATTCAACAACTTTAGTTGAGTGAGTTGTTTCATTCATTTTAAGCCTTGCCAAATTGGCTATATGGTCAAAATTGTTGAGACAAAAGAAGTCATGGAGTTTCCAATACCTGGAAGATCCCGTCTTGGAGACTTCTGGAAGTAAGTGCAATGACAACCATCCTCAGAAGCGTATGGTGGAAAGAGAATGTCCAAGAAAGCGCAATGAGTGATGGCTTTAAAACAATGAATATTCCCGCCACTAGTTGGGTAGAGAGTTGTTGTACCACACGGAGCAATCATCTCACAATCTCTGACAAGCTTTGCCGGTCTTGCCCCAGAAACCCATTATGATGAACTTGTCACAAACCAATGGTGACAAACTCACAAGTCATTCATCCACTTGGGTGGAAAATTTAATTTGATAAACTCTGTCTGTCTTAGAATAATTTACCCACTTTCCTTTCTAATCTAACCCAAAATAATTTACCCACTTTTTCTATTTTCCTTCTAGGAAAAGAATGTGGTCCAGAACACTTCATACGTTCGAAACAAATTCTAATCACCCATTTTTCACTTTTGTACCTCTTTTCAACATTTTACAACACTTTTCTTAATCTTCGTGAAACCAAATGTATAAGTTATTCTGGGACGGATGGAGCCATCCACTCTTAAGATTCGCTCTAAATCCCAAATTTCTATTATAAATGACACACACCTTGGGATTGGGATAGATGGGAAGGCTCTGGTAGATCTATACAATCGTATGCTTTCACTAATAAAGAACCATAGAGCAGCTTGCTTAACACTGTCATCCCAGGATGGTTATGAAGTGGAATGACAGAGGAAGGAGGCATGCAGAATATTCCTATCTGTTGAAAGCAAGTGTTAAACACATTTCTTGTGACCAAATTAAATCAATTGATCCATAACAAAACCCAGTAAGACTGATTTTATTTCAAACACTTACAGAAAAGCTGTCACACTCGTGTAAATGGAGGTACTTGATAGCTGGTATGGATGGAAGACGCCGCCCATTGGGCACACCCATTGTACCATTCTGAGTCCGTACTAATTGTGCCTCTTGTTCAAGGCCGACATCAGAAGGCTTGAGTTTTTCTGGAGCAAAAAGAGCACTGCAAAAGTTAATACTTTGCAGCAATTAGATGTATTTTAGTGTCTGCAACCCCTGCTTCCATTCTATCCCATGGGTTGGGAAGGTGATAATTTTTTTAGCCTTTTGAAGTTACAAATATGAGGAAATAGATTGACTAACAAACAAATGTATGGACACAAGGCAATTTTCAACTAGCTACAAGGCAAATAAGGCAAGATCAATAAAACACATTCCCATTAAATGTTTCCTATCTTATGCCGAGTAAAACACGCCCATCCCAAACCCCACTCTATGGGATTCTTCTAGGACTTACTCCCTCCATTCCACAATATTTGTCTATTAAAGATTATTAGATACATTAGATTTTGAATGAATGTATGAATGTAGACATAGGTATGTCTACATTCATTCAAAATATAATGCATCTTATAAGCGTTAATAGACATTTATTGTGGAATGGAGGGAGTATTGTTGTAAATAAATAAATAAAAACTTTACAAGTCATGTGTTTGTCTTAAGTGATCAAATTTTCAAATGTGTGAATGATGATTGCCATTGTTTTCAATAGAAACTTAACAAGTTATTGGGTTTTATGAGGATATCACCATGCAGCCATAAATGAATTGCACCCTCCTACCTAATATAGCGCGAACTTTTTCGAGCGCCTCTTCAGAAACAGGCTCATTTGTTGAGAGTAAAGCCTTGCAAGAATTGTAAAGCTTTTGTACAGCTGGCATGCCTAGCAAACCTTACTACAGCAACCACTGGTTATTCACTTTGAATTTGTTTTCTCTATGGATTGTTATAGACACAAGCTATACATCGTCCGAAGGGTCCTCTATTTAGTGAAGACCCTTCAGAGCCGAACTGGGGGAAACGCCTTAAATAAGAAACTGTTCCATTGTATCTTCAGCACTACCTAGTGAACCAAAAAAACACAAATACAAGAGTCAGCAAATCACCCGGCAAACCGAACTCTGAAATGTTTGAACACAAAGAAACATTATTTCTATAATCACAACATCATGCCTATGTTCATTCAAGCCATAGCTTATTCACCTATACAATATTCAAAAACCAAAGGCTACGTACTGCGAAACCATACAATAAATTAAAGTGATTCTCTACACAATAGCATACTCCCTCTTGTCCCACAAAAAGGATCCATGTTTCCATTTTGGCATGTCCCAAAATAACACTCCACTAAATTGTATTGTTCGCGTTATTTCTGCATAAACTTCAACCACACAATTTCAATTTTCTTAAAAACCACGCGGGCCGGCCAATGTGGAACCTCATTGCCTAAATATTGGTAAAAGGGAGTACATATCATTATATCAACCCGCCGAAAACCAAAAAAACAAAAAACGAAAAATGCTCTGAATATGAACATAAGAATAAAATTATAAAGGAAAAATTACCTAAAATAATCCCAACTTTACCCGGTCTTTCAAAAATAATCCCACCTTTCACTGTGATGCATAACAATCCCAACTTTATTGAAATTTGCCAATTTTGGGTCGCCGTTAAGTTTCTAACGGAGGTAGAAAGTAATTTAAAAAATTTAAATGAAAAATTTAAAAAAAATAAAAAAATGAAAATTCATCAAAAATAATCCCAATTGTCTAAAACGGACATTTCTGTTAACCCTTAGTTAAAAACTTAACGGCGACCCAAAATTGTCAAATTTGAGTAAAATTGGGATTATTATGCCCCATTGAAAGGTGGGATTATTTTTGAAAGACGGGGTAAAGTTGGAATTATTTTGGGTAATTTTTCCAATTATAAATTGAGAAAGGAGATGAAAATGGAAATTTATATAATTCGGGGGAAAAAAATAATCGCAAATTCAAACTAACAATAGAATAGTAACAGGAGAAAGTTAATATGTGTAGTAATCGGTGCTAATGAATTGGTCCCCATGGACGAAGAGAGACTGACCTAATCGAAGAACAGCGACGGAGATGGAGACAGATAATAAGGAGAAGCGTGACAATTCTTCTTCTTCTTCTTAGGTCCGACCCGGCGGGGATCCGACCTCCGGGAATGCTTATTTTATTTTCAATTTTACAAAATCATTAGTTACGTACGGGCGAAAGAAAAACGTGTTTTGTTTGCCTCGAAATGCAAATGCAAAGTACCGTCTCCCTTTTGTCAGACTTTTTGTTTGGTCCGTCGGTCCGCCCATACAAATTTTATCCGATTCCCATCTTAAACTATAATCAATTTCTTTATCTACTTCTTTTAGTTATTGATAAAATATTATAGTCTCGTCATTTTTATTTTATAAAACTTTTGATATAGTTTTTATATATATAAATTTTTTTTATTTTACACCTACAATCAAATAACTTGAACTGAAAGTAAAGACGGTCAAACCTTGTTAGCAAAAACAGAAAGAACATTTTAAGGTGGAGTGAGTAATTTTTAAAAATTTATAGCTACTCCATCCGTCCTAAAATGTTCTTCCCACTCACTTTTTACTCGGTCAAACTTTAATCATTTTTTTTACCTATTTTCATTAGGTATTTGATAAAATAATATAGTCTTGTCACCACTTATTTTGTAGAAATTTTGATGTAGTTTTTAAATATATAAATTTTATTTTTTAATTTTACACCTACAATCAAATAAATTGAATTGAAAATAAAGTCGGTCAAACCTCGTAAAATAAATCGGGAAGATCATTATTCATCATAGGACGGAGAGAGTATTTTTCTGTGCTTGTAAACTAGTCAAACTTTTCCTCGCAATTTAGGAATATTTACAAATTACATATTTCTCATTTATATCATAATATTTCCATAAAAAATATGTAACCCATAAATAACTTATAAGTTAAAAATTAATTATCAATAATAATAAATGAGTAAAGACCAAGTCACTAAAACAACAAAACACGTCCTTTATACTCTCTCCGTCCTGAAATGTTCTTCCCACTTACTATTCACACGGTCAAACTTTAATCATTTTCTTTACGTATTTTCATTAGGTATTTGATAAAATAATATAGTCTTGTTATTACTTATTTTGTAGAACTTTTGATGTAGTTTTAAATATATAAATTTTATTTTTTAATTTTACACTTACAATCAAATAAATTAAATTAAAAATAAAGTCAATCAAACTTCATAAACAGAACCGGGAAGATCATTATAAGACAAAGGGAGTATTATACTCGGAAACATTATCTATATGATCTTTACATAATAGAGTAAAATTGTACTATTCCGTAAACAAAATGATGATTAAAAAAAGGTCGACTCCACTATAAATATCATTCCGCATGACCCGGCGCAATAAGTGGGGGCCACGTGACAAGAAATTTCATTATTTCTTTTTTTTTTAAAATCCTACAGTGAGTAAAGATGCCGTCCATGTCGCTTTCGCCTTTCACCCCGTCCCGGCGGCTAAGCACGGCGTTTCAAATGTTGCACGGCGGAACACCACCGAGCACTCCGGCAGCTCGCCGAGATCCCCGAACAAGGGCTGGTCCTCTTCCCCGACGGGCAACATGAGCGCGACGTCAGCATCGCGCCACAGAACGGACCCCGCCGCCGGGATCTCCACGAAACGGGACCCCACGTCGGGGAACCACCCCAGATCGCCGGCGATCTCCCTGAAGCAGTCGATCTCCGGGTCTGGGTCCGCGAAGATGTGCAGATCCGGTGAGGGAGGGGGGACGGGGTCAGAGGCGGGGACGGTGGCAACGGCGGTGGTATGGTGGTGGGTTTTGGTCGGCGGCGGGTGGTTGTGGGTGGAGGAGTAGGTGAGGAGGATCGTGGTGGGGTCCAGCCGGCTCCGCTCCACTTGTTTTCTTGCCGGACAGCCTTTTGAGCTACTACATCGATAATATCCCCTGCATAAAATCAATGATTAATTATTTTTTTTACTTTCCAAAAAAAATACTGACTAATTGTTTTTATTAATTACTCCGTTGAATTTAATGGACAATCTAAACCTGTCTAGTTGCATGAAAAAGTCAAAATTGCATTAACAAGCAAGTTGAGTATAAATTGCCTTTGGGTGTATGACACTAAGGAGCTGTTTGTTTCAGCCTTTTAAAGGTTCAGATGTCTGAATGGTTCAGCACTTAATAGTTCAGACTGTTTGTTTCTGCCTCTTAATGGTTCAGATGTCTGAATGGTTAAGAGATTTGTCTCTGAATGATTAAGTATTATACATAATCTGAATGGTTAAGACCTCTTATCTGAATTGATCAGACATTTGCCTCTGAATAGTTAAGCAATATATTAGCTCTTAATGGTTCAGACTTCTTACTAGTTCCGCACTTAATGGTTCAGACCTCTTACTGGTTAAGCACTTACCTATTCAAAAGTTGCAAAACAGACCCTAAAATATCTCAAAGGTAATACTTCCTTATCTCAATTTAGATTAGACAATTCAAAAAAATATGCAACATTTTTTATTCTTTAAATTTAACTTATTATAAATTATAATAAAAAATGTAACTTACATATCTAAAAATTATATTAAAAAATTTACAAAAATAAGTAGGGCCAATAATGTTAAATTTTGTCAAATGATCAATACAAAATTAAAATAAATAAAAGTTATCAGATAGTAAATATGTATTTTGACATATGCCTTTCCATAACATGCCTTAAAAAGAAAAAAATTTATAGAGGATACAATCTCTCCATTAAAATGTGTATCTCTCCATTAAAATTATGGAAAATGACTAAATTAGTAGTAAAAAATAGAAGAAAATCAAAATGAGAATTTCATATTTTTTTATCCCTAAAATCAAAATACAATGTCAATAATACTAATATATTTTACCAAAAAATATAGTACGATGCCACTATACAAAAACATAATATCAGAATGTAAGATCTTATTTTAGAGATAAAAACATGAAACTCTTATTTTGATAATAGATACGAGTATTAAATTTTACTCTAATTTGAAGTGATTTTCTTTAAAATTAAAGAGTCGAGCACGCTAATTCTCACGCTAATTGGTGTCTCGATGCATACAAGACTTGTGGATGTATAAAGCAGAAAACATAGATAATATATACTTTTCCGTCTCCAAATAGATTACATTGTCCATTTAACGTGTAAAATCTCGTGATTTGTAAAATAATTTTATTTATAAATTTGTATAAATATAAAAAATAAAAAATAAATATATTTAAAAACTACATCAAACTTTATATAAAACAAGGGGTGACAAAAATAGTTTTTTTATCAAATAATCTATAAAAAATATGTAATAAATAAAAATTATCAAGAGACCGCAATAGTAAATAGGTGAATCATTTTGAGACGGATGGCATACTTTCAAATAGGTTTGACCAAGATGCCCATTGGGTCGAGTCTGAGGTACATTTGAGTCGGATTCAGATTAGAATACTCATGTTCAAAAGGTCATTGATTCATGTCGACCCAACATATTATAAATTTTATTTATAAAATATTAAAATTTATGACAACACTCTTGTTTTGCATTAAAATATCATAAATATAATTAATTACGGAGTATATCAATTCATTTTTTGGCATTTTTTATAATTTTGTATATACTCCCTCTGTCCCTAAAAGATTATTACATTTTGACTTTTTTGTTTAAATTGTGACATTTTTGGTCAAAAATTAAATAATTAAATATTACTACTATATGACAAATAAAAAATGTAACTTTGAAGTTAAAAATATGGAGTAACACATTTTTTTGTGCAACTAAAAACTAATTAAAGTGACTTAGAACAAATAAATTTATACATTGTATTAATGTATTACATACACCCGTTGCGTAAAAAATGAAATTTAAAATAAAAAACAATGAATGAAAACCCTTAAAGAATGGAAATTAAAATAAAAAAATTGAAATACAAAATTGTTTTCTTACTTCAATGTAATTTCATACTCCGTATTAGTTATTTCTTAATAAGAAAATTCATCTTTTTATTTCTTTAGGGTTTTAATAAGATTTTATGTTTTATTTTTTTTATTTCGATCATATTATACCAACATGAAGAAATAATACATTAATACTCTATATAGTGCTTAAAACATTAAAACGCATCACTCCATATATTTTTAGTTTTATTTATTATCAGTTTAATTTTAGTCTTTATCGATTATCTTTTTATTTCATTAATTTTGTATGATTTTTATTATTATTATTTTCATTTTTGTTATTTCTTATATATCAATTTTGTTAATTATTTTCTGTTATAAGACTCACCTTTAAAAGAAGAAGAAAATGGAGGTTCAATGTTATTTAAAAAATTAAGGGAAAATATTTCAAAAAAAATTTATAAAAAATAATCTCAACTTTCATGTTGTTGCGCGAAACAAAACATTTTAGTTAAAAGCATTTCTATTAAACAACCATTAGAAGCCTAAAGGTAATCTAAGACTTGCAAATTTTAATAAAGTTTAGATTTTTGTGTATCACAATATAATACTCCCTCCGTCCCTTATAGATCTTCTCAATAACCCTTTTTCTTTGTCCACAATAGATCTTCTCATTTCATTTTTTAACAATTAAAATACCACAACTACCCCCAATTACTTTATTTATTACACCTCACCCACCTCATTTAATACACTCCACCCATTTTCAACTCTCCTTAAAAACCATCAAAAACCAAAATGAGAACATCTTAGGGGGACGGAAGGAGTACTCCGTATGTGATTATGTTTTAAAACCATATTAGTTAGGATTATTTTAAATAATTCTTTCTAATCTTAATTGCATTATGTGGATTATCTCATGTTGTACGTGTAAAAAAAAGACCACAGCCCACGGATTGGCCACCCAACCAATCACCACACCCATTTAATGCATCACATGGGCCCCATTCACATTAGTGGCCCGGCCCGTCGGGCAACTAAAATCTAAATGAGCTGATAGACATTAAAGACAATTCATGGCCACTTAATACTTTTTCCGCCCTTCTTAAATATACCCACCACTCCTTCAACGAAAAAAAAAATTTTTGGATAGTTTTTTTAGGAAGGTCTCATTTGGCATCAACGTTAAAAGATATGATTGCGGTAACATTTTGAATAGGTTATCTAATGGTAGCATTTAGTGTTAGTCACAATTAATTTATGTCGTTAAAATTTTATCCAAAACGATAACAGTAACTTAAAACATTCTTTCCAAACTAAGCAGAGGAAAAAATATAAAAAAAGAAAATTTTGGATGAAGAAAATGAAATTATTTTTCCTCATCTTGTTTGGATATTTTAAGGAGCAATGAAATTATGTTTCCTAATTTAAGTAAACTAACTTCTCTAGGTTCAAACCAATGTAGCGATGCACTTTAACGACTTCGTTTTTTTTTTTAATTTCAAAAAAACAATGGAAAAACAAAACAAAAAAAATTAAATCTCTTAAAACCATCCTCGGAAAAAAAATGTGCATAAAATGGAAAGAACAAATTATTACCTGGGATAAGGGGAGCCTTTAATGGGTTTTTGGCCGTACTTCCGCCACGACCAAGAATCCGGCGGCGGGTAGACTTCCGCTTTACTCCGTGATCCGTCGCCGCCTACCGTCGGCACCGAAACAACCCTCTTCTCCCCTCCTTTCCTGCTAATTACGTACCGAGTACTATATTCATAATTCATAGATGCAATTAATTCCTAGCCAAATTTCCTTACTGCTTAAATAAGCATTTATTCATATTTTTTAATAAAAAATAATTTTTTTATGTAAGAAGATCTACAAAAATTATATGCATCCTAGGTGCATCAAAGAATCACTCTAATTTCTGATGCGGTTTTGAAATTTAATCTAACAATTTAGCATTTTGAAGAATGTTATCGTTACAAAAATATTTAACTTTAACGTTTCCAAAATTGATATGTACCGCAAAACATAAAAATTAACTTTTACGTCAAAGATTCGATAACATAAAAAATGACAATTAAGTTCATACGGAGTATTATTTTATCAAATGAGTAATCAAAATAAAAAAATTAAATATTTTAAGTGTTATTTAGGGAAATAATTTAAGTTTTAGTGCTATTTATTGCAAATATTTCTAAATTTATTTCTAAATTTCCTACACAATTAAGTAAAAAATAAAAATAATTTAATTCAAGTTTTATTATACCCCATTTATTTACTTCCTAGCTAGGAGGGAGTATTAATTTTTGGATTGCTTTTTTTTTCTTGTGTTAATAATAACTGATTTTTAAAAAAACTCTTTGAATTAAATTGTACGGAGGAGAGTTACTTTCATAAGCGAAAAATTAATTAAATCTTAAAAAGTTAGTTAGAAAAAGTACGGAGGAAGTAATTAAGTAGCGAACCTTTTTCTAGGCGGCGATGGGGTGCTAACGTCGGCGGCTTCGTCGCCAGACAGCGGGGACGCTGTAAAATTCTCCGGCGACATGCCGGCCAAGTGTTCTTCTTTTTGCTTGTGATGGCGAAGCCTAGTTTCCATATAAATGTGATCCCGGAAATTAAAAGCCCTTACTAAAATATGAGCTAAGATATGTGTAAATAAATACGGATTATATATATAAATAATTATTGATGAATATATATATATATATAATTCTAAGGAATTATATATCCATGGCAAGTGGTAGAAGACATGCATATAATGAAAGGGCAGGTTTGGGAATTTTATATCCTAATTTTTATTATTATGAAAATATAATTAAATATGTGCAGTAGCATGCGGACAAGTCGCCGGAAAAGGCGGCGGCGGAGGGGCGGCGGAGGAGAGAGTGGTTGGGGGTGGGGAGGTGGTGGTGGAGCAGTTTTTGGGGGCCTTTTTAGGCTTTTAATATTTGGAGTTGGACAAGTTGACAGGCTGGCAAAACTTTCGTTTCATGTGGACGTGCAAGCATTTCTTAAGATAATAATGTTGCATACTTCTATAATTAAAGAGCCATTTGTTAAATAAAAAAAGACTTCTCATTTAATGTAAATAGTGAAAACTATAGAAAGAGTTACGCGGCAAATTCTATAGTGGACTATGGCCCCGTTTGGCATCAGCGTCAGAGATTAGCGTTAGCGTTTTGAAAAAGCCGACGGTAGCCTTTAGCGTTAACGTTTTCAGAATTAATCTGCACCGTTAAAATTTTATCCAAAACGCTGTTACCAAACAAAGCCTATATAAATAAGTATATCTTTTTTTCTTTAAAAATAAAAAATAGATTTTTTATGTAAGAAAATTCACAAAAATAGTATTCATCCGAGGTGCACCATATAAGCATTCTATGCATAAATTAATCCAGCCCGCCAAAGGCCCTGTTGTCCAACGATATGAAAGTGACTCTTCTCACAAATGAGAGATCACAAATTCAATTCCATCTGGGTAATAACTCTACTGCTTAATGAGTTGAAAATGTATAAATTAGAGCTGACAAATTGATCGATTAAGTCTTGTTTGAGTTCGGTCACTTAAGATCTGGGTTATTTCGGGTCTAAATTAGTTCAGGTTCAGATTGAGAACTACATGATCATAACCTAGTGTCATCAGGATCAGGTCAACCCAATGTGTTAGTACCTTTATCTAGTTTTTGAAAATTTAAGAAATTGCTGGGATCCATTGTCAATATTATGAATAAGAAAAAACTAAATTTGCCAAAAATTGGGGAAAAAATAACTTATCTTTGCGATAATGCTAAAATTTTGTATGAAATTATAAATTTATATGCTAAAAACTTGTAAGAAAAGAAATGTACCTATAATGCTATTTTCGTAGCATTATATTTAATATTAAAGTATATGATTTTGAAGAATTCATACATTAGCAAGTCGACCATGTCGCGTTTGGGTCTGATCAACAAAACCTTTATTCAAAATCTAGTATTCTCGGGTCAGATTTTGAGTAAACAACAACAACAACAATAATAACCATTTTAATCACTATTATTATTAATTACTATTACCATTATTATTAAGTACAATCATATTAAATTATTATTTTTTGAATTATTATTATTAGTTATAATTCTTATTAATTATAACTATTATTGTGATTTAATAATGATGATAAAATTAGTCACTAATATTATTATTGTATTTATTAATATTATTATTAAATATTTTTATTATTAAGTACAATGATAATAAATTATTATTATTATTCATTGTTTTTATTATTATTACTACTAATAAAATATACTATTGTTATTGTTGGAATTCTTATTATTATTATTTTAAAATTATATATATTTTTAAATAATTTTCTAATCCAAATGGATCTGAATGCATTTGATATGAACTGATCTGAAGGAATCTAATCTGGTCTGATTTGAATGGATTTAATCTGATCTGATTTTAATAAGAATAAACAATAAGTAGTTAAATAAGATGAAGAGAACGGACCTCTGTTTACAATTTTATTTCCTTAATAATTTTTGTTAAATAAATAAATATATAATAATAATAATAATAATAATATAGTGACCTGATTAAGCTTTTAAAAATATTTCATTAACTTTGACCTTGTAATTAAGTATTTTTTGAATAAAAAAAGTAATCATGTACAGAGTAAAACAAAATTTATAAATTTTAAAGGTGTCGGAACATATATTTAAATTGGGGGAGAACTATATGAAAAAAACAATGATTTTATAAGGATGACTCGATAAATTAGATAGACCAAAAATAAAATATACTAATTTTAAAATAACCAAAAATATATTTAAACATTTTTATTTACATAGTAGGAGTACTAAATTTTGCATTGGGACCACGCGTTTAAGTAAACTTGTGACCGGAAATATTAATTAAAAATTTCAACTTGGATTGAGATATAAATGAAGTTATCACAATCTAGAATGGGTAAAACCCTTGGCCTTTTAGGTTGTTGCCTGTTGGTTTACTATTGATTACGGAAGAGTATGATACTTCTCTATGCAAAAATAATATTTCGGCCTTGACTTTTTAAACATAAATTAAAGAAAAATAAAAAAATATTTTAACTTTTCATATTTATCTCGGAATCATTGCAAAATGTGAAATAAAGTTTAGATATAGATAGTAATTAATGGATAAAGGTGAGAATAATAATGTGGTTTAATAAAAAAACATTTGTCAAAAAAGAAATGAGTAGATAATGTATGAGACGGACAAATAAGAAAATTGAAAAGAAAAATTATGGAGAGAGGGAGTATTGAACATTGTGACTTGTGAGCAATCAAAACAAAAAGTCAAAAATAAAGTACAAGGTTCAAAAAGATTGGAGTGGAAGAAGATCCTGTGGAATTAAATCCAAATAATGCTTGGTTCAAAAAAACAAAAATTAATTTAAAAAGACAACAGAAATTAATATTCCAAAGTACAAGGTTAAACTAATTTCTTTTCTTTACATATTTTTATCTATCACTTAATTATAAAAATCCCAGAGCATAAAATTTTATTTTGTTAGAGTATTATTGAGTGCGACTCTTGGGTTGACTTGTTCAAAAATGACCACTCGAGCTTACAATATTATCCTTTATCAAATCATCCTGACACCTTTTGATATTCACATCAGAGTGAAAATAATGACACTTGATAATTCAAATAATTTTTTTAAAATAAAAAATTAGCTTCAGAACTCGTTAGATACTTTTTTCAAAATGTTAAAATTATTAGCACACAGTCAAAGAATTCTATGTGGATTGGAATATTAAAAAAATATTAGAAATGAGTGGAAAAGGCTGGACTAGGATTAAAATCCTCAAGGCACTTAAGAGCAAAACATAAACACAATAAGATACTAAAAGCTTTTAATCATCTCATGGTAAATTATCAATCCATAAGCAAAACTTTGCTAACTCAAAAAAAAACAAAACACAAATTGTTGGTCCACGAAGCCACTTGAAGAGAGAAGACAGCAAAGTAGAAAAGACATCCCCTAAGATGGAAGGTTGGAGGACTTGTTAAGGATGACACCTTCATACTTGACTTGGAACCACTTCATGGCATCTTCCTTGGTGACTCTGTGTTGGATCCCGACACGGGCCTTGCACCTTCTTCGCCGTGCAACTCGGAAACCAGGCCGTTCCAAGACAACATAGAAATCCATGCCATAAATACCAGTTGATGGGTCATACCTGTGAGATGTTTAAGAAAGTTAAAGAAAAACAATTAAGGACTTGTTCTCTTTAACTTGCCTTATTCATTCTGATCCGATTCGATTAAGTTTTGACTTGATATGATATGATTGTAGTTAAATTTAAAGTGTTTTTTATCTGATCTGATTCCAATAAGAAAAAGTAATATTTTGAGGTTTGGTTTAAAGGTACAGCTAATTTGCCCAAATGACTTCTAAACTGGCACCAAGTCCATCAAAATGCTATATTTGTGACTTTTTTTGACAAATGAATATATAAATCACCTGAAACCCTGCTTTCAAACTACATGAAGTCAAACAAATTGACATACAGAAGTTCAATTTTTTCGCAAAACTTGAATTGGCAAAGACTTACTTGATTCCAAGATCAATGTGCTCCTGAATACCAAAACCAAAGCAACCGGTATCACTGAAGTTTCTCCTGAGCAGCTCATATTCCTTCACTTTCAATCCACTCTCAAGGAGTTGCATTGCTTTATCACCCCGGACAGTGACATAGCAAGCAATCTTTTCATTACGCCTGATGCCAAAGGACCTCACAGTGTACCTAGCTGTTAAGACAAACCCGTAACACCATGAAATGAATAAAACTAAACAACAACAACAACAAAGCCTTATCTCACTAGGTGGGGTTGGCTACATGGATCAAACTAAACAAGCAAAAAGGAAACTCATGGCGATAAGATCAAAAGGAATGTAAGAGAGACAAGCCCTGGACATACTTGGTTTCTGAGTTTACACTAAAAGTGACATATTATCAAACATATGACACATCCATCAATCTATCTATAGTCTTTTGGGATTATATAAAAAGAACTTTTCCCACTGTTTATTGGAGTGATATTAATCGTATTTATAAGCATGAACAAAGACTGATCATTGAAACAAAAAATAATAAAACTCAGATTAACTATCAAATGGAAATTCCAATGCCTTATTGGTGCCCAACACTTCAAAAATTCATTATGGATATTCAGTGCTTCAAATTTCAATAAGCATCTTTTTGTTTCACCAAAACCAAAGTACACAACAAACCACTTACAAAGTATTCCCCACTGACCAGTATGTTCAGTACAACTAGAACTATACTAAGAAAGAGACATGATCAATTTTCAATACCAAAACATTAAACAAAATACAACAGGAACTAAGTGTAAAGCCCACCGTGAATGTTTTACAATATGTTTTGTTCAAGAAATTAGGAACGAAAATAAAATGATTTCTCTCCTTTTCCTTGACAAAATGGAAAGAATCTTGTTTTCCATTGTCTAAACTTATTTTTTCATCTCATTGTTTCCTTCTGCTTTTCCTCCCTAACCAAACATGAAAAATAGTTTTCCATTTCATTTTCTTTTATTTTCCCTCTCAAATTCCTAGAACCAAACAAAGTGTTAATTTTCCAGATGAAAAATAAAGGAACAGATAATGTTAAAACAAAGCATGTGAAAGAACCCATCAGTTGGAAACAATATAACAAATCATACCCTTAGAGAAAACAGGGGTTTGGCCACTGAGCTGTTCCAACACCTACACAGACCAAAATGGCATAATTCGAACGCATATCTGAAAGCAATAAAACGAAGACGGAAAATGGAGATCTCCAGTACCTTCGCGGCCCTGGTGAGACGATCTCCGCTTTCTCCGACGGAGATGTTCAGGACGAGCTTCTGGACCTTTATCTCCCTCATTGGGTTGCTCAACTTCTTCTCTGCTGCCTGCGTTCGTGATACAGAACAAGAAACGCCATTGTTAGAGACATGTGCGTATAAGGAAATAAAGGGCGAGAGAAAATGCTTAGAGATACCATGGCTCCGGAGGTTTTCGCAGTGGGAGAGGCAGCGGCGGGTCGAAGAAGGGAGGAAGAAGAAGAAGAAGCCGATTTAAACCGCTTAGGGCTTTTCTGATTTTATCTGTGGATTTTATAATTGGGCTTTTTCTTTTGTACTACTACAACTTTTATAACGGGCCGTTAGCTTTAACTCCAAATATGTGTGGTTATCAATAGTTTCCTTTTCGTGTTATGACCTATAATTGGGCCCAATCTTTTTGTATGTGAACCGGACAATATTTTTCTTTTGTCTATGACCGAATTGGGCCGAATACGTCGATGAAAGAGACCATCAGAAAAAATGATTATATTCATCAATGGATATCTTGAATATTTCAAAATATTCGAATAGTATAAATAAAAAAATAAATATACCCTAATAGTCTAATACACCCTAGTTATTTGTATTTGTTGGATTAAATATAAAAAGTTCTCCCAAACAAATCCTAATCTTCTCCTATTTTAAAAAACATTAATCTTATTGTTTTTCTCAAAACTTCAAAATTCCACATGTCACCTCATCTATCGTCATTCACTTCTTTAGCCAAGCTTCCAGACTCTACAGCCTAAAATTATGTGTGTTTTGTTGTTGGCCTTTATGCTGTTTGGTTTCTGTCATGTGTTGTTATTGGATGATTGAAATATTTTATCCGAATATGAGATTGTTTTGTTCTAATTTTTGGGACATGTTGCTCATAAAATTTGTATCAATTTAGGTAGCATTTTAAATGTGTTATGATGAATTTGTCAATTTTCGTAGTTTATAAAAAAATAACTTACAATATCTAGAAAATGTCTTTAAAAATTCTTTTTACTATTTTCGAATACTAATTCGAATATATCAAATATGCTATTAAATCAAATACAAATATTTTTTAAAATTCAAATTATAAATGAATGCGAATTCGAATAGATATCATTTTGAACGAATATGAATCGAATATCTAGATATTTGGTTCGATTCGATTTGTACACACCTATACGTGCAAGGGTGTGAGGAAATCCTTTCAATATGTGTCACCTTCGTCATATTGGCGCGACACATGTTGCGGTAAACTTTAGTCAATATCGTTACACTGATAACGCGATTATACACCGTCTACGCGAGGTCAAAAAACAAATCAAACAAGTATAAGATTGCCTTATTACCTTTCGTGCTAGCAAACAAGCCACTACCATCAACTTAAACACAATTGCACACACAAAATGCATGAAATTCACCTCAACACTTGCACCAATCAACTCCTTTGCATTTGACATTTTGATCCGCGATACAATCGAATCCTCCATGACAGCGAGCAGATTTAAACCCCATCGTTTCATTGCACATCTCCATCCACTAGTGTTTCGTCATCTCACCATCGTTTCACACCAACTATGAGGGGTCCATTTACGAATAGTCTATGTAAGGCCTCCACGTTTTGTAGCGTAATGATAACATTTTCTAAATTAAAATATAAAGCACGAGTTTTAGTCTGCCTCCTCTCAACTAATGCAGTAATCAAAGGTTTCTTGTATGACATACAAACTCTATGAGAACGGAAAAATCCGCACTCTCACTAAATTTCATCAAAAGTTGAATGTCAATCCATTGCGTAAGTTTCTATAAAATTTAATTACAAATTTACAAATTAAAACGAAATTCACATTCTCTACTTCTCATGACATTACCTCACTCCTATTTCATTATATCTTAAAATTAATACATCTCGTTCCATGAAATACATACTTTTATACAAAAATGAGATCTCATGTATATAATATCAAATACCGAGTAACAAAAATATTGAGCTATTTATAACAAAAATCACACATATTATAATTGCGACATTATAATTTATTACCTAGCATTAACACAAATTTTGAGATAATAAATTCAAAATCTAATAGGAAAATTTTAATACATTGTTGTTTACATTTTTTTTAAATACTAATAATGCTATTACAATGTAAAATCTATTCATATACTTTCAATCTATTTAAGGAGATAGAATTATGGTCTCCTTTGTACTCACTATAGTTTATGCAGGGGGTGAGCATTTTACCTGAACTGACCGTTGAACTGATGTTAAAAAAATGAACTGATCAAAAGTTTGATTTTCGGTTTTGGTTATTAGGAAAAAAAGTTGGTTAATTCGGTTAATCGGTCGGTTTTGGATTTTGGGCCGATAGAAAAACCGAGTCCAAATCATTGTCCTTAGATGACCGGCCCAAAATATTATTCCCAAATCATATTTTATTTTTCTTTTGAAAAAAGCCCAAAATTCCAAATGAGATGATGGCGGAGACTGCTGCCGCCTAGAGAGGTCAATGGTGCGAACCCGGTCATCCCTACCGCTGCTGCAACTGAGGACTCCGCCGACCACTCGACCAGGGACAAGATCTCTACTTCGCGTCCACCGGACCACCACGCCGGCGACGGTATTGTCTTTTAGAGATGTTTTTGTTGTTGTAGGCGATCTCCCAAGTTCCCAGTCTCTGCTTCAGTTGGTTCGTCGGTTCGTTCGGCTATCTGCTTCCTTTGTTCTATTATTCAATCTCAGGAGAATCACGAGCGCCGACCTTGTATTTTAATCCTTCCATCTCAGGTTAGATTTGATGCTTGCCGGTAATTCTCAATTTCAAAATTCAGTTCATCATTTTAGCTACTCGCGAGTATTTAACGATTTCCACATCCATAGGCTTTTACCCGGTACTGTGCATTCGATCAATTTTGCGGTTGATGTTTAAATGTGTCTGTTAAATGCTATAATATTGGTTTTCTTGATTTGTGTTAGATTAATCAATCGCTTTCTTTTGCCCACTTCAATGGATTAACTGATCACCCATCCATTATTTTTTTTTGTATTAATCATATGGAAAGATACTCTCAGTGATTCATTCAAGTCCACACTCTTATGAAGTTAGCTTTACTTCTACAGTTCTACAAGCAGCAATGACAAGTGCTGAACATGCAAATTTCATCTTTGAATGTGTTAAGATATACTACATGTTCCATTGAAGGGTTCCACATTTGAGCCCACTTGTTCATTAAAAAAGTTAAATTTCATGGTTGAGATTTTTGTCGAGCCTCACAATTCTTTCCTTAAAAAGAAATTGAGACCTTAAGGACTTGAAAGGAAAGTTTGAACCTTTTTTGTGCGACAGAGGGAGTGAGTACATTTCAACTTGTAAATAGTAATAGCTAGCCATATTGTTTAGCCTAGCACTACTAAGAAATGTTGAGTTACCTCTGCACGTAATGTATATTTTTTCGCGCCGCTGGTTTCCAATGAAAGTGAATTTATTTCTATTCCCGATGGACGCACTGTGCTCTGGTAATCCACTGACTGATTTAGAAAGCGAAAAAGAGTTGTAAAGGTGAAAAGTGAGAGTTTTATCCTACAAATAGGCACAATTATCTCATTCCAACCTTCAATGGCAAATTTATTACATCTGTATAGCAGATTGCGTTAATGTAATGATATCTTGATGTTTGCTAGCTTGATATCTTGAAGCCAATTCATAGATTTGGCATAAAAGGGATAGTAATGAAACCTCTATTGTCTTCTTTACTAGTTACATCACAATGGTATGTTCTGCTTGAGAGATTTAAAGTAAAAATAAATATTTCGTAGAAGAAAGTCTACAAGTTTCTGGTGTAGAGTCATTATGTTTGAATCACTATTACATATTTTAAGGATACTGTATTTGATTTTTTTTGTATAGTGTATTCCAACTAAACTTAATGATATCTCTAGTTAATTTGCTACTCAAATGCATCTTTCTCTTAATGGTGCTTATGAGATTTCTTGGATTTGGCATTTTTACTTTTGTTCTACTTTCATGTTTTATAAATGTAGATTGTGATGACACAAGGAAAGTTCACTTGATTTTGTTCGGTGTGTTATAAGTTGGGGTTGATGTGGAGAAATAAGAGTGCACTATCAACAAAGTTTTTAAATGTAAGTGTAGCAAACTTTTGTAAATCCAAACAACTGGAGAAAGCGGAAGAATTAATAATTGATGGTATAAGGGTTGGAGTACAGCTGGATGTGGTAACCTATAACACTCTGATAGCAGCATATTGTCAGTTTTACGGGATCAATGAAGGTTATTCTATCCTTCATAGAATGCAAGAATCTGGGATTCGACCAGATGTCATAACATATAATTCATTGATATCTGGTGCAGCCAGAAATGGCTTGTTATCCCGTTGCATAGCTCTGTTTGGTGAAATGCTTGCATCAGACATTTTTCCAGACATTTGGAGTTACAACACATTGATGCATTGTTATTTTAAATCTGGAAAACCACACGAGGGCTACAGGATATTCAGGGACATTCTTTTAAAGGGCATCCCACCAGGTCCGGCAACATTTAACATCCTAATGAACGGTCTTTGCACAAATGGATACACAAAGAACGCCATGAAGCTCTTCAGGAACTTGAAACAACAGGGTTTCGTACCTCAGCTGGTAACATACAACATCCTTATGAATGGGATTTGCAAGTTGGGCTGGCCTGCATCTGCCAGAACGCTTCTGAAAGAACTTGTGGATATGGGCCATACCCCTAATTCTGTCACGTATACCACAATAATGAAATGTTTTTTTAGTTCAAGACGTTATGGAGAAGGGCTTCAAATCCTTAAAGACATGAGAAGCAAAGGGTATGTGTTTGACTCACACGGATATTGTACAGTGATTAGTTGCTTGCTTAAGGCGGGTAAGACAGAGGAAGCTCTTGAATGTGTGGATAATATGGTTAGTTATGAGATTGATCTTGATATGGTGACTTATAACAATATTATTAATCTTTATTGTAAGAACGGAAAAATGGAAGATGCCTTCTTTTTGGTGAAAGATGCAGAGAGAAGAGGGTTGGAGTGTGACATATACACACATACTATTTTGATAGATGGGATGTGTAAGGCTGGAGATATAGAAGGGGCACTTAAACACTTGGACCATATGAACAAGCTGGGAATTGTACCGAACTTGGTTGCTTTCAATTGCTTTATTGATGGGCTGTGCAAAGCTGGTCACATTGACAATGCATTGGAAGTGTTTAATTCAATGGCCGAGAAGGATGGTTTTACATATTCATCAATGCTGAACGGTCTTTGCAAGTCTAAGAGATTTCGTGAAGCTTCTGAGCTGTTGCTTTCTTGTGGTAGCAGAGGTGTGGAAATTCTAAAATCTGATAAAGAAGCAGTTATCAACGGCCTTTGTCGTTCTGGCCTAAGACATGAAGCAAAAAAGATACAGTAAAAAAGCCATGTGGCAAAGACATTGCATTGCCTATGAGGTGATCGTGTCCTACTGCATTTTATCATTCCAAACTGCAAACCACTCTTATGGATAGCCATTATCACAAAACTAGCGGAATTTTTCAGAGAAAACGTACGTTTCAGTACATCAGAGGTGGATCTCCAATTCTCCACTCTACCGGCAATGGAGGTGAATTTTTTTTCTCCCCTGCCTTGAAAAGGGAGTCTTGTTTAGTCAATGTGCAGCTTTAGTACTTTTGACAATGTATAGCTGTTAAAAGTGAAAAGTGGGTCATTGAAAATTTATATACTAGACAGAAATGTTATGAGCAGCATATTTCTTTCTTATTGAGGGAATGCGAGAAGTGTAAAATTTGTTTTGGGATAAACAAAAAGGAAAGTGTAAACATTATTGTGGGACATAGGGAGTATATATGATATAAAATTTTCATAACATTTGTTTTGGTAAACTATTGGAAAAACTTTTTGAAAAACTAGCTTTGCTTCATAAAAATGCATATCTATTCAACTTTGGTTATTTGATCATGTGTGTACAATTGCACATCTTTGGTTGGAAGTTGGAAGGAGATCTGTTTTTGTCATTTTTCTTGATTTCCAGTTTATACATTGCTGAAGATGTTATTTGAAAAATGGTTTTTTTGTTTCATTATTGTGGCCAATATATTACTGTATTTTAGTAGCTTGCAGACCCATCACTATAGTATCTTTGATCAATATAATAATCTCAACCTCTTAAGCGCTGGGGTGGGACTTGAACATTGGATGTGGAGAAGCTTGGGGTGGCTTCCTTGCCACTGTGCCCACTTGCTTCCACATTGTGGCTAGTAATCCTAGCATTAATAACCTGAGGTAGTAGTACTAAATACTAATGATAATAATCGTTTGTACGTATAGACTTTTCGGGTGCTACGATCCTAAGTCTAGAGGGAAAAAACCAAGATCGTACGTAAGGTCCCTAAGTAATCATTTGTATGAAAGCTATTTTTGGAAATTTTATATCTTTATTATGGTCCATGTGCTCTAATTTTTTTAGAGGTAGATGGTTGCAAATTGAACTACATAGCAGGAATGCGTCTCTCGGAGCTTCCATTTGGGCAAATAAAGGTCAGTTCTTTCTTAATATGCTGACAATAAACTCATACAAAGGGTAGTTTTCTTTTTATACTTCGGAGTATTATGATAATGTTAGTAATCTTCTTCTTGAAATAATACATGGCTGGATGTATTCTTTATTCAACCAACGTAATAGGGATACACGACTTGCTTGGATACTGGTATAAATTTAAACCACAATTCTTATAACTAATGAAGAATATGTAGCTCAACCCGGGACATTTACGCCCGATTTCTATGGAATTGAGGCAGCAAAATTTGCAGTTTCAAAAACCTAAAATCTAAATGCAAGTTATCAATCAAATTTATTGCAGACTTTCAAGATAGAGTTATATGATGCATGAATAATAAATAGTATGTTATACTCATGATTTGCTTGCAAGGAAGCAATGGGCCTGGCAATAAGGCATATTCTCAATCTTTTTTGTACAATTTGCTGTTTTTGCTAAGAGCTAAGGCTATGTTTGGTAACCAAGTAAACCAACCACATTCTGATTCTTTTGCTTACTAGCAAAGATAATAGAATATGTAACTTTTGACTTAGTTATTTGGCTGAAATGAATCTTAAATTATCAAACATTTGTCCTCTTCAGATTCATCTACTCCAACCAAATAAAAAAGGGCAGCCAGTGCACAAAGCATTCCCGCCCTGCGTGACTCCGAGAAAGAAGTACAAAGAAGCTTGAGCTGCTGAACAGGTACACTCATGAGAGTTCAATGGCTGCAAATGACTGTTGCAGGTTGGGGCAAAACCATGCTTCACCTTTACACTTTTTGGTAACTCAGAGCCGTCTCTAGGCCTAGGCAAATTAGGCATGTTCATGGGGCTCCCGATATTTTATGGTCCAATTTTTTTTTTGTAAAAACATGTGTTAAGTTCAATTTTAAAAGTTCATAATGACTTTTTAGATATATTGCAAAGTGGATGAATCTAGACATAGAGTATGTCTATATTCATTTATGTTTTAAAGTACTCCGTATATAAAAAGTGTTAGTATTTACGGAGTAGTTAATATGGAATGGAGGGATTACTCTATATTTATATATGTAAGACAAAGGTTCAAAGTTCAAAGATGCTGGATGTATAAATATGACAGACTTTTCTTAGAAATGATAAGTGTTGATCTTACTGAGTAAAGATAACTCGGTTTACAAGTCATTGACATAAGAGACAACTTGGTAGAGTTGGGAGATCAACCATTTGTTAAGAGCAAATCACAAGACTAAGGCTAAAGGGTGTGGATGAAAGTGGAAGGACGGGATGATGGGGGTGGAGTTGTCCCGAACGTAGGGATCGACAAGTGTTTTATGTTTTTAATGTGTCTTAAAATTGAAATTCAAATAAATAAAAATTCACACGTATTAAAACTTATGCCAAAGACATTATGGTGTATCGACATTACAGTGATTCTTCTAAATATGACGTCAGAACTTTGAATTCGAGTGGGACAATGATTCTATGTGTTTTAATATCTTAAGAAATAAGATCAGTTACTATATTGCAATATGATTATTAGCTAGCGTTCAATAAAATAAAATAAAAAGATTACAAAACTTATATACTCACTTCGTCCGAGTTACCATTTTTCTCATCATAATTTTTGTTTATTTGTGTTTTCATTGATTATTTGATAAAAAAGTACTACTATTTTTTATCACATCTTTTATAGGATAGAATTCTTGATGTATTTTTGAAATTTATAATTTTACATATTATTTTTATACCAATTTGTAAATTAAATAATTTAAAAAAACATAAAATTTTTCACGTTGTTCGAAGTGATGCGATATTTTTGAGACATGGGGAGTAATAGTGTAATACATTAGTATAAATATTTAATTTTGGATTTTTGACATGGAAAATTAATTTGTATTGCTCCTAAATACCTAAGCGATCATTTAGTTTTGTGGGTTTTCAAAAAAAAAATTAAATCAATTCGACACAAAATTCATCCTAAATAGGACTAAAATATAGAAAAGGTATAAAAGTATGATTTCCATATTTTTATCCTCTAAACAGGAGTATATTTTTAATATTTTCCATTTGACATCTGGTCACGAGTATGTGGTGGAACAGACAATGGGCGGAGGAGTTGAGTCAGGTTCATAACGCAAAGACTTCGGACTCGTTTGGTGAGTTTTAGAAATATGATATACATTTTAAAATTTATTAAAAAGGACAGTCTCTATAAATTTTGAAATCTAAAAATGAAATTCTTTGAAAAAATTTAAAATTATTACAATATTTATTTAGTGATATATAAAGGTGACCGACAAATATTGAACTTTCATATCGCTATCGCCCAAAATTGGAAAATATCAAAGCTATGAATTTGGAGAATTTGTGGTATGTGTCTAATTTGATTCTTTTTATCCTAAGCACATTTTTTTCTCTTTTCCTCTTTTTAAGTTTTTAAAACAAAACCTAAATCCCTAAACTTCACACTTGAGAGGCATCAACGCCCGCAGCCAGACTCCCCACAGAACGAGACGAACTTGCCTCCGTCGCTGCCGTGAGCCGCTTCGCCGTACACCATCAGAGCTCCGGCAGTACGCCTCCAGCCTCCTCCGTGTGCGCCGTTCCCGGTCTCCGTCTCCTAGACTACAACTCGCGACTGTCACTTTGCCAGGTTCTTTTTTTCTGTTTTCGAAGCCTAATTATCTTATACAATTACCAATGCTATTGATTTATTCAGGATGATATGTGAATTGTTGATTTGTGGATTTGTGAAGTATGAATTTATCATTTGAGATTAGGTTAATCTTCATATGTTTATACTACGTATTAAGATCTAGTTTTTTTAATTAAAACTAAGTTAGTTTATTAATTTTTTCAATTTAGACTTATTGATTTTCAATTAATTTTAGAATGTAACGCTAATTGTAACCTTTAATTTTATGAACTGTTATTTTTTTTTATTAATGCTCTACAAGTTTTCACCCAAAGTTTCTCTATACGCCCCTTCACACCCATATACACAAGTGAAGAGAACTTTCTTACTTCATCCGTTCTCTAATAAAATTCGTATTTTCTTTTTCGTTCGTCCCAGTGGATGGCTGACAAATCCAAAACCCCCCAAAACTACAAACCCTAGCATCAAAATTTTCCAGAAGACTCAGTTTTGTATGCAACAAATTGCCGATTGATCCCAAGTGGGGTTTGAATATGAGCCATAGCTGGGGAAAGCTTCCACGCTGCTCTATCAGCAGTATCTCCCGTAAGCAATCTTTCATTTCTTCTCCATTCTCAACTTCCGCCGGCGGCAGCGGTGGAGGATGGGGCCGGGGTCGTGGAGGTGGTGGATTTAGCTCTGGTAATTCCCCCGTCTTCGGATTTTCTCCTAACCAAAGTGAACCTGGCGATGCCAAGGACGAAGATTCGGCTTCCACACGGCAACTAAGTGGATTCGGGCATGGCCGTGGAAGCGGAAAGCCCTTATTTTCATTTGTGGGTGATTACAACGGCCCTGTTGGCCGTGGCCAAGGAATTTCTGGCCCCACTTCTGCACTACCACCACCACAACCATCCCAGCAGGTTCCGTTTCAACATAGGGAGTCCAATAAGCCTATGTTCTCTGAAAAAGAAGGCTTTCTCGACTCTCAGCCTAAAGTGTCTGTTGATTCCAACGATGCTCCCAGACTCCCTGCAAATATCCTCTCTGTGCTATCTGGTGTGGGTCGTGGAACGACCAAACAGACACCTCCTGTTCGTGAGAAACCTAAGGAAGAAAACAGGCATTTAAGGGCGAGACAAACTCCTCAATCCGGTGGAAACGAAGCCAGCAGGCGTCCTGGACAGGGGTTCAGCAGGGATGATCCAAATAATAGGTCCGTTTCGAGTGGTGGTGGTGATGGGAGTGGAAGAGGAGGAGTAGCTTCATGGAGGGGACGTGGTGGGTTCAGAGATAGAGGAAGAGGAGGAAGAAGAGGAGGAAGAGGAGGAAGAGGGAGGGGAGAAGGTACTCTACCGGAAGTGGTCCATGAGAAATTTGGTGGTGTATTTGACATTGGTGATGATGCTGCTACAGAGAAATTGGTTCAACAGTTTGGTCCTGATCTCGCCAGTCAATTAGCTGAAGGCGTTGAAGAATTTGCTCATAGGGTCTTTCCCTCTCCTGCTGAGGATGCTTACCTAGACGCCCTCGATACAAATTTAAAGGTATGTACGTTCTTGTTTGCCTGTTTTGTTTTAGCTGACAAAATTTCCGCAGTTTGTTTGGCATTTATATTGTTTTTGTTTTTCGGGCAGATTGAATGTGAAGAGGAGTACATGATGGGAGACTTTGACAGGAATCCAGATATTGACGAGAAGCCTCCAATCTCTCTGCGTGATGCTCTTGAGAAGATGAAGCCATTCCTCATGGCGTACGAAGGAATTGAAAGCCAAAAAGAGTGGGAGGTAGGTCCAGCTTAGTTTGCTTTGCATAGCTTTTTCGTGTTGTGCTCCAAATATCTTTAAGAATAATAATAATAATAATAATAATAATAATAATAATAATAATAATAATAATAATAATCATTTTTTGCTCTAGTGTGGGATCATGCTCTTATCTTCTTAATCCTGGTCACTGAAATTTGTTTTTGCTTTGCTTCATAATGTTGGGCTTTCTAAGATGTAAGTATTTTTTTCTATATTAGGGCAATGACCTGGTATTGCTGTGGCTTTGTAGACAGCACTCTTTGCTCCAAAAGGCTAAAGCTATTTTGGTAAAATAAAAACACATGCTGTAGATTGAGGGTTCCCTTAGTTCAAAGGGATGAAAGGAAAAGGGAGGAGAGGGATGGGAAGCCAATGTATAATGGTAGCTGAATTTCTTTTGTTGGAGAGGAGAGGGGAAGGGAATGGTATGTTGAGTTAAAATACTAGCTCCTTTAAAAAGCCCTGAAATCATAGGGGATCAAAATGTGAGGAGTGGAGGCAATGGCCCCCTCCCCACTCTCTTTGATAAATGTCAATCCAAACAAACCCTGAGTGGGTGTATTAAAAAAACTTGAAATCACCGTAATCAAAAGTTTCTTTCAAAGCACAATATTTGTCTCGGAAAATTATTCCTCTAGGAAGGCAGGTGTCCCATTTGTACTTGTGTTAGTTACCTAGTAACAAGAACAACAACAATTGATAATAAAACCCAGTAAATTCCCACACAAAGTAGGGTCTGGAGAGGGTGATTGTACACAAACCTTATCCTTACTTGAAAGTAGAGAGGGTGTTTCCAAGTGACCCCCAATTTAAATACAAAAATACAGGCAAACAAAATCACAGTAGCACTACGAAGTATGATTAAAGAGAATAGAGTGTGAAGTACACATACCAACCCAAACAACAAGGCTCAAAGCCTACAAGCACAAGCTACCGACTATAGAAAAAAGACACATACGGTCTTAAGTACAATAAAAGGCATAAAGACATGCCAACCAAGAAAATTAGAAAAGTGACCTAAGGCTCCCGGTTTTACCAACTACCAGATATCTCTAGAAGTTTTCTTCTCACAACATCCATGTATCAAATACTCTATGATCTACCAAACTTTTTTCCACATCATAGCTTAGCACTTTATATTTTCATCCACTTATGATTGTGTGAACAAAATATATGCTCTGCCATATACTGTTCGGTCTGTTCCTCTAGATTCTGTTTTTTTAAAATATTGGTATGGCATTATTGTTGTTGCCTTGTGGTGGTTATTAATACACAGGAAATAATGAAAGATACAATGGAGGTCAAGCTCCCGCTTCTTAAAGAGATAGTTGACCACTACAGTGGCCCTGACAGAGTAACTGCAAAGCAGCAGCACCAGGAGCTAAAAAGAGTTGCAGCAACTCTTCCACAGAGTATTCCTAATTCTGTGAAGCAGTTCACAGACCGTGCTGTTCAGTCACTGCAGGTTAATTTCTAAGCATTATTTTATTTCTTCCTGTTTTGAACATTCATCTGATTAATTACTTATAGGCTAACATAATGCTGGAGTAATTCTTTGGTTTATTTCTCTGATCACAAAGGCTATGTTTGGAACTTGTGATTTTGAATTAAATGTCTATTTTCTCCCAAATTTTATTTCCTTCCAAGTTTCAAATTCCATCTCTATTTTCTTTTCTCCAAACATGAAACTCCTCCTTAAGATAAATAGTGAGAGTTAAGCATATACTCCTTCCATTCCTATATAGTGTTCTTGATTCGGTTTACGATGTTTGATAAAAGTTATTTAAATTTGTTTTAGATTTAAAAAATAGAATCCTATTTCTAAAAACTACATAAAAAAATACACCAAAACAATAAGTGACTAGATGTTTTATTTTATCAAATGGTCAATCAAAATATCTTAGCATAGACGACATAGTCTGGCCCTCTAAATTTTTGGAACTCTAATGTGGCACCGAGGTTGTACTATTTTATAAGAACATTTATGTTTATACATAAGAAAACACCTTTAGAGGGCGGCTTGGTATTAATGCGGAGAATACATTTGTCCTTTTTACTATTGCCAACATCTTTGACGGTTGACCACAAAAACCCTTCACAGGGGGAGAATGATATTTAACAGGGAAATACATATGAAAAACATCTCTATGAATTTGGTTGAATGAAGCTGTAAAAAGAAGGCATATTGTGGCTTGAGTTGATATTTTATGGGATTTCTTCTACTGCACTCATTGAAATTGGAAGTGCTGAAACTATTGGAGTTTTAATTTATTCTAAATTCATACTAATGTTCTTCAACTTTTGATTTGAAAAAGTATTTTCTCAGTTACTCTGATGTGCTTCTCTGTATTTGCTTTTATACAAGATGCTAACCTTTTCAATCCATTAACTAGGAGAGAACACATATGCATTTGACATTCATATATATATATATATATATATATATATATAAAATTTATATTTATTAATATCATTATTACCTAATGCAGAGCAACCCTGGGTGGGGGTTCCACAATAAATGTCAGTTCATGGATAAGCTTGCATACGAGGTTACTCGGCAATACAAGTGAAATGAAATGTGAGAACCATACAAATTACGAATAATATTTCTCATGAAAAGATCACTTGAGGCAAAATTTGCTTAGGTATGCCACAATTCACTTCATAGCAGCTGCTTCTTCAGTTTATGTTTCCTTTGTCAGATAACCAAAATTTTATCCTTTTAGAATGACAAGCTTTCTTGGAATTCCAGGTCGAAGATTTTAGGCTTTTTATTTATTTTTGTTTTGAAAATGAGGCAGCATTAGAAGGGTAGCAGTGAACCAAGTTCACGAAGTTCTTGGCACGGTCCATAATGATGTGGCCATGGTCATGGAATTGCAATATACTACACAGGTTTTGTGCTTGATTCATTGCCTCTCTTTTTTGTTGCCATATTTGCATGACTCATTTTTGTTGGCCTTTTTAAAGGGGCATTAATATGATGCAATATTTCACCTTGACACACTTCATCGTGCGTACGTTCTCAGACACCAATAAATTTTCAAGCTTTTTTGCCCTTTATCTCGGACCATACTTTTTGTGGAATTTTACTGGATCTATTGTTGCTCTTTTACCCTTCAAACAAATGTATTGGCACACTTGTAAATGCTTGTTTGTTATGTTTCTCTTTGAAGCAATGTTTGTCATTAGCATTACAATAATTTTTTAATCCTGTAAATTAACCTTAAAGCTGAACTCTCAAGGAAATGTTGTGTTTTCGACCACTTTTTCAAATGAATGAACAATTTATGAAATTTCGTCCAAATGTTTCTTTTTCATGTAGAAACATGTGAATTTTCAGGCCGGAAAGTCTATCCAGCAACATTCGTTAAAATTTTGGTTTCGAATCCTTGGGATTATCATCATGTTTGGCCATTTTTGCCCAAATGTTTCTTTTTGCATTTGGAAACTTGTAAAACTTTTAGGACTAAAAGACTTGTTTTTAGAGAGCACTAATTTAAACATTTAATTTGGAGGCTCTAGGGGTACAAACCCCCCTTTTTGGGTAAAAAATCTACGAAAGTTTGGTACAAATGCTTCACTTAGCATTCAAAGAATGTGGTTAATTTAAAGTATGAAAGACTTCTCTATAAATAGCTCTATTCATTTAAATTTTTTATTATGACCTCATAGAGGTACTATAATGCTTTTTAATCCAAAACATTGCAAAATTTGGGCTATGTTTTCCTTTTTTTCCATGTAAAACTAGTTGTACGGTTTTTTAAGTATTAAAAGACATGTTAATAGAAGAGAATACTCTTTTAAAATTTTTGTTTTGGGTCTTAAAGAGGTACACGACTACGTTTTTTTTGCTAATTTTTTAAATAAATAAAAAACATTACAAGATTTACTCCAAATGTTCCTTTGTGCAAGTATAAACATATGGTAAAGTGTTTTACATTTGAAATATTGTACTCTTAATAAGCTACATTCATTTAAAATTTTGTTTTCGAATCTTATAGGACACGATTTTTCTTCCATTTTTTTCAAATGAATCAAAAGCTCACCAAAATAGGTCTAATTATTATGTTTTTCATGTTGAAACAAGTGAAAAATTAAAGAAGATAAACATTGAAAATATAGAAGGGAACAGACTAAATACTGAAAATATATTAAAATACAATTTTCATGTTTTTTATTTTTGAAATATGAGTTAAATGCATATATGGTACCAATCATGACCATATACATTACCAAAAAAATTGAAATGCCCGTACACATTGAAACTCCTATTTTTGAAATAAAATTATAAAATTTCTATTTCAATAGTTTCTTTATGTTTTACTGCCATTTAGATTGATTTTTTTAAATAGAAAATAGCAATCATTTCTGTAAGTTTTTAGATGCATAAAAAACTCACAATTTGGTCGAAATGTTTTTTTTGCATGTAGAAAAATGTTGTATAATTTCAGGCTTGAAAAAATTGTCTAAATCAAGCTACACGTTCAATTTTTTTACTGCAAGCCCTACCCTAGTGTTTTCTCAGCTTATTTTCTAATTTAAAAAAAAAAACTCACAAAACATAGGCTCAAATGCTTGTCTATAGAGAGCAACACCTTTTTTTAAAATTTTTTTAATTTCAAGGTCATAGAGTACTAAAGTTTTTTTGGCCAATTTTTTAGGTGGATAAAAAACCCATGAAGTTTTTCCCACTAGAATTTTTAAAGTGGGCAGTGAGCTCCAACCATTCAACCAATTTTTCAAATAGATCAAAAGTTCTAGAAATATGGCCCAAACATTTGCTTTTCATGTAGAAAGTAGTGCTAAAAGTTTAAGAGTGTGTTCTATTTGTCTAATCTGATCTGATATGATTCAAATAATATTTAAAAGAATTTTTCAAAAATAAGTGTATACCATTATTTACAACATGCACACAGTATCCTGTGGTAAAAGGCGAAAGAATAACTCTCTCTGTGCATGTGGTGTGGTCCCGTGGCTGCATAAAAAAAATTATATTTGAAATTATTTATGAATATTCTAATAAAAATACATTGGAAAAAAGTTTGTTAATTGTTTCCATAGAGAACCCTCCATCAACATAGATGAATAAACTGTAAACATTTGGTCCAAGTTTTGAGTTTTTACTTTTTAATGTCGTTTTTTTGCATGTAGAAACATATGACAGATTGACAGCATCAACATTTTGATTTTCTGACCTCGTAGGAGTATCATCACATTTTGTTTTTGGTGAATTTTGAAAATGGATTAGAAAAAAAAACTCACAAAACATGGCCAAAATATTCTTTTTTGCATGTTGAAACATATGGTAAATTTTCAAGACTAAAAAGACTTGTCTAGACCTGTCTATAGAGAGAAAAAACTCAATTTGAAAATTTACGAAATTCATAGCAAATATTCCCAGTAAATTTTCAAATTTAAAAGACCCATCGATAAAGAGCACAACAACAATAAAGTCTTATCCCACAAGGTGGGGTCGGCTACATGGATCAAACGTCGCCATTGCGCCATATCATGTATCATACCTGCAATGGTATCATTCACGCGAAGGTCTAGCTTTACCACTTCTTAAAATATTGATTTAGATACTCTTTGGGGGGGGGGGGGCATTTATGAACCTAGGGCCCCAATTTTTTAGCACCCTGAATCTTAAAAAACATATAATAAGTGCGTCATATATTGATAAATCTTAGCCAAAGATCCAAAGTTCAAAAAATTCCAACCTCGTTCAAGTCGCAGATATCACGCTAACCAAATACTCCGTATTATCGGTCATTGCCTATCTCACCCCCAGTTAGAAAGACCTCTAATTGATTTGCTCTCCGAGGCCACAGAAAAGGGTACCTACAAAGACGATGCCGAGTAGAGGACCACCAGATGGTCTCTTCTACTTCTTGTTCATAGTTGCAGACAAGCAGCAGTTCCAGAATATAGAGGCCATCGACATGAAAGCAACTCGAGCTTGAAGAGGGACTGCCCTGAAATATTCTCAAACAGTTCCCAAAAGCACATTATATTCACATTTGATGACCATTTCTTTACAAGAAAGTTATAGACTCAGGCAAAGTTATAGACTCAGGCAAAGTAGTTAAACACCAACTTTACTTCAGTTTCCTACAAGGATGTAATTTCCAATTACCAGAGTGATCTTAACCCAAAACAAGGTGCCTTATACCAAAGTAATATGATAATTCCTCAACCAAACACCCCCTAAGAGGTCTCAATGATGATAAAAAATTGTAAATGTCTAGTTGGAGACATACCAGAAGTTCAAAACACTGACAGGGATCCAGAACCTAAATCCTGTACACAATCAGGGGAAAACAGGTGTTATTCTTTGTGGGGGTGTCTGTCAAAAAAAGTGGCAAAAAGGAAGCAGGAAAGTGATATTATAAATACCAAAAAGAAGAGTGGGAAGGGCGTCTCTGCGATACTTATTCGGAAGCTCGGAGAGTTTCCCTAACCATAAATTGTTCCATGCAAAAACAACCGCAATCACACATGGACCGAGAACAACTTGATTAAGCAAAACCTGCAACCAAGAACCGTTCTCGCCTATGACATACAAGCATTCACTTATGATATTCCTACTCCCAGAGAAGTAAGAGTTAATTTAAAATAACAAGAAGCATAATGCACCTTCATGAACAAATTCTGAGCTGATGGCTTCGGCATGCAATGATCAAGATACTTGTACCACGAAAACGTAGCAGGTCCATATAGCAAGAACCCATATGAAGTCATCCGGAGAGCTCGGAGCCAATCATGCTCAGAAAGCAGAACTCCCGCGACATCCTATCACACCAGGTGTTCGATTTTAGGGCGAGAATAGTTTGCTTTTTAATCTAAACCAGAAAATGCATGTAAGAAGGCACTGGCAAAAGGGAACTAAGATAAGAGCATAACACAGGTGGTCATATTCAAATGATTAGAACAAGAAACTGAAGAACTGGATCCATGGTCCATGCTATTACAAGCAAGGTTGTTGAATTCATATTTTTGAACCTAATATTTCAACTTCATTTTAAAAGGCACCCCCAAAGTTTTCTGAAAATTCAGATAGTATTAGGGTAAGTCAATGGTGCAACATATAGTGGGTGTTTCTCTGTGCATATAAGCTTGTCAAAATTGCTTATAAGCAGTTTTTAACTTATAAGTGAGCTGATGACATGTTTTTGTGTGCTTATAAGCCAGAAAAAATAAGCAGGTCTTATATATCATTTAAGTTATTTTACTTCCATAGAAGAATATTTGACCTACAAGCAGTTTATAAGTTAAAAGCTATTTATCAGGAATAAACCAGCCAATAAGCACCCGCACAGAGAAACACCCCCATAGTTACTAATCAAACTCCCATTCCTAGTTACATTAACAAATGCTTTCTGTATCCTTGTTTTGAATAAAAATGGAACAAAATCCCCACAAATACCATGATTGAATATGCCTATGTTTTGTGGGACTTATATTCTTCCAAGTCAGAGAAAAGTAAGTGTCTAAGACAATGTCAGTGATTTGAGCATGATTGGCTATTTTGAGCTAAATGCAACAAAAATTCTTACAAATACCATTTCAAAGCATCATCAATTTCACTCATCTAAGTTTTTTTTTTAAAAAAAATCACTCATCTAAGAACTGAAATAGAAATGGGAATAAAAATCAATGTCAATTATTTGAGCACCAGGATTCGCTTTTACCAATAAAAAACGGTTTCAGACCTGCAACTGCGGATGTTTCGGAAGAACGTCCTTGCTCCTCACCCACCGATCTCGGAGCTGAGCGACGGTGTCTCCGGTGAGAGCGAGAGATCCGGCAGTGAAGGCTTGTTTGGAGGGGAAGCGGTAGCCGGCGCCGTGAGTCGCATCGAGGGAGTTGGAGCCGGCGGCGCCGGATTCTCCGTTCCGGACGTCCTTCTCTCCTCCTCCGCCTCTTCTTCTTCGATTCCAGTCCCGGGAATGGGGAGATCCCATTCCCCAAAAACTCCCATTGCCGCCGTTCAATATGCTCATTCCCTGTTGCTACACCCGGGACGGACACTTTTCTTTTTTTTTGAAGATATGGAGTACTTCCACCCTCATTATTCACCGGCCCATCCCAACATTATTTTTAATTTAATTTATTACTAAGAAAATGTAGTAAAATTAAAAAATAAACTTTACATAATAAAAAAGTATATCAAAAACTCTATGGAATTAGATATGACACGAATATATTATTTTATAAAATACGTAACAAGAATAGAGAAAAAAAAATTGATCATGTAAATAGTAACAATTAATTTAATTTGGCCGGAGTGAGTAAGAAATAACTCATTTTACTGACTTATTTTTACTAATCATTTCATAAATTTATAGTCTTATAATCTCTGGTTTTGTAAAAATGTTAATATACTTTTTTAGTATAGAAATTTTATTTTTAAATTTTGTATCTAAAATCAAATAAATTAAATCAAGAATAAAATATGTCATCCTTCCTAACACATAATAATAAGAAGATATATGAAAGACAGAAAGAGTACAATGATACCATCTCGACTGAAAAAAAGTCAAAAAAAAAATAGAAGTATTACAAGTGTGACCCCATTTTTGACATCAATGCTTTTACCGATGCCAGAGACAAAGAATACTTTTCGGTGTCTATAATATTTGTAAGGATATTGACTATTGAGATCAATATTGGGGTACCCCAAGTATGACTAAAAAATTTTGTTTTTCGAAAGAATTTCTTGCTCTTTCCTATAAGAAAAACATCAACTACGTTTTTTACTAAGAGTTTGACACTAAAAAATTTGTAGATATATAAATATAAAGAAAAATGCTAGGGGTACACACTTTTTATTTATTTAATTTTTTAAAAATTCTTGCCCATTTTTGTGGTAATGGAGGGGGTGAGGGACAAATGGGTGGTGGAGAAGGATGTGGGGGACAAATGGGGTACACCAAAGGTGTACCCCTAGCATTGCTCAAATACAAACTATTCGTGAAATATTTGATATCAAATATTTAGTATCAAATCTGGCGGGATTCTAACATTTAGAAAAAAAACTTTTATTGAACATTTATGTTTGCTTTTGGTGTAAAAATGGGTCGCAAAGTTTCTCTTGACCTTTGCTAAAATTAATATGTATGGAGCAGTCAATTTTTTATAACACCTCAAGATTCATAGATTAGCACCAAACAAACAAAGACAACTGAGATACAAGGCCTCATCAGCCCCTAAGCTCCATACATCTACTCTTGAGTCTTGCCTTCTGTCTTTCCTATTGCATAGGTAGTCATATCAAACCCAATCCAATAGGCTCTCTTTAGCACACGGAATTGATTCCAATTATGCTGTTTGGTAGTACAAAAATATGCAAAAATAAAATGGAATTCGAATCCCAAAATTTTCAATTTCATATTTTAAATCCCATAACCTTAAAGTAATCTTCATCATTAGAAATCTTCTTCATATGAATCTTCGCATTCCTGAATTCCTATATAACATCACAAGCTGCTGCAAAGGACCCAACAATAAACAATCTCTCTATTGTGTTTGAGATGATCATAATTTTCACTTTGATCTCTTTAACTCCATTACCTGTCATACCCAATTAAGCTGAGACCCTCTATACAACATGGGTGGCTTGGGGCATGGTTGTAAATCCTCGGGACAGGTCTTGCTATAGAACAACCATAGTGAAAGGACATAAACTAAATAGATGGTCATCATGATTGTAAATCCTCGTGTTTGAATGTAGTACTCATCTTATTAATACCCCTATATGTATGCCATTCTTGTTATTCCCAAACTTTAAAAAACCACATTATTTAAATATATTAACAAAGAGTTATTTAAAAAAATATTAAAGTATTTTTCAGCAAAAATATTATAGTGTGATTTTTATTAGGTGTATTTTAATTTATTGTATACTTATATGTATTGTTGAAAAATGGAGGGAGTAAATTTTGAAAATAAAATGTTTTTGTTCGAGACCAAGGTTTCAGGGAGTGTGGTTAGTGGGCTAAGGTTCCGGAGTGAACTAAAAAAAAACAAGCCGGCACATTGGAAATTAAGGCTACAAAATACCCCATACATAACTAGAGGTATTAAGGCTGCGATCATAGAAACCAAGAGGATTTTGTGTGTGCTAGTGTTTATTGGCCTATTACTGATCAGGAATTTTTAACTTATAAGCTTCTTATAAGTTAAATATTCTTTCATGGATGTAAAATGACTTAAATGATAGAAAAATCATTTGTAAATATTCATACATGGTGAGGGACAGCTTTGTTAATAATTTGGTCAAAACGGAGAAACAAAAAAACTACTTTAAAAATAAGTAGTTAAGAGCCATTTATTTTTGATAGCTTATAAGCAGCTTATAAATCAGCTTTTAAACACATAGAAACATGTTATCAACTGACTTATAAGTTAAAAATGGCATGTAATCAATTTTGTCCAGCTTATAAGCACAGAGAAACACCACTAAGTGTATGTGTTTGCGTGGTGCACAATGCTATACTTCATGTGTAAACTTTAATGATCCTAACTTTCTACGTAATGCTCAAGAAGGAGGTTGGAACATTAAGCTTAAATTCTAGCCTCTGAACTTAACTTTCAGAATGTAAATTTTAGGTTTGTAGGAATAGACAGATTTAGTTTTGGAAAAGAAAGGTTTTTTTTACAAGAGATATTTTGAGACGAATAGAATTTCAACTAAAACAAGAAAATGATTCAAAACTTGTTTTTTTCGTCTGTTCCAAAACAAAATTTGTACTTCACTTCTTTTGTTTAAGAATAAAATATGTGACTCTTAACAACGCTTTCTCTTCCAAACAAATTTTCACCATACACTTTTTACGTTTCAATATTTGTTCTTAAATTCAGTGAAATAAAACCATGATTTATTATACGAAGTATTTGGGTAGGAAGGAAATACTGCAGTATATTGTTTCCAAATGGTGGAAACTTAGAAGTCATTTCTTGATGAAAAGCAAATTATTCTTAACCTTTTACATTTGGCTTTGTTTGTTTAAACACAGGACTGCTGCTTTAGCACCAATGAAGCAAAGAATCGCAATTTGCAAATCAAATAACTCCAAATTGACGTTAACCCAGGGTGCTCTTTTACACTTCCTCAATTCTTTTTTTTTTGTTTAATTCTTTTAAAAACAGAGTGATAATTTGGCCTGTTTGGGAATAGCGTTTGATATTAGCTTTAGCGTTTTGGATAGAATTTTAACGGTTCAGATTACTTTGAAAACGCTAACGCTAAACGCTAGCCGTAGATAGCATTTTCAAAACGCTAACGCTAATCTCTGACGCTATTCCCAAACATGCCCATTACTGTGTTGGGAAAAAAAGGTAAACACTATTATTCCGTAATATTTGTGTGCATTAAAGATAAAAAAAACTAAAGCATTAATCATGCTTCATAGTTCTTACTTGAGGGAAAACCAAACTCGTGAAAATGGCACTTCTTAAGGCTCCCCCTTAGTACAGTTCAATTTAGTTGAACACGAATTTCAAAAATTATACAAATTTCATTCCAAAGAACAAAATGTACGAAAAATGATACCGAGTACCACTTATATCACAAATGATTTTCAAGTTCTAACTGAAATCTAATATCTAGGGTCTGGTAACTAAATTTTGAAACATATATTAAGAACATGTTCTTTTCATCTTAATTTTAAGTAGAGGCTAAAATCAGGATAACTAGAATATAAAGTTGAAAACAATAGATCCTAGATATACTATAAAACCAAAGAAAATTGTTAACTCCAACAAAATAACTAGAAACTGAGGATAATAGGAATATGATCTTGAATACTCTAAATTAGAAAACTGTAATTTATAAAAAGTTAAAAGAACATGGCCATCTTCACACTTAACCATCCAAGAACCAACTGTGGGCCCTAACTACCCATATAAAATCAGAACATGGCCATCTTCACACTCTATGCTCTCCATCTTTATGCTCTGAATAATTACTGCCAACCATGGAAGACTACAGAATTGAGGAAACAGCTCCTTCTCCCAACAAAGCTTCCCCTCAACTGAATTGCAAAAGTATACATACCCTCCCTGTATTTTTTTCTTTTAAATATTACTAGTAATGATAATTTGACACTGGACTCTAGTGACATACTATGACACTGGCCTTTACGATGCTCCGTTGAGTCTGAAAGTTGTTCATAACCCCTCTACCCTTAGCCCTTATTACAAATCAACGAATCCAGAGGGGGGGGGGGGTTAAGGGAGTATGAACAATTTTTGGGCCCAATGGAACCCCGCAAAGAACCGTGACAGTAATGCTTGAATTTGCAATGTTTACTTCATTGTTTTTTGTGTTCCTAGCTTGAATGTTTGTCAAGTCTAACACAATACTGTTTTCTCTGTCGGTGGTGTTTTAGTATTGTATGTTAGTGGTTTTCGTGGAACCAGTTTTCATGCTTTCAACAATGATGCTGCTGCACCTGCATCTGATGAAACTCATGTCCGAACCCTTAATACTCCGCGGACATATGTTGCTTCTGGTGAAAGTCTTGGCGGAAATGATAATACTCCGCCAAATGTTGCTTCTGCAGGTGGCATAAATAATGCCACGAAAAACGAAGACGACATCAGGAGCAATAGGACATTGTACGATGATGCAGTACAAGGAGACTTAGAGGTGACAGAAAGGTTGGTTAAGGAGGACAACAAAGTGTGCATATATCCACTGAACGATAAGCTTCAAAACGTGTTTCATATCATTTCCAAGAGAGAAGAAGAGGAAGAAGACGAGAGGGTCGTGGAGAAACTGGAAAACATTGTAAGGAACATGAGTGTGGATGATCTCGGGAAGAAAGACGGGGATGGCCGAACCGCCCTCCACGTGACTGCCCTGTATGGGAACACTAAGATGGCCCAAGTGTTTATTAGAAAGAATTGTCGTCTCCTTTTCGTGAGCGATGGCCACCACGATCTCCCTGTCCATTTGGCTGCCCGGAATATCCGCCAGAGCGAGGCCGTTTATACCTTCTTCTTTAATGTCACTCGTCAGAAATGCGAGGAGGTGCAGGTGCCTACAGCTAATCCATTTGAACTCTCAAGTGCCATGCAGCTCTTTTGCTACTTGATTGGATCTAAATTCTATGGTACGTTTTTTTCTCTCAATATATACTCTCATTTGTATCTCCCTATTTTTTCTTGGAACCGGATTTAATGTAAGATGAAAAGTTGTTTGATCTTTTGTCCTTGTTTTTTACCTTAACTAAAGAGAAATGTAAAAAGATGAATAGTATAAGGTGAATATTGTAAAAAAAAGAAGGTAAAGTCAGATGGGTAAAAATGAGATAGTAGTTTGAGGTTGGTGTAGTAGGGAAGTAATTTAAGATATTAAATGGTGTAGTAATGGGTAGTAGATGAATTCTTTTAGCAATGCCAATTGCCAAACTCAAAAACTAAGATGCAACAAAAAAGGGAGTATTTCATCTGTGCAACAGAGCATTGGGGGTGGGAATATTGTGTGTATAACATCAAGAATTTCTCAAACAGTTAAATTTTTTTTCTCAAGCATTTAAAAACACAATTCTAAAATTTATATTAAGATTCTGAACTACAATGGCTAATGCATTCATAAATTAATTTTCAGATCTGGCTTTAGATTTGGTGGTAAAGTACGATGAATTGGGAGTATCGGTAGCAGAGATACCTGGTTCGAAATTGGACGAAAAGAATCCGGACGTGGCTAGTCATCCTCTCCTAAAGAGCAAAACATCTGCATTGCAAGCGCTCGTGCAGTTCGATTGTCCTATCATCAACACAAGTCACCTTAGCTTCTGGCACAACTCAATATCCTATTGTGGGTCTCACCCTTCTCCTTCAATACCTGCCCTGCCATCTGATTCGTTAGTTCATCACTATTATTACAGAATATTATTTAATTGCACGGGTACGGGTACTCATGCAGGGATGGGGTTGGGAACAAGAAAAGCATGAGCTGTCGAAACAAGAAACGAACTCTAGTAAAGTCTCAAAGAAGTTGGGTCTGGGGAGAGATGGTTTCCAAGAGAACCCGGGCTCAAATACTTAAAAATACCAAGTTTTTCAAATTTTATAAAAGATTTTGATGGCAGAATGTATCCAAGTAAGAAGACAAAAGGCTTTACTTTTTTTTTCTAGCTTTACTAGACAAAAAGCTTTACTTATTTGAAGAATTGGTGCAACATGGGGAGTAAATAATAATACTGCAACCAAATAGAAAAGTTTGAAATTTGAAAACAAAACAAGCTTTTGTGTTTTTTTAGTGTGGCAGCCGAAGAGCATGAAGAACAAGATGTCAATGCACCGAAAAGCAGAGAAGCTTCTCCACCATTTGTGCAACAGAATCAAATCCCGGAAAGATCACAAACAGGTTGTTGCCGTTGCAAAGAGTGCAATGTTCGAAGCAGCCCGGCTGGACATGGACACCGTAGTTACGAGCATTCTGGACACATGCCCCACAATAGTTTACTGTTTGGACGACAACAAGTGCAGCGTGTTTCACATCGCAGTCGAGAACAGGAGCGAGAACGTCTTTAATCTTCTATGTCAAAAGAGCATCCAGATGCGAGATTTGGCAGAAATGGTGGATGTTCATGGAAACGGCATTCTGCATTTGGCCGGGAAATTGGCACCCCCTCACAAACTCAATTCTGTTTCCGGGGCTGCTCTTCAAATGCAACTAGAACTGCAATGGTTCGAGGTCATTTTTCCACTCTAGATTAATCTAAATTTGCTTGAACGAAATGATATAGCGTTAGAACTTGTTTTTGTTTCAACTAATTTTTGGGTTAAAGATAAATTTAGTTCTAACAGTTTCAAAACAGGCCTAAATTTGAGCTCTTACAATACTTCATTTGACCCCAAAGTAATTCTTAATCTATGCTACTTTCGTCTGTTAGTCCACTTTTGAGTTTTTTGCAATCAATCATATTCCACATTTAACTTATAATTAAAAAAATTATACATTTCTTCAAAAAAAAATACATTATATTAATTAGATAAAACATTATTTTTAAAAATAATAGTAACAAATTTTTTTGTATCAATATCTAATAAGGAGAATCACTTTCATTTAATTAATGATCAAAATTTGTCAGTTTTGATTGTAAAAATTCAAAACTGGACAAATACTCTAGGACAAAATTATAAAAGCATACACCTATTAAGTTCATGTTCTCTTCAACTGTGATTAGAATAAGTTTTGGTCTCATATGATCTGAATGTAGTTATATTTAAAGCTATTTTATGATCTGATTTCAATAAGAATAAGTAATAACTAAAAGAATAAGTTAGGGAAATTATGACCTAAATGCCTTTATGGGAAGTCAAATGTTGGAAACACACCAGGGCATTGAATCTCTATACTTGAGAAAGCTAGAAAAGATTATTCAAATGATCTTCTATTTTGAATCAACATTTTTTTCTTCAATGTAATCAAAACTAGACTCGTACCCATGCGATGCACGGACAGTAAAATAACGTAATATTTGTTTTGGTTTGGAATAACATATAATGTTAAAAAGGTAGTGTACATTAAGGACCGTAGTAAAAAAAATAACAATATTTATTAAAATTGCCCAAAATAAGGTAGTGTACATTAAGGACCATAGTCGACATGCCGTGTCATAAGTTTTGGAACACTTCTTTGAAGTGCATATTTATGATATTTCACTTTAATAGCTAAGAATAAAAAAGAATAGAGTAGTAACACATAGATTGATAGGTAATGTTTGGAATTTGTAACCTCATAACAAAAACTAATCTTGGTCATAATCATAATAGACATACAAATAGTTACATCCTTAGCTTCGTTCCAAAAAACATGTCGGATGGATTACACATGGGGAGCTTTTTAATTTCTTCCAACATTAGAGAATCATACATTTCAAAAGCGGTAACATTAAATATCTTAAGAAGAAATTGATAATTTTAATAAAGGACATAAAGATCATTGAAATACTTTTTGTTTGGAATTTTAACTCGTTCAGATCGTCGTAGTAAAAGTGGTGTGGGTATAGGTGGTGTCGGAATCGCACAATGATCGCAAACGAAAAATAATCCCCATCCCACACCACCAATTTGTAAACATGTAAGATGACCATGTGTAACAAAGCATTTCCAACAGTCTTCCATAAAATCTGAGTCTTGAATAGTCTTGCACTTGTAACATGGGGTCAACCAACTGCCAATTCCTTTTTTAATTATGAAATACATAAACTAACTTAAAAATAAATTTTAATTTATAAAAACAATTTACAATCCGAATCATTTAATTGGTTTAGAAAGGTTATTTTGTAAAAACAAATTTTGTTTTGTATAAAAATCATAGACCATTATTTTTAAATATTTTGTCTCATTCCAAATTTAAAAGCCCACACCTATGACCAGGAGAACCCAACATTTATTACAATGGAGGCCCAACGCACACAGCTTTTATTTCTTCAGCAGAATACCGATTAAACATTTAAGGGAAAATGCTAGGGGTACACTTTTGGTGTACCCCAAACATCCCCACTCCCTCCATCACCACAAAAAAAAGCAAGAAAAATTCAAAAATAAAAAAATAAAAAATAAAAATAAAATAAAATGAATGGTAGAAAGGGAAGGGTGTACATTTGGGTACACATTTGGTATAGCCCAGCATATCCAACATTTAAACATAAATAAACCTACCCTAACCGTGGCCATCTTTTGGCCACACAAACACGCCGCTTCTGTTCGATCTCTCTAGATCTTCCTTTTTCGTCTCTTGGAGAACGCCGGCGATGGAAGTAGATAGAGAGAGAGATAGACAAAGAGGGAGGGAGAGAGACCCTTTACACACAGAGAGAGAGTACTTCCAGATGTTAGACATAGAGAGAGAGAGAGAAGAGCGAGAGAGTGTTCCGTGAGGTGGAGGATCTCATCGCCGGGTAATCATCGCGGACTTCACTCGTATCTTTATTTCATTATTACTTAAGATCAAATTTTTCCTCAGTTCACACTCCCATTCATTAAGGTATGAATTTTTGTTAGATCCGTTTATTTCTAACAGATTTCAAAATTTGGAAGGCATTTTTTAAAAATTCAAAGTTATTCAATTTTAGATCTGTTTAAAACAACCATGCATGTGAATTTTTGTAATTGATAAATAATAAGTATTTGATTTATAAGTGTAAATAATCTTTTAAAATTACGGCAAACCGTTTTTAAAAATTTATGAATTTTTTCCTTAATGCGTTGTTCTAAATGATGTTCATTCATCCCCAAATTTTTTCATTTGATCATAATAACATTAATTTCTAAAAACTGCTGATTTAATTTTCGAGCCTAAATGTTGATGTTTTATTGAAGGAAAAATTTTAATTTTCATTTATTACTTGTAAATGATAAGATGTCTTGTTTAATACATAAAATCCAATAATTCCTTAACATCATATTAACATATATTTCGATAAACTCCTAATTTTTTTCAGCATCAATGTTTAAATTTTCTTGTTTTCCAATTTTTATTCGTATCAATTTGCATTTAAAAGTCCTTGTTTAACATCTATTGTTCTGACCAAATAAATGGGAGTGTAAATTAAAATCTCTGCTCGCACATATGTTCTTAAATCTGGATTTCAGATTTTTGTATAATTTTAAAAATCCTCTAAAAGTTCATCTATATGTTTTTTATTTGACTTTAACCCTTATTTTAGTCTGTAGCTTGACATGCATTTTCTGTTTTTAGCTTCTTAAATACTCCTTATGTTATTATTTCAAAACTAAGTTTGCGGTTCACCTACGGAAACCTTGTTACGACTTCTCCTTCCTCTAAATGATAAGGTTCAATGGACTTCTCGCAACGTCACGGGCAGNCCCACATCACCACGATCCGAACACTTCACCGGATCATTCAATCGGTAGGAGCGACGGGCGGTGTGTACAAAGGGCAGGGACGTAGTCAACGCGAGCTGATGACTCACGCTTACTAGGAATTCCTCGTTGAAGACCAACAATTGCAATGATCTATCCCCATCACGATGAAATTTCAAAGATTACCCGAACCTATCGGCCAATGTCAATAAGTAATAAATGGTTTTTTGTAGTGCTATTAATGGAGAAGGTAGTACCGTCATATGTCCGGTCGACGACGAACAAGGACTTGAAAACGCCGAGATCGGTGTTCACGGAGGAGCATAAAAACTTGAAAGAGAACGGAGAGAGACTGATGAAGGACACGGCGAATTCCTGCACAATCGCCGCCGCACTGATCGTCACCGTCGCGTTCGCCGCTGCAATCACTGTTCCGGGGGGAAACAACAGCGATAGCGGCCACCCGATCTTCTCGAAGAAAACTGCTTTCACCGTCTTCGCCATCGCCAACGCCGGATCTCTCTTCACGGCGTCGACCTCGATGCTCGCCTTCCTCTCGATCTTGACATCGCGATACGCAGAAAAGGATTTCCGGCTCGCTCTTCCTCGGAGATCCATCATCGGATTGCTGACGCTGTTCCTCTCGATCATTCTCATGATGACGGCGTTTTCCGCCACCGTCTATCTCGTGTTCGGCCAGAACCAATCGGCGATCGCTATCGCGGTGGCGGTTCTGGCTGGTTTGCCGGTCTCTTCATTTGTGCTTTTGCAATTCCCGCTCATTGTTGCCCTGGTCTCTTCCACTTATGGGCCGGGCATTTTCAGGAAAACGAAAAGGCCCACTTCCAATCGTAGACCGAAAGAATCTGAAACCCAACCCACCGATATTGAAAGAGGAAGGAAAATCATGTAGTAATTTGATAAGGCCCATTTGCATATTCATGTTAATTACACATACATTTTTTTCTTATTTATTTTCATTAATCATTTATTAAAATAATGTAGTTAAATTGTATTTTAAAATTTTATAAGGAGTATTATTATTTAAATAAATTTGAAAATGATTCTGTCACGCGTGGTTATCCACAATATTAGACTTTTGTTATGACATCGAGGGAGCCAATTTTCAATTCTGATCCAAATGCAGTATTCGCATATACAATCTTTAAATATGCGTACTATTGTAGGAAATCTTGTTAGATTTGTTTCGATGTCCAGTTAAATTTCTTTAAACTTCCAAATTTAACATTATTAAGATTTCAAAAGTCCTTTTTACCCTTCTACCCTTCCATACAACACATTGGCAGCATGCACTAGCTTTGGTTGATGTTGGGCATTTTCGAATGGAAGGACAAAATCAATGGATGAGGGCAGTTTAGTATACATAAACAGAATGTTGTGACTAATAACAAATAAAGAAGGATTAGAAAAACAATACTGACTATTTCAGGCTCAGTCAGAAACTGACTATTATGACTACTACTACTGTTACTACTTCTTTCTCATCTTCAAACACCATTAGAGAGGATAAACTAAAAACAAGAAGCAACTGCTAATTCTACACACTAAGAATCAGAAGAAGAAGAAGAAGAAGAAGCATGTTTTGTTTCATGATGGAGAAGTAATAACTTGGCTTCGGATTCGGCTTGACCGCCTCACCGGTGTCATCCCTTCGTCCCCTCCTCCACTTCCCTATATAAACACAAACACACACAATGAAAATGAAGCATTAGTTAAAACAACGACAAACGTTAACCCATGCTATGAAATAGAGAGACCGTTTTCAAGAAAAAAAACGACAGCGTGTGTATACTCACAAGATGGTGATGCTTGAGGGGAATCTTCTCGTACGTGGTGAAGCTCCCGTACGAAAGGGATCCCCAAGAGAAATCCGACGTGGCAACCGACTCCCGCCTACTACTAGCCTTTCGTTTCTCCTCTTCCTCAGCCTCCCCTGCCATTCTTCTTCCTCTTCTTCTACTTGTGCTGTTACCAGATGTGCTTACTTCTGATGAAGTGCCAGAATCTGTTACAGCATTAACCACTGTTTCTTGTTTTTGATCTTCTCCTATCATCATTCTGCTGTTTTGTTTCACAAATATGAACACTGCTGCTGCAGCAGCAACTGCCCCTGCACTGACGAGGAGAAGAGGCGTTGCCGAAATTCCCAAAGATTTGTTGAAACCATTCCTCCCTTCTTCATGATGCATTTGAGAGGCTGGAGATTCATCTCCTGAAAAAGAACCATCTTTTTCGCCGGCTATATTCGCAAGATGGTCATCATCATCATCATCAAAGCCAACATCCAATTCTCCGGCTTCTTCAAGAGCTGAAATTTTTCTGTTGTAGGCGAACTGACTAGGGACTTCTTCTTCTTCAGGCTGAAGAACATCACTGATGGGACTGTCCAATTCAAAATGAACATCATCTTCTACTGCTTCAAGAACTGAAATTTCCATGGTTTCAGCAAAATCAGTATGAACTTCTTCAGATTGAACATCATTGGTGGGACTGTCCAATTCAATAATACCATCATCCTTTGCTACTACTGCAATGGCCAAAATCTCATCTTCTTCAGCAGAACCCACACTCTCCTCATCAACCAAATCTTCAACCTCAACTTTCCCTCCTAGTTCGATATCTGGTACATCGTCTTCATCTTCTAGTGCTTCTTCGAAATCGGAGTCAGCATCCTCTTCTACCTCGTCTTCTTTAACCAAATCCTCAGATTCTGCTTCGTCGTCCAACTCGTGATCTTGTTCTTCTTCCAACTCCTCAAACACCCTGTCCACTTTGAATTCCCATTCAGTTCCCCCTACTAGACAAGTTGAGTTTGTAAAAAACATTGGACTCAACTCATCGGTTGGGAAAGTGGAATGAATCGAAAACCGCCCGAAGTGATGAACATTCAGAGTGGATTGAACTTGTGATCCCCAGTAAGAAGAAAGATCAGCAAGATTTGCATCTTCCACTCCATAACCATTGAAGACTGGACTATCAGTAAGTGAAATTGACACACAAGCAGCAACCATGAGGAGGAAAACAGTAAAAGCCCATTTTAAACAGATAAAGATTCTGCTTTTCTTTTCCTTCTCAGGGCTTTCCTTGGCCAATTCTTCTGCTTCTGGTTTCAGTCCAATCTCCTCTTCGTCCAAAGACTTGGTTTTTTCCTCTACTTCCATTTCTTCCTCAGTAGTAGAGGATGAATCATCTGATTCCGTGTGGGAATCATCACTCTGAGACTCGGAATCCGAATCCTCCGAAACAGTTGTAGACCCAAAACTTTCATCGAGTCGCTTAGGTTCCCCCACCATGTCAAAACCCTTTTCCGTGCTTTTCAGAACATCAAGACTGGGTTTGGGGCTGTAGAGGGTAAACTTAGGTCTGGGGGAAGCGTAATTCATACAAGGAGACATGTCGAGAAAAGGGAGTCTGAGACATTTCTCATTGCTGAGAGAATCAGAGTCGGTTACATCGGTCTCATCGTCATAACGTAAAGGTGCCTCAGAAAATGTCACCTTTCTCAAAGATTTTGTGCCGGGACGAATCTCAGGCTTTGGAATTGAATTTTCTGTAGGGTCCGAAGAAATGGATGAAAAGAATGTAGCTTTACCGTCGCATAGTGAAATCGAAGTCCTCACAGGCTCATTTCTCTCCACCAAGACCTTCTTCTTGGGCGATGAACTGAACTTTGAAGCTGCAGAAAAGGTTGGGGACATGAAATTCTTGGAGCCCTTAGCAGGGGACCGAAGCTTAGCCGCTCTCTCGTTCTCCTTCTCCGAGCAATCCCATGATTCTGTCATCTCTTCTTTAACCTGTAAACCCCTCCTTCCAGAATCTGAAGAACAAAAAAGAAACCCAGAAATCCAGAAAAGTCAAGATCATTTTTGTTTCTCATGAAAACACCAACACAAGAAAAGTCTGAAAAACACCCAAAACCAGAACTCAATTTCCGTTAATAAGAGAAATGAAAAATCTTGAAAACCCTTTGTAAGAGTTTCTTGAAATCAAGAAGATCAGTACCAGCAGGGCTATTGGAAGGCGAGGGAGGGCAGGAACGGCAGAAACTTCGTCTCCCCGTGTTTGAGAGTGGGAGAGGTATGGGAGAAGGGGTGCCGCCGAAACTTCTTCTGGCGGCGGAATTGGGCTCCGTGGAGGTTCTCGGCCTCGTCGGCAAAGGAGATGGAGATCTATTGGAAGGGTTCGCCATTGTTGCAGATTTGGGAAGAGGATGGAGGGCTTTTGCAGATTTGGGGAAATCCAACGAACAAGTAAAAAAATTGAAACCTCCGGCGTTTCAAAACTACAAATGAACTGCTAATTTTTCAGAAGGTAGGAGAATTGATATGAAGATTTGTGATGGATGATTTGGTAGAGATGGTCAAAATCTCTTTTATTGTGATTGATTAGGGTAACGGCTAGTTTCCAATTTCAGGCGAGGGTTTATGGATTTGAATTTTGGGGCTTGTGACCGTTAAGGCTAGAAAATATGGAGCAATCCGTTTGAAACTTTGGCATATTTTCTTCTCTTTCAAAAAGAGCCAATTGAGCATAAAGAATTTAAAAAAAGAAAGAAAATATTACTCATATAGTCATACTCTTCACTTGCTTTAATTGTTAAGTACTCTCTACTTTTATTAATTAATGATATTTTCACTCTAAAAATGTTATTGGTACTTCAAGTTTTATATTGGAGTAGTATTAGACAAAAATAGTGCATCTACATTAGGAAGTTAGCAAAAAACAATGAAGGGTCTTTTATAAAGAAAAAAAACAAGAGTAAATTTCATAAAAGGTCTCCAGTTATAGATCGTTTTACATATTTAGTCCCTACATATCAAATATTACTAAATTAATTCTCAATTATTATATTCATTTCCACGAATGGTCCTTTGTTAACATTTCCATTAAAAACGTGGATAAAATTGTAAATTCACACTCCTTTCTCTCCTCAATTAAGCTTCCTCCCTCCCCTCGCACTCCTTTCCCAAACCCGTCGCTGAGTTTGAAGCTTTTTACCCAAAATCGAAATTATCACTCTTCTCTCAATTGTTTATCGGAGCCCAAATTTGAAACCAGTAACTCTTATGAATGAGTTTTAATGTTTATTTTCTTTACAATTTTTTTAGACTAACCGATAAAACTCATGTATAAAGCTTATAATAATCATCCTAAATAGGACTAAAACATAGAGAAAAGTACCAAAATAGAACTTTAATGTTTTTTTCTCGGAATAGGACTTTGCACTGTGGTAATGTGACTTTGCATTGTGGTAATGTGGCAGTGTACATGTGCAAATTACTATACTTTTTTGGTAATGTATATGATTATGTTTGGTAATGTAAATCCTATTTCGGGAATAAAAACATGGAAGTCCTATTTTGGTATATTTTCAATGTTTTAGTCCAAGTTTGGTCTTTCTCCCTAAAGCTTATTAGTTTTGATTTTAGGTTCCACCAGGAAACTAATAATTGAGAAAGGAAAATAATTCTCTTATTTTTATTAGTCATCATCATATCCAATAATAATTCCTTGTACATCCCACCAAATCTTTAATTAGGCATGCATGAACCAAAAAGAGAGCATAGTATGTGAACCTGAGGTTGAGTGTTCCAAGCCTTCCTATTAAGAAATAAAATAAACTAAATTTAAATAACGAATGTATATACAATAACATTATTGAATATATGTGTATATATCTATAAACTTAACTAATTGTTTTTTTATATATGAACATTTGTCAACGCTGTTATTAAATCTATGAATATTTATCAACGTTGTTTCACCAGTCTATAAAAAAGATCTTTTTATCTTTGATTTTATTTGGACAAACTTGCTATAGATATCATGAGAAAGAGTAGTAGAGGGAGGCAAAGAATTGAGATGGTGAAGATGAAGAATGAGAACAACCTGCAAGTGACGTTCTCGAAGCGACGCGCGGGGGTTTTCAAGAAGGCAAGCGAGCTCTGCACGCTTTGCGGCGTAGATGCAGCCATTCTTGTCTTCTCTCCGGGGAGGAAGGTTTTCTCCTTCGGCCACCCTACCGTCGAGACTGTATTGGAGAGGTTGTATATATAGAACGTAGGTTACGTTCCATATATTATATTACAGAATATTACGTAACATATACTACATTTGTCTCCTTATTTGTCCAATTTTGACACTTTACAATCAAAATTAACAAATTTTGACCATAAACTGAATATAATCAATATTAGATATTAGTATAAAATAACTTATTCAATTTATATATATAAAATATTTAAAATATAATGAGAAGAATTAGGTTTTTGTTTCGGTTCAATAATGTTATTCAAGTTATTCAGACATTCTAATATGTGTATCATATATCAAAACTATATTATAATGTAAATCTAATTATATTGAATTTAAAATATAAGTAAATATTCTTTTTGGGGTCTTAGAGGGTCACAATTTAATCAAAAGAATAAAAAAATTAATTCTTGGGACAAAAGTATATGTAATTATAATATAAATTTAATATAATTAGGTTTATTTTTAAGATGTACTTTTGATATACTCATTCCCTACCGAAGACTTGCTAAGTTTGGATAATTTTTCTTTGTTTTTAGTTGATTATTTGATAAATAGAGAAAAAACCCAATAAACTAGCTCTTTTGTTATTCAGGTTCCTAAGCGGGGAAGATCAACCGGGCGACGAGACAAGCGGCGGCGTTGGGGCGGAGCCGGCGGATCAGCTGTTAGAGGCTCACCGGAGCGCGAGGGTGAGGGAGCTAAGCATGGAGCTGACACACATTGAGGGGATGATAGAGTTGGAGAAGAAGAGGATCGAGGCAATCGGTGAATATGCCGCCGCGGCTGCCGGAGGTTCGACGCGTGCCGCCGCCTATGATCAGCTCGGCTTGAACCAGCTTACGGCTCTCAAGAACCGGATGGAGATTCTCCTCAAACAAACCCATTCCGCGGCGGCTCACCAGCTCATGCTCGACGGCTTCCCGCCGCCTCCACCGTTGTCGGTACACTATCACCCGCTTCCCCCTCCGCCTCCGCCGCCATTTGGTGATTATTCGCTGGGTGAGAATCACAATATTGTTTTGTCTTCGGCTGGACTTGGCGGCGGCGGCGGAGTTCAGTATGTTTCCGGCGGCGTTGGTGGCTGTTATGACGATGATGATTCGGGTGCTAGGGCTTGCACTACTCTGCCTCTTGGAATTGGCCGTGGGTTTTTCTAAGCATCTACCCCCACCTTCTAAAATTAAAATTAAGTTTTTTTATTTTATTGTCAAAAATTAATTTTTTTTAACATATTTAAAATTTATTTTAAAGACTTATAAATTTAAATACATTATGATAAATGGTAAGGTTACAAATACAAGTATACAACAGTCACAAAATGCACAAATTAATTATTTATCTTTTTATATTTCTACATTTTAATTTGATTACGAGGTATTTAAAATTATTTTGTTATCATGGTGAGGTGTACAAAACTATTTTAGCATTTCTCATTTCAAATTAAAAATATACTAAAAATTGATTAAGCTATAATGTGCAATTAATATTTAAAATTCTCTTCTGGACATTATTTCTCCTTCTGGACATTTTTAAGTGCTATAATGTCATTTTTTAATGTCATTTTTTCTAAATAGTATTTAAAACCCTCTTACTCTAAAAAAATGTCCTATTTTAAAACTCTCTTTCTCTAAAAATGACATTTACTTTTAACATTTTAAATCTTATCTAACGACATTAATGCAAATTGAAAGTATGTAAGGTAGTATTTGCTTGAGAACAAGCATTTTATTTAAATTTCTACATTTCAATTCTAAAATTTAAGTTATTAAATTTCAAATGACAAGATGATGTGCATGAATTTCAAATTGAACTTTGTTATAAATAATGAGAATAATTTGACTTAAATTCAAATTTTTAAAGTTTTCTAAACACATGATTTGGATCAAATCCGAATTTAAAATCCAAATTTTCAAACGTACTATAATTAAAGTTAGGACATGTTGTCTTCAACTTATTTTTATTGTAAAATCAACCTAAATAGGACTAAAACATGAAGAAAAGTACCAAAATATGTCTTTCATATTTTTTTAAAATAAGACTTTGCACGGTTGTTATGTGGCACTGTACATGTGCACATTAATATAATTTTTTGGTAATAATGTACATGACCATATTTGGTAATGTAAGTTCTATTTCAGAAATAAAAATATGGAAGTCCTATTTTGTTATATTTTCAATGTTTTAATCCTACTTGCTTGAGTATTTTTTTTCCATTTTATTGTTTATTACTTTTTTTATTGGATTCAAATTAAGCTTGCTCACAAATAATTTTAGATACAACTTATTTTTATTACTTATCACTTTTTTGTTCTATTCGAAGTTTTTCCTTTTCGAATGAGCCCTTTTTTGCAAAACAATCTACAAAATACTTCAACAATTTGGGGCGGCTGAACTTTTCTGGAAACACATTCAACCGGCGGCTTGGAAACAATTTTTTTGGTCAAGTTTCTCAACGAGAGCACCAGTGATACAGACTCGTATCGGATATGATAAACTCAGGGCGTCTTCAAGCTCTTAAAATATGAGATGAGGAAGAAGAAAATCATTGAGACGAGAAGAGAATAGGTGAACCGAGATAGGGGAAAGGATTTGGGGTTTTGTGTTTTTATTGATGGATGAAAACCAACCCCATCTAAAAAAAATAGAAAACCTAGCATAACAATTTAATAAAGGGAGAAATACGAATATAACACTTTAATAGGCTTATAATGCGAAAAATAGCAGTACTATAAGTTTTTGAGATGAATTCCCAATATTACCCTTAATTAAACAAATTTGTATTATATATACACTACCACAATATATACATTGCCACAATATATCTACACTGCCACAATATATATACACTGTCATAATGTTAGCCACAATATGTACTCCCAAAAATTCAATGTCTGAAATACACTGCCACAATATATGCACTGCTAAAAATTCAATGTCTGAAATACAATGCCACAATATATACACTGCCACAATATATCTACACTGCCACAATTCGGGCAATCACAGAGCATACTTCTCATAGTTTCTAAGAAAATATTTTAGTTTGTTTATGAAGAAAATTAAATAAATATACCTTCTGAAAAGAACAAGGATTCTGAGATTAAGAGAATAGATATAATATAATACACTGCCACAATATATCTACACTGCCACAATATATACATTGTCATAATGTTAGCCACAATATGTACTTCCAAAAATTCAATGTCTGAAATACACCACCACAATATATGCACCGCCAAAAATTCAATGTCTGAAATATAATGCCACAATATATACACTGCCACAATATAAAGCTTCCATGACTATCTCATATCCCATCAACACGTAGCAATATCGTCAAATTTGGACCCATCTGTGATGCTCCTTTTAAATAATAAAAGAGAAAATATTCAATTAAATTCAATAAAGGATTGAACTCAAAGAATAGATGTATAACCTAATATGCGATGAAAATGTTGGATTTAATGGAAGTGGTGAATACAAAAACACATAGTATATATATACATGATAGGCGTTTTAGTCACATTGCAAACTTTATAATATTAAACAAATACGGAGTACATATTAATCTCACCTTTCTGCATGTGTGCAAGTTTTGGGCCGTCGTTAAAAAACTAACGGCCACTAAACACGATTTTTTGAAAATACATATTTTTGGAAAATAAATGAAAGGTGGGATTATTTTAGGTAAATTTATTTTTTAATTTTTTGACATGCAAAGTTTTTTTAAGGATAAGAACCAAATTCAGATATTAAGGATTAAGGAAATAAATAAAACTAAAAATGCAAGACAACATTTAGGTATTTAATCTTCACACTGCCCACACCATAACACATAATCTTAACACTACCAAAATCACAATGCCTTTCAAAAGACCTAATTTTTCAAAAGGAACAAATAATAGGTATTTCAAAATTGATTTCACACCACCTAATCTTCAGTACGAATAAAACACAATAATTAAAACTAAAAATACATGGAAATCAGAATAAAGGGATGAAGGAATGAAAATTAAAAATTGAAGGAGAAGAGAAAATGATTAGCCACATCGATGAAGGAAGCGGAGATAACCTGATGATTGCCGCTGCTGATCGGCCCAGGAATCGTGGGAGAAGGCCTGAGGACGCATGATGGCGGGCGACTGAAGGAGAACATGCGGCCGAGCGCAAGAAGAGTATGTGCGGCCTAGGGAGTGCCCTAATTTTTAATGATAAAAAGAGAAAAGGTTAAAGGGCATGATAGGAAAGGATTGACCCCAAAAAAGTGCTAAATTTGTTAAAAACAATGAGTAGTGCTAGATGCGTAATTTAGGATGAGTTAGAGTGCTATGTAAGGTGATTTCTTTTTAATAAAAGCGACGAGTGAAAAAACTCTAAAGAAACATCGAATGAGCTGATCATTTTGCTCACATAATCAAACTTATATTACAACAACAACAACAACAACAACAATAACAATAATAATAATAATGAGTGCTACTACTAATTAATTAATATAAATGATAAATATATACTCTCTACGTCCCGAATTATTTGCCACATTTGCTTTTTCAACAGTCGCGGGAAACTTTTGTTTATTTCCACGTTTTCATTGGTTATTTGATAAAATAAAATATTTTTGACACCTCTTATTTCGAAGAACTTTTAATGTAGTTTTTTGATATGTAATTTTTATTTTTTACTTCTTTACCAATATGTAAATAAAACGAATTGAAAAAACTTGATATTTTGCTTCGGTAATAGAAATGTGACAAATAATTTGATACGGAGGGAGTAACTAAATATCCTACTCTAATTACCAAAACATTGGATCAAAATTTATTACAATCAAATTAGAATCATTTAAGGTGAAAAGACTTTTCCTTCCGGATAAATACAATGTCATATGGGATAAACTTTTGCAAACAAGCCCAAAACTGGTTTAAATGTTTACTCCGTAAACAATCCTGTACTGGGTAAACAGATTTTCTTCGTAAGCAGGCCAAGAACCGGCATAACGTTTACTCTGTAAAAGGTATATTTAACCTAAAAACTTTAGGAGCATCAATAGCGGGGATAGCTCAGTTGGGAGAGCGTCAGACTGAAGATCTGAAGGTCGCGTGTTCGATCCACGCTCACCGCACTTTTTATACCTTTTTTTTGGGTTTCATAAAATCCCACTTCCTTTGCCCATCCTAACTCAAAATATGAACTAGAGTTTCAATTATTATTAAATTTTTTTTAAAATTCCAATTCCTTTGTTCCTCCTAAACCCAAGATTTGCTGCCTTTGGAAATTGCAGAGTTCCAAATGAATCTTGGTGTATATTTTTTAATGCTGAAAATGCCCCGCCAGGTGTTCGACAATTTGCCTGTGAGAAAATCCGCCGCTTCTCCACCCGCCTTTTCCCACCCACCTATTTAGAATTTCCCATGATTCTCCTTCACCTATTTGTTGAGAACTTTGAAAGGCTTAAGAATGTGAAGACTTTTGTTCCATTTATACCCCCAGATGGAGATATATATATTATGGGTGTTTTTATGTTCACTCCCCTCTTTGCTAATTTGTGATAAATTCACAATTTTATCTTTAAGAAACAAAAAAGAAGAAAATGAAATGATAGCCAACTTTTAAGGACATAGCTGTCTTTTAACGTCCGTGTAAATCATAAAAATAGTGGGATGAAAAAATATAATGAAATAATTTATAAACTATAGTTATGAACATTATAGGTGTAATAATAATAATAATATATCGTTTTTAGAATAATTGGTCGGGAAGTAGAAAAAGTTTGAAGAAATTAAAAATATTTGAAAGAAACTGGAAAAAACTAGAAGAAACTAGAAAGAACTGCAAAAAATTATAAAAAACCGAAAAAAACTGGAAAGAACGGGAAGAATCTAGAACTCAAGAGCTCAAGCCCTGAAGAATAGGTTCTTTGTAAACATGGTAACAATACATCATTCCGCTTAACTTTGTTTTGTAGTTAAGTGTATAGAGTCAATATTTCCGTTAAGGTTCGTGAACCTAGCTAAAACGATTGGGTTCGAGTTTTTTCTAAGTAGAAAAGGAATAATAAGTTCCAAAACAAGTAAGCACTCGACATATAGAAACTTCATTTCATCTTCAATGAATATAACAAAAAAAACTCGTGCCCATTTGACCTATAAGGAAAACAAACAATGCTAATAAGTTATTATTTCATTATGTACGGACGTTATAATATACTCCGTATATATATGTGTGCATGTGTGTGTGTATATATTTATAAAACAAAACAAAAATGAAATGATCTTTTTATTAAGTTAGTTTAGCCATGGTGAGGAAGTGCAAGGGAAGGCAGAAGATTGAGATGACGAGGATGTCCAAGGAGAGCAACCTTCTCGTAACGTTTTCGAAACGCCGGTCAGGCCTGTTCAAGAAAGCGAGCGAGCTCAGCACCCTGTGTGGCGTGGACATCGCCATAATCGTCTTCTCCCCCGGGAAGAAGGTCTTTTCTTTCGGCCACCCGAGCGTGGACTCGGTCGTGGACCGGTTCCTCGCTCGGAACCCTCCCCCTCCCCAGCCTACTCCTCCCCATCAGGCTGCTGCTGCGGGGGTCGCAGCGGCCTCTTCAACCGCTGCGACCTCCCAGCTCATCGAGGCTCACCGGAACGCGAGCGTCCGGGAGCTGAACATGCACCTGATGGAGATCTCGAGCCAGCTCGAGCTCGAGAGGAAGCGCGGGGAGGGGTTGACCAGGATGAGGAGAGACAGCCAAGAGAAGTGCTGGTGGGAGGGCCCGGTGGAGGAGCTCCGGTGGCCGGAGCTGGAGCAACTGAGGGCGGCGATGGAGGAGCTGAAGGGCGGGATTGGCCGGCAGATAGAAAAGCTTGTCTTGGAAGCCGCCTCAAACCCTAATAATCTTCTTCTCTATGGAGCTCCCAAAGGATTAGGGTTATCAATAACCCCTCATATTAATGATGGTTTTAGTAATAATAATAATATTAATAATGCCTTTGGATATGGCCATGGCTTCTTCTAAGTAATTATTTTTCATATGAATATAAATATCATAGTGTTCATTGTCATGTGTATTTGTTTCAATATATATAATAGTTATTCATTGATCCATCATCAAATAATAGGTCATGAATTTGGCCTTGCAAAGAATAATTGATGGTAATAATTAATTATATTCTTAGCACAAAGATATATATATATAATCACTACATGCAATATTGTTCTTCAATTCACATTATTTAATTTGTGATGATTATATTATAGATTAAACAATATATTTATATATATATTGAATATTTTATGTAGTTCATTTTTTGTTTAAGTGTCGTGTTGTACCTAATTAATAAAAAGAAGCATATAGCTAATGAGTAAAATCGAAATAGTTTTTCTTCAAACTCGTGACCTATAACAAAAATCTGCTACCAATACAATATATCAAGAGAAATCTGCTTAACCAAAAATTTAAATTCACACCTCATAGTTGTAGACCCAATAAATATTTTAAAGTAACAAATTTAAAAAAAAAATCTAGAATCTAATTTAATTTATATCAATAATGTTCAATGTTATTTTTGACAATTACATTTGTCAAGTTCGATTTTTAGGTCAAATTAGACATACTTTGATCATTAGTTAATTAAAAAGTATATTCTGTATACGATCAAATGTTTACTTTGTTGTATTAATATAGATAAGTGCTTACAAGGTCTTGGTATTTTCTGAAAGTGTTTCTCAATTCCTTGAGTTATTTTAAATGCTTACTAGATTTATCCCTATATATTTTTCAAAGTGCTTCATATGTTCCTAAATTATTTTTAGTTCTTATCAGTTTCATATATTTTCTAACTGGTGTATTAGTAGTCCTTTAGGTGTCATTTTCAGATCAAGTGTGCGGTTATTGTGATCAACACACATAAGTTGTTTGAAAATTTATGATATAACGCAAATTCTTACAACAATTTAAGAAGACCTGGTCTGAAAAAAATACCACTAACGCACTAAAAAATCAGATAAACTCTAAAAATAATTTGGTGACCTTTAAAGCACTTTCAAAAAATATAAAGACATTGTACACACTTAAAATAATTCAAGGACTTGATAAGTACTTTCAAAGAAATAAAGTGACCTTATTATAAGCACTTTACCCTATATTGATATATAATAATGTAAATCTAATTTAGTTAATGATTAAAATTAGTCTTGTTTGATGGGAAAAAGTCAAATCAAACTAATATTATATTTTGAGAGATAGAGACTAAACAATAAACTTTAATCGTTCTAAAAATGAAAATGTACAAACTAAATTTGAAGATAGAGATCACCAACAAATATAGTAACACAAATCAAAATGTAACACGAGATTTGAACCAATCTCGAAGAAAAACGTTTTGAGAAAATTAAATGATATGATGTTTTTCTAACACGTGATCAAATAAAATTAACATGGATGGAAGATGTAGAAGTTGTACTTAGTAGTTAGTTACTGTACTATGTATGCAATTAAACTGTGTTTTTATTGAGAGTAGATAATTTATTTGGCATTAATTGGCTGGTTCACACTTAATTAAGTACCTCATCTTACATGAATTTCCTGCTAAAAATAAGATCGAAATGTGTGTTCATTCATCCTATATATATAGTAATCATTTGATTACTAAATCTTGATTTACCAAAAATGGAAGTTATGAGTACGTATTAATTTATCCTTTGTATCCAAATAAAAGTTATGATCTGATTCATGAAATTTTAGATTTTCATAAGCTTATTGAAAATTGAAAAGACTGTGAATAGAATTTTCTTAAAAGTGAAAAAAGTTTTTTTTTAAAGAAAGAGAGATGAATGCTATAAATCACTCATTCATTTTGTAAGGGGAAAAAGAAAGTGAAAAATTTATTTTGAGATGAGGAGTATATACACATTTAATTACCCCTTACTATCACCATTGTTATAAAAATTGTTGTAGAGCATTTTAACCTTTAAAGTGATGTTAATAATAATTTCACGTTAATATTTACAAGAAAAAAATTTTACTTTTTAAAAGTATTTTGCACAAAATACATCACAGACAAATCTATTAGTTAATTGTTTAATTAATTCTAGCATAACTTCATTTTGTGCAACAACTTTTAAAAGCGACATTATTTAATATTAAATATCTATATCAAAAGACAGATGGTATTAACAACCGACAAAAGATCAAAATATTGAAAATTTGAAATATAATAATCTGGTCTCTCTCGGTAGCAATTCATATCAATAATATATAGGTAAAACTAAAGACTCAAAATGATAACTCCTTTGTCCAATAACTAGGTGACACGATATTAATTGAAATAATTGAAAGACAACGAACTTTGTTTAACTTTTTTTTGTTGGGAATATATATTTGGGACTAAATGAGGGGTTTGACGTTTGTAATTACGGCAGATTTTTTGAGATGGTCTTTTAAGGACCAACAAACTCATTTACTAAAGTCTTGAAGATGAATATGTTATTTAAAATAAAATAAGAAATATTAAATTATTTACGGTAATTACATTAAAACAATATTGATAATTAATAATAATAATAATTTAGAACAATAAGTATTTTATTACTATGATGACGGTGATAATAATAATAATAATAGTAATAGTAATAACTCATAATTTGAACAAAAATAGTATAGTTCAGACTTCATAGACTGTTATTAAACAGTATCATTTCGCCACAGTATCTTCCCTGTTACTCCCTTCTCTATGAATTTCTGCATCTTTCCCTTCTAAGGGAAATGAAGAATCAGAGGAGTCAATAAGATCTTGATGAACTTCACCTCTACGCTCACCCCCTCCATATGCACTGCCCTTTTCGTCACCCGTTATTGAAGACCATCTGTCGTCCTGCGTTGCAAACCTAGGACGACCCTGTACGGTTTTCTCGGATACTGTCGTCGGATTAGATTCGGTTAAGGAATTGGACCGTGGAATGTTCTTGACAGCCAAAGAAGAACCTTTGCTTAGCTTGGCCATGTCAGAGCCTTCCTCAGAAATTTTACCTCCCGACGTGAAATTGGCATCCACTTCGTCCACGGTAACTATTTCTGTCTCGTGAGTTACTGCGCTCGAAGCATCATCGGCTTTGTACAGTTTCTCTTGTGCTTCGTTCTCGATTTTCTCCTTTTCGTCATCCGACAACACTTCATCTCCCACTTCATTGTCATGTTTCTCGTTACTGTCATCGGACTGGGGAAGGTGTTTTCTTCCTAGTTTTGGAACTTGGTTTTTTATGTTTACTATTTTTTGCAACGAAACCGGGTCTTTTCCCCCCTCAAATTGTGTGTTTTTTTCGCGGGGTTGTTTGGCTTTGTAAATCAACCAAAAGCAGAGAGCAAGTAATGCACATATTTGAAGAGCATGCTTGACTTTGAATCCTCTTGATCTGTTGCTCCTGCCACCCGGTGACTGCTTGTACATGGCGAGAGACAGAAGTTACCTCTCTATATTCACCCTCCTGTTTCGTATTCTAGCAATAAACAATAAAAAATGTTAAAAGTAGTTGTACATTTTCCAACACGTAATGTTTTCATTTCACTTACAATAAACTGTCTCAAAAAAAGATTTTTGATAGTATTACACGTATGACGGTATATTTGGGACAGAGTATCCTACAACTCCTAGAGGTTAGTGCCTTCTGATAGTTCATAAGGGGGTGTTTGGTTAGAAGAATGTGTCATTACCTGAGTGATGGGGGTAACATAACTTTATCTAGTTCGGCTAATAATGTAATACTCTGTATTACCGTCAAGTTTGAATTTTTTTTTCAAGTGAGAGGAAGGGGAGTGGCATTGTAAAATTGCCTTTACTCCATAATATTTTAGAATATTCAGACTCTACCCCATTCCTAGACACTTTGAAAACACGAGTAATATCACATTCCGCGAAGGAACAACCTATGGTGTACCCATATTCCTATAATCTTATGTTCCATTACATGTAAGGGCCTTGGAAATATGAAAACCTCAATAATGTGAGATTAAAGAAATGTAAGATTACATGATGTGTTTGGTTAAGATAATAAGAAAGTAGTATTGTTGTATTAATCTGTTTTAAGCAAATACAACACTACAAGATTCAGCGACAAAAATGAAACATTATCAAGATAATATTGCAACAACTAAGAAAGCCAATTTATGACATTACTCCGCACCCTTGCCTCATTGTCCTATCTTATACTCCTATATGACGATAATATGAGAGTAAACCGGTGAGTTGAATACCCAAATCAAGCAAGGTTATCTTACATCCTCTTAGGGATAAGTTCACTATCTATTCTCAGGGATTGGACGATACAACTACTTTTGAAGAAAGCTTTGATGAAGGACAAAGATTTATTCTAAAAATGCAAAAAAAAAATGCATATTCATGGAAAAAGCTCACCCAAGAACCGTCACGAAAAATCCATCACAAGCAACATGGTAAAACCAAAAAAAAATCTTTTTTTTGAAAAAAAAAACTCATCATCACAGTTAGCAAAAGGATATATTTCATATTCCTCATTGAGCAAAATCAATGCAGAACGGAATCTAAAGCTTCAATCATTTAAGTACAACACAGGAAAACTCATATCCCCCATTGAAACCATAGATCCAAATTCAGGAGCTTTGATCTCTACTTCACTTACTGTTGTTGTCCACCAACACACAAAATTACAAAGACAGAACCAAACAGAAACTCCAATAACAGCTTCTCAATTAAGATCTAGTCAATCAAACACTACACCTCATTACTGAACCGCTGAGCATCAATTCAAATCACCAAAATTTCTAATTCGGGAATTCGATCAGCGAAATAAAGTACCTGAAACGGGTAGGAGTTCCAAACGACAGCGATTTCGATAGAATTTCGGGATCTTGAAGAGACTGAGTTGGTTTTGAAGGCGGCGACAGCTCCTTACTGGTAAACTTTATTGTTTCCTAGCTCGGATCTGATGAAAAAGGGGCGTGAACAGTGCTGGAGACGATGAGAAGGCAAAGGTAAGAAAGAGTTTCGCCGGAAATACGGATCCGGTGAACAATTTCTGCAACTTCAACAAATGGCTACTTGTTGACGGAGGTTTAAACCAAACACCAAGGGGGCTGTTTGGTAGTACTCCTTATATTGTTTAACTATTCAGAATCAATTCCGATAAAAGCTTTTAATCATTCAAACTCTGTATAATACTTAACCATTCAGAGGCAAATCTCTTAACCATTCAGACATCTGAACCATTAAGAGGCTGAAACAAACAGTCTGAACCATTAAGTGCTGAATCATTCAGACATCTGAACCATTAAGAGGCTGAAACAAACAGCCCCTAACCCAAATATAGTCATATTTTTGTAAAACTTTGAATTAGTTTTAATATACAGAGGATATAAATTAAAGAAATTCAATTAAATCGAAATATATAATTTAATTAGGGACGAAAAAGCTACTCCACCCGTCCCAATTTTAATTGTTTGTTTTAATTTACAGTGTTTGACTGAATTTATTTTTGAACTATTTTATTTAAAAAAGGTTTAGAATTAAAAAGTACTCCATAAAACTTATGTATCTAAAAACTATACTAAAAGATTTACAAAACTAGCAGTGATACGACTATATTATTTGAAAAATTTGACATTGTGAATAATAAAAATGAAATTGAATTTGGGACGATGGTTTAGTAGTTATTAGTATACTTAAATTTGTACAAGCATTTTCGAAGTATTTGTCCATAAATAAAGATTTTAGTTTATATTCAAGATCACAATACTTTTTGTTTATTTATGTAAATTCATTAGTTATTTGATAGAATAATACGGAGTATTTGTTATAACCTTTTTTTTTGTTGTGTAGATTTTTTTGGATAATTTTTAGATATATTACTGCTACTCCTCCGTGTCTAAATGTTTACCATATTTCAAAGAAGAAATCACCCTACATAGCACTCTAACTCACCCTAAATTACGCATCTAGCACTACTCATTGTTTTTAACAAATTTAGCACTTTTTTGGGGTCAATCCTTTCCTATCATGCCCTTTAACCTTTTCTCTTTTTCTCATTAAAAATTACGGCACTCCCTAGGCCACACATACTCTTCTTGCGCTCGGCCGCACGTTCTCCTTCAGTCGCCCGCCATCATGCGTCCTCAGGCCTTCTCCCACGATTCCTGGGCCGATCAGCAGCGGCAATCATCAGGTTATCTCCGCTTCCTTCATCGATGTGGCTAATCATTTTCACTTCTCCTTCAATTTTTAATTTTCATTCCTTCATCCCTTTATTCGGATTTCCATGTATTTTTAGTTTTAATTATTGTGTTTTATTCGTACTGAAGATTAGGTGGTGTGAAATCAATTTTGAAATACCTAATAATTGTTCCTTTTGAAAAATTAGGTCTTTTGAAAGGCATTGTGATTTTGGCAGTGTTAAGATTATGTCCTATGGTGTGGGCAGTGTAAAGATTAAATGCCTAAATGTTGTCCTACATTTTTAGTTTTATTTATTTTCTTAATCCTTAATATCTGAATTTGGTTCTTATCCTTAAAAAAACTTTGCATGTCAAAAAATTAAAAAATAAATTTACCTAAAATAATCCCACCTTTCATTTATTTTTCAAAAATATGTATTTTCAAAAAATCCTGTTTAGTGGCCGTTAGTTTTTTAACGGCGGCCCAAAACTTGCAAACATGCAGAAAGGTGAGATTAATATATATTTGTTTAATATTATAAAGTTTGCAATGTGACTAAAACGCCTATCATGCATGTATGTATGTATGTATGTATGTATATATATATATATATATATATATATATATATATATATATATATATATAGACACACACACACACACACACACACGATGTGTTTTTGTATTCACCACTTCCATTAAATCCAGCATTTTCATCGCATATTAGGTTATACGTCTATTCTTTGAGTTCATTCCTTTATTTAATTTAATTGAATATTTTCTCTTTTATTATTTAAAAGGAGCATCACAGATGGGTTCAAATTTGACGATATTGCTACGTGTTGATGGGACATGGGATACTCATGGAAGCTTTATATTGTGGCAGTGTATATATTGTGGCATTATATATTTCAGACATTGAATTTTTGGCAGTGCATATATTGTGGCAGTGTATTTCAGACATTGAATTTTTGGAAGTACATATTGTGGCTAACATTATGGCAATGTATATATTGTGGCAGTGTAGATATATTGTGGCAGTGTATATATTATTGTGGCAGTGTATTATATTATATCTATTTTCTTAATCTCCGAGTAGTTTTTCTCTCATTTTACAACACGTTATCAGCATGAATTTGCTCAAAAATCTCAGAATCCTTGTTCTTCTCAGAAGGTATATTTATTTAATTTTTTTCATAAACAAACTAAAATATTTTCTTAGAAACTATGAGAAGTATGCTCTGTGATTGCCTGAATTGTGGCAGTGTAGATATATTGTGGCAGTGTATATATTGTGGCATTGTATTTCAGACATTGAATTTTTAGCAGTGCATATATTGTGGAAGTGTATTTCAGACATTGATTTTTTGGAAGTACATATTGTGGTTAACATTATGACAGTGTATATATTGTGGCAGTGTAGATACATTGTGGCAATGTATATATTGTGACAGTATATATATAATACAATTTTTTTTAATTAAGGGTAATATTGGGAATTCATCTAAAAAACTTATAGCACTGCTATTTTGCGTATTATAAGCCTATTAAAGTGCTATATTCGTATTTCTCCCTTTCAAAAGTCGAGGCGAAATGTTAGATTATTTCAATTCATTTTATTTAAATATTCGTATAGAAATAAAAAATAAGATTTACTCTGTATATATTTAAAAGCTACATGAAAAAATTTCTCGAAATAAGAGATGTCACGAGTATTTTATTTCGTCAAATAATTAATAAACACATACACATAAATAAAAGTTTTTGTGACTGTTAAAAAAATAAATGTAACAAGTTTTTTGGATCAGAGAAAGATTTATTTCTGTATGAATATTTAAATGAAATAAATTTTTAAAAGAATTTACTGTATTTTACATCGTAATTCTCTCTCTCTCACTCTTATTTTGGGTCGAAACAGCCCAAAATTATCTATATCGGAGAGATCTAATCGTTCAGAAATAAAATTTGGGCCGGGCTGCAAGACAGATTCAGATTAACGGACTGGACCTTCATAAACATAAGACACGATATTGATTTAGGAATGAATCTTTATTTGACATGCCATTCTCCTCTATTAAGAAGAACACAAACTGTTTCAGAAAAGAAAAAAGCAACAATAACAACGCCCAAAATTGCAAATTTCCCAATTTACATTGTCTAATGTAACTCAATAATACCCACACATCCAGTGAGATCCAATTAATGGATCTCAATAAGGACGTTGGCCGTCGTACGACGGCCAATAGTTGCAGGTGGCGAACCACCTGGCCCCATTGCGGCACTTAATCCGAGCGCACCCGATATCGGTCGTGAGGTGGCAAACCACGCTCGTGTAGTGCCTGCACTCCTCGCCCTCGCACTCGTTCGCCCTCGCACTCGTTCTTCTCGTAGTTGTAAAACCTCTTCTCGTCCGTCCACTCCCTCACGGCGTCCGCCACCGACATCTCCCCTCCCCCTTGGGATATGCACTCCCCGTAGGGCCCGTCCGAGTGCTCCAGCGCGCAGTCGGCCGACCTCTTGAAGGCGTACGCCTTCGCGTACGCCGCTATGGTCGCGTTCCATTTCACCGGCGCGACACCCACCTCCGCGCGGGCCTTGTTGTGCAAGTCAACGAAGGCCTTGGCATCCGCGTCCGCCAGGAACGGGGATGCCTGGGAGATGGCGACCCCGATTATCGCCACCGCGATGATCGGAAGCCGGTGGGGATAGGAAAATGGTGATGACTCCATTTTTTGCACAAGTGAAAATAAGATTATTGTTGGAGATTTTGAGGATTATATATATTATTATGTTATGGGAGTTTGTTGGATGGGGGTGCTATTTGTAGGGAGAAATCTTTGGTGATGACCGTTAAACAAGTTCGTGGTTTATGGAGTACTAAATATGTAACCCCGTTTTTTTCTATTCATTGTTTACCTCAGCAAACTAAATCTAATTTCTTATTATATTTCTATTTGTAAAAGAAATCGAAATTTTTTTTAATCAAATTGAGATAAAAATAACATTGTGTATAGTTTAATAATTGAACTATTTGATCGGCTCTTGCTCCCTCTCGCCCAAATTAAGGTTTTAGTTTAAAATGTTTGGCCGAAATTATTTTCAAATTAATATAAAGTGTAAAACTATAAAAATAAAAATTACTCCCCGCACCTGGAAGTATCTTCTTATTTACTTTATCTTGGTCAAAATTTTCCAACTTTGACCATAAAAATGGAAAAAATATATATTCAATTATGATATATAAATTTAAAATAAATAGATCTGTTTTGAAATAAAGTATTAAAATATGCTCTCTCTTGTTTTAAAAATCTTTTTTGTTTTGAAATAAATAGATCTGTTTTGAAATAAAGTATTAAAATATGCTCTCTCTTGTTTTAAAAATCTTTTCTGTTTTGACTTTTTAATCAAACAATGATGCTCTTTGACCATAAATTATACATAATCTGAATAGATAAATGATATAAAAATTGGATATATCAAAACTACATCATAAGATGAACCCAATTATATTAAATTTATTTTGTAATTAATTATATACTTCTTTCACAATTTTTGGTTTAATTGTGTCAATGTTTGACCAAAAAAAGTTAAAATAGAAAATATTTTTAGGATCGAAGGAAGTAATATTTTCATAATATAAAATTATACTCCGTATATAAATAAAAATATTAAGAGTAAAAAAAATAGAGACCGCGAATTAAAAAAATGTAAGCCCAAAAAGACGGGTCCGGTTATGCTTTCATAGTCTGGGGCCGGTGCCACATGTGGATTGCTGTTTGAATTAAAGTTAGATATCCATTTTTACACCAACATTAAAGTTTGGTTTTTTTTCTAAAAAAAGAAAAATCTGCCTGTAAAATGTGATTTTTTTTACATTTTTAATGGACCGACATAATAATTTTTAATATTTTTTTTTAAAATTCAATTAATCCAAAATCTTCATATATTAAGATTCATAAAATGAGCGTAGACCTCAAGATCATAAAAGAGTTTGTCAACTCTTTGCACATATTCCCTCCGTCCGTAATTTAATTACAGATTGGGAGTTACGAGGCAAACTTTTTCATTTTTTAAAATTATTTTATTTACAAATTGATATATTAATAAAAAATTTAAACTACATATTAATAAACTATGTCAAAAGTTTTATAAAACGATAGGTGACAAAAATATTTTATTCTATCAACTATTTAAAGAAAACACCTAAATAAACAAAAGTTGTCGAAAGCAGAAAAAAAAGATTTTAATCTATTTTGGGACGACGAGAATATATTAAAGGCACGACACAATATTTTATCTGTAATATTTGTGAGGGCGTGGTGTCAAATTTGTGGTGAAAAATAGGGTAATCCGAACAGATTTGAAATACCTGTTAAATAAATATTTCATTTTGAATCAATATAATAAAATAATTATTTTATATATATATATATATATATATATATATATATATATATATATATATATATATATATATATATATACGGAGTATATATATGAGTTTTTTCACATTGTAAATATAATAAGTACGTAGTATTTAACTTTTTATTGATATTAGACCCCAATATTGTCCAAGGAAATAGACATAATGATTATTAAAATATTAAATATAGCATTAATGGCCACCAAAAAAAATGTACAGATCAATTTGAAAAACAGAAGCATGAGCCAAGAGGGCCACTAATCAAGCCTTAAATTGTGCTAAGCGTTATCTAACTCCAATATTATCCGAGGAAAATTTTGTGTGTGTGTGTGTATGTGTGTGTATATATATATATATATATATATATATGTGTGTGTGTGTGTGTGTGTACTGCAATAGGACTTAAAACTTATTTTAATAAATATGAAATAAACATTTGATTACCATTAAGATAAAAAAATTTAAATAAAAAACAATTTAAAAAAAGATTTTTTTTGAACTTTATGGTCATCATATATCCGGAAATGCCAAACACTTAGAGCACTGGTAATGGGCATAACGCCCGGGGCGTTATTGCCCCTTTTAACGTCAAAGGGGCAGCAAACACCGCCCCTTGAGGCTTCATACGGGTTTCATCCCTTGTGCTTCAAAGCTTTAACGAGCTTCAAATCTCTCCTCACTCTCTCTTTAAAAAAACATACACAAACATAATTTTTTTACTCTATATTTTGTTGTTTAATGTAATATTTCTTTGGTTAATTTTTTTTTAGTAATGTAATATTTTTTTAAAAAAAAAAAATTTAACATACTTTTTTTATTGACTGTATTTTTTATTTAATGAATTATTTCAGTTTGCAATATGTTACTATAACTCGGATTTGATTGAAGATATTTTTAATCGCTCGAATAATTAGTGATTTTTTTGTAGTGTTGTTTTTTTATGGATGTAATATTTTTTTAATGAATGTAACTTTTTTTATGAATGTATTCTTTTATAAATGTAATATTTTTTTAATGCACTAGTCTCCTTTTGATTAATTTAAATAATAAATTAGATTAAATTTAGAAGATGTATATTTAAAAATGTAAAAATGAAGGTTTGAATTCCCTGTTTGAAACCTCGGGACTTCAAACCCATTTCCACTGAATCTGTGAGGTAAGTTAAAGCTGATGTGGAAGAGAGAGAAATTTTGAAGCACGGGACTTCACAAGTATTTCTAGTGCTCTTAAATATACCTACCCTTCCTATTGGTTGTTCCTGGTCAGAGGGAAACAATTAGCCGTTAGCACGTGGCACCAATAATTACTTTGTTCCCAATAATGTGATTTTCATTTATTTTGTATGATAAAATGACAAACCAAACTTTAGAAATAAATGATTCCACTTTCGAGTAAATTATAAGTAGAACATTGAAAATATATCAAAATGAAATTTTATATTTTTATTTTGAAATAAGAGTTAAAATGTTTTTATAGCATTAATCATGACTATATATATCAACAAAAGGTATAATTTCAATATGTTTTCTTACTTTCTTGACCCGTATTTTCTTTCTCTTCATATTGACTTTTTGAGTCAGTCTTTTTAAACATTGACCACAAATTGGAGAATAGTTACATTGAATTATACTCCTCCGCCCCTTAAAAAAATTTCCGTTTTGACTTTTTGAGAATTTAAGGAGAGTGTATTTTGGTGTTAATTTCTCAAAAATGTCATTTGATGTGATGGATAAAATAGGATGGGAAGGATAGATTAATAGAGAAAAAGTATAATATCATAGGTAGGTTAGAAATTAGTATGGATAAAAATGACTTTTTAAAAGCAAATGAGAAGTGTTTTTTGGGACGGATGAAAAAAGAAAGGATAATTTTTTTGCGAGACGGAGGGAGTATATAAATTCAAGGTATTGCTATATTCATCGTCATTTTGGTTGTATCCACTCAATTAATGCTAAATTGACAATTTTAAACTCAAAAATAAAAAGCGAGAATTTTGATGCAATTGTAATACATTGGTATTAAATTTATATCATAAAACAATACTTCGTATGTTTTATCTGTATGTCATAATCAAAATAAACTTTGACAAAGAAAAAGTCAAATAAAAAGAATATTCACGATGGACGAAGTATAATAATACGTGAATAAATGTTACAATATCAAAATATTGATCAAATATTTGACATCAATTAATATTAATTACACTCGAGAGGTCCTTAATTAGACCTTAATTAACTAATAAGGACGTTCCCCTACATAATTGCCCGGAGGGTAATAGTTGCACGAAATAAACGTCCAACCGTTCCGGCACGCCGACTTGGCGCAGCCGATGCTGGTGGTGTTCCGCCACAACATCTGCGTGTAGTGGCGGCACTCCTTGCCGGCGGCGCAAGTGTTGGACGAGTGGTCGTAGTACGGCCGCTCGTCCTCCACCCAGTACTTCATGCACGCCTTCACGGGGACGAAGTCGTCCCCGTACCCGTACGCGATGTTCTCCCCGTACTCCGCCACGCCGGAGTGCACCAGCTTGCAGTCCGCCGCCGCCCTCTTGGCGGCGTACGAGGCGGCGAACGCCGCCACCGTGGCGTTCCACGTCACCGGCGGCACGCCCACCGACGCCCGCAGCCGGTTGTGCGCATCCAGAATATCTTGCGTGAAATTCTCCGACGGGGCGGCCGGCGGCGGTTTGTCGACGGCGTGTTTCCGGGACTGGAATATGAATGGGGGTTGGGCGCCATTGGAGAGAGCTTGGGATGATGGATGAAGAATGGATAAAGCCATTATGATGATAATGTTGATGGGAATTTGGAGAGAATTAGAAAACCTCATTTTTTTTGTTTAATTGAATTAATTTATTTAATTTATTGAAATATAAATATTATTTGGAGTGATTTTTTAGGATGTTTGAAATATATATATATATATATATATATATATATATATATAGTGTTTGAACGATGCTGCGTATATCGTGGCGAGGATTGTGTTGTGTGGTTGATTGTTTATTTTATTTTATTTTATTTTTTTCAACTAAAAAAAAGTATATGGAAATAAATTCATGCAAATTAAACAATAATCGGTCTCAATATTCACTAAAGCCCTCTCCCTTCATAGTTCATACCAAAATTAATGTGATGCACTGATGCATAAAATTATATAGTGGTGTTTTTCTGTGCTGGTACTAATTCATTTATTATTTATAATCAATTTTTAATTTGTAAGTTATTTATAAGTTAAAAAAATGACTTAAATATAATATATAAGTTATTTAAAGATATTCATAATAAGTGAAGTAAGTGATACTTTTGTAAGTAATCTGGTCTAGAAAAACGAAAAAACTAATTTAAAAATAAGTAAATAAAACTTATTTATTTTTCTGTAGCTTATAAATTAACTTATAAGCAGAGAGAAATACATTATCTGTTGACTTATATGCTAAAAACAATTTATAAGCTGTTTGACTAAAAACTTAAAAGTTAAAAACAACTAATAATAAAACTTAAACATCAATAGCGACCTCATATATTAAAAAAGAAGAAGGTGACTAGAAATAAAAATTACTCCCTAACGTAACTAATAAGGACGTTCGCCAATGTAGTTTCCCGGAGGGTAATAGTTGCAGGTGACAAACATCCAACCGTTACGGCACACCGCCCTCGCGCAGCCGATACTCGTGGTGGCCCGCCAAACGACCTGCGTGTAGTGCCCGCACTCTTGCCCGGGGACACAGGCGTTGGACGCGTGGTCGTAGTACTCCTGCTCCCCGACCCACATGTTCACGGCATCCGAGGCCCGCAGCTCCCCGTAGCCCTCCGCAATGTTCTCCCCATAGGGCCCGTTGGAGTGCTCCAAATTGCAGTCTGCGGACCTCTGGGCGGCGTAAGCTTTCGCGTACGCTTCCACGGTGCCATTCCACGTGACAGGTGGAATGCCCACCGAGGCCCGTGCCCTGTTGTGCCCGTCGAGAAAGTCCTGCCCGGGATTTGACGTGCCCTTAGGGGAGTCGAAGGGATAGCTCTGGGGCCGGAGCGTCGGAGCTCCGGCCCCACTGACAGAGGCAATGGCCATGGCCATTAGTGTGATGATGGAGATGGGGACTTGGAGGGAGTAATAAGGGAACTTCATTTTCTTGAATTAAAATTTGTGGAAAGGAAATAATTAAAGAGATAAATTTACATAGAGTCTATGGGTGTGATGCAATTTATTTATAGGAGAATGGGAGAGTGCCGCGTAGAAGCCGGCAAAGCCAATCAGATTGAAGAATGGGGTAAAAGTGGTTGACTATTTTCACTCAAAAAATTACCGTTTTAAATCGTCTGTTTTGACTTTTGAGCATATTTAAAGAAGAAAAAAGATAGAGTTGATTTTACGAAATTGCCATTACTTTTTAGGAGGGGTGACGATGAATGAGAAGATAAGGTAGAGAAGAGTGACTCATTTTAGGAGTAGTTTAAGTATTTTACTTTTAAAAGTTTACGATAACAAATAATAGGCAACTTATTTTGGGACGGAACAAAAAGGTAAACAGACAATTTAAAATGAGACAGAAACTCATGGGTCAGTTTGAAGTATTTACTCCACTAGTAGAAAGAAAGATATGATCAGTTACATTAGGGAGCATTTAAATCCTACAAATTAGGAGACTATAATCGAGGAATTACTATTAATCATTTATTTGGAGTAATAATTTAAGCGACACCCTCCGTTCTAATTTTTTAACTGAAATTATTTTTAAACTATTTTATATTAAAAAATGATGTAGAATAAAAATATAAAAATTACATATTTAAAAGCTACGTCAAAAGCTCCATAAAATTAAAATGAGTAGTATTATTTTGTTAAATGAGCAATGAAAGCAAGCTAATAATGTGAATAAAGTTTAACATTGTGAATAATATTCCATAAATAAAGTTTAACAATTGCAAAGAGAAATATTTTAGAAAAAAATCTTGAATTTCTTATAGAAATCACCCTAAATAAGACTAAAACATAGAGAAAAGTATCAAAATAGGACTTTTATTTTGTTTCCTGAAATAAGACTTTGCACTGTGGTAATGTGACAATGTACATGTGCACATTACTATATTTTTTTGGTAATGTAAGTCCTATTTCAGAAATAAAAATATGAAAATCCTATTTTGATGTATTTTCAAGATTTTAGTCATACTTTGATCTTTCTCCCAATTTCTTATCTAATTTAAAAATGGCCAAAAAGCGTGACAATACTCAAAAGCTTAAAGAATTTTGCTTGGAGGGTATTAAATAATGTCCTCCCATTAGATTTGGCAAAAAAAGATTTAACTTGTTTTTTATCCGAGACCCGACCAAAAAATACTGAATTTTCAATAAAACTTTTGTTGACTGAACCCGAAATAACCCGCTAAAATGGGTCAAACCTGACCGAACCCGAACCCGGCCTGCTTGCTAATGTAAGAATTTTTCGAAATCATATACTTTAATATGAAATATAATTTACAAAAATAAGATTGTAAGTATATTTCTTTTCTTATTACTCTGTTTAAGGTATAAATTTTTATTCTTCATACAAAATTTTAATGATTTCACATAATTATCTTACTTTATTTCAAAATTTCCGCATACTTAATTTTTTAATATAATTTATTTGGAATATTGACCTTGGGTCATAAAAATTACTTAAAGTTTAAAAAAAATTAAAGGTCATAATCCGTTGGATCGACTCGAACTCGATAGCACTGGGTCATGAAATAACTCAAACCTAAAGTGACTGAACCCAAACCCGACTGATTAGCCAGCTCTGTATGAGTAATTTGGTGGAGAGAGGTCTGCCTTTGCTTAATTGAAATTAGAGTTCATGCTCTCTTTAGTCAATTCTTCAAATCTTAAACTTTACCATACATTGTTACATGTAATGATAAAACATTTGTGCCATTTGTGTGATTTTTTATCCATATTAAAATTTGGCACAAAAAAAAACGCAATGTATCTCTAAGGTCACATAACCAAGATTTAACATGAGTGGTATATGTTTTCTTCAGTCAAATTTTTCAGACCTAAACTTTGTCTATATGAAAAAAAAGGTTCCCATTTTTAAATTCTTTCACTGTGTTTGGGAGTTCACATTTTAATTTCAAATTCGGATTTGATCCAAATTACCCGAGTACTTGTTTTAGAATTCAAAGAATTTGACTTTAGATTTGAACCAAATTCTTCTATTTTAAAATTAACTCAGCTACAAATGTACATCTCTCCCCATGTCATTTACAAATCAAAATCTAACTTTTTTCATTTCAGTAACTTTAATTGAAAAGTGATCTCCTTCATGCAAAAACAATTCTATACATATCAACTCGCTTTCGTTACCATCTTTGCCGACTTCATAGTTCAAATTTTAAAATTGAAATTCTATAACTTCCCAAGCAACATTAGGAATTTGAAATAACGAGATTTCAAATATTGTAATTAAAATATAATATTTCAAATGAATTATAGTTCTCAAACACTACTTTATCCATTTCAAACTTGGGCAAAAAAATAAGTAATGCTACTCAGTAGGGGTGACAGAGGCAACATTAGAAGCTTGCAAAGAGTAGCATTAGCATGCTCAAAATAAATTTTACAGAATCATATAGAAAGTGGGCAATTCTATAAAAGATTCTAATGGGAAGGAAATGTTACTTCCATTTTTTTATTTTTATTTTTTTTTATTTATTTTTTTTTACCTTAGGTTGTTAATGTATGCTACAAACAGGTCATTCCAAGTGTCTGTAATACCTGGTAAGCACCAATGCATGCAATCCTCATGTTTTTTACCACCCGCGGTCGATGGATGGGCATCCGCTCTGAATTCACTCATACGAGTGATGTCCAGTGTCCTAAACTTAGTGCCTTCCAAGGCCTTGCGAAGGTGTTCATTGACAAGACGAGCTTCGCAGTTAGTTCCGTTATTTCTGAGAGAGAAATATTCTTCAACCTGAAATGCAGTAACCAATGCCATGACCATTGTGTGCATGTTTGTATTTGTGTGTATGTGCGCGTGCATATCTATCACCCGAACTTTTAGACCTAATTACGTTATAAGCACATCGATCCATAAAAAGGATTTCCTAGTGTATGCCATGGACTCATGGGCACATGAAAAAGCTCATAGCAATAAATGTACTTCATTTTCAAGCATGGAAGGATTGGATAATTTCAAGAAAAAACAAATGTGATTTAAAAAATCAATATGATCATTACTAACATTTATATATTAATAATTTGAACCCGGACCAAAGTATAAAACTTTGGGCCGAAGTAAACATTAAAGGTAATAGAGTTACCTCTTGAGGAGACAAGGGGTGTGATCGCAGACAGGAGCCACCTTGATCCCAATCACCACCGTCGAAATGTCTGGGAGACTGTGTTCGAAATAGTATAATGGCATTTTCCCGAATTCTGTCCTCTACGTATGATACCTAGAAAAGAGTCATGCTAAAAACTGTGAATTTTTTACCGAGTTTTGAAGCACGGATGCAAATGCAACATAAAAGATTAAGAACCAGTTTAAAATGAGTTAAATTCAGTAATAACTGCTGGATGAACGAACTGAATTTGCAGGAACCATGGCTAAAATAAATGATTTTGCTAAATAGATTGATTTTGCAAATAACTTAACGAATGTCAAGAATGAAGGTTAAAAAATAGGATTACATGTTTTTTTTTAACTTTTGTGTTATTTTTAAAAGCCGACTTAGCAGGCCGAATTAAGCATATGTTCAGAAGAAAATTAAGCTAATATGACTGATAAGCAAACCGTCAAACTACCAGAAGAAACTTAATAATAATAGAAGATAAAGATCAAATGGAAACTTCAACTTTTCTTTGACCTCTTTAGATCACTTTAGATACGACATAAGAAAGATTAAGCACTAATGTGTTAGTATGATTAATGCGTTCTTGCAAGTTTAGCCAAGGTACTCTTTTTATTTAAGAAAATCAATTGAGGGAGACGAACAGAGCAATACCACATGTTTAAGAGCCAAATCGAGACCTATTTCCGCTAGTAAAGGAGGTGTCACAGGTTTTCCATTTTTGAAAAAAAGCATGGGCGATTTTACCGGGTCAAACTTTGCTGGAGCAAACCACCTAATATAGTGCAGAAAATAAGTAGTAATATGCAAGCGAAGGAACAAACATTATATTAATGTCACAATAATAACCAAAAGCAATAATTACCAGTGACCCGTGTTAAAGATTAGAACATCATGGAAGTGTGGAGCATCTGCCCACGTTCCTTCTGGTATATCAACATCAACTCTGTATCCCTCCTTATATCCCAGTGATTCTAGTATACCACCATTGGCATTGGCTGTCCACCTCCCCAAACATAATGGAGTTTATACTATACTCATTGTAGACATGATATAAGAGAGAAATATTGTCTAGGTTTGGTAGGGAAAAAAAGGAAGCAAAACCACATTAACTGGCCTGTGGCCGTTTGGTAACCAAAATGGGTTGATCAGCCTGATAAAAGGCCATCAATCACCAAACACTCCTCAACTTAGTTTATTCGGATTATTTCCCTTATATGGAGTAAGCCGAAAGAAATAGTGTTACACCTACATATTCTGCCGAAACCCATGTGCTAATGTTATGACTCCTAACATGACATCTTTCTCCTTTCTTTATCATGCTTAATTTATCACAGCACATTAAATTCTCACCGCTTCTTACTTTATATGAAATTTTGGGCAGTAAATGCAAAAATGCATCAAGGATCGATCGGAAACATCTCCATTTTCTAGGTCTAAGGTTGGGTACATCTTGCACTTTAGGTAATTACACACTCAATCAGTTATTTCAGTCCAACTATTAACCAACACTCTCAGTTTCAATAATTCAAAAAATTTTAGCATTTACCTAACAGACCCTAAATTAATAAATCACACACTTCATATGCCTAGACATTCTCATATACATTGCAAAAACATGTCTTGAATTCAAAATGTAGGGTTTAGGTTTAATACCACCATGATTTTGTCATAAATTGAGACAGAAAAAAAATCAGTTCCAATATATAATTTAAAAAAATCGAAATCATACACATAATGCCTCCCACACTTGATTATGATCCTGGATATTTTTGTTGGCCATAAGCACATGATTTTGGTTGATAAAATAGCAAGGCAAACTTGAGCATGATTTGATAGTTAAAATGAAAAAATTTAATGTTGGAAAGATCTCCCAATGAGAACACAATTAAAATTGAATTTTGTTTCATCTTACCTACCATAACGAGCCAAAAGATTTGTCCGATGATATGCAATGGTAAGGTTATATTCCAGGAAGGTAAAACCACGATCAGCACCAGCAGGATGCCATTTCTTCACTTCACCAGATACTCCTTTCAAGGTGCAGTACAATGAGACAAACATGTTCCTATTCAAAGAGTCACCGATAAACCCTGCACTGTTAAGCAAGCCATCAACTCCACCTTTGTTATACACAGGCACAAGTGCAAATTAATTTTTATTATACAGTAACATTAATACACTAGAACAACAACAAACCCAATATAATCTCAACTCCATTGGGGTCCAAGGGTCCAATATAATCTCAACCCAATATAATCTCAAACTTACGCATGTAAATAATAGAGGTTACCATTATACAATTTGATGCATTGCTGTGTTCACTGCTCAACACTTCATCAAAAGTAAGAAGGAAAGTGTAATGCGCCAGGTTGATTTAGTTCATTACTTCATTATTTACACAAAGCATAAACATTATCACTATTTTGGCTCCATTGACAATAGATGTTAACATTAATACACCATAAGAGAAGAGTAAACAAGGCAATCACTTTACTTTAGATTAAATAACAAAATTACACATGCAAATAACTAATGTATTTTTTCAATTCAAAAATAAAAAGCAGAAAAATGTTTCCATGCACTAAGAACCATAGTCTCAATAATGCACATAGATATGGCAGGAACACTTGAGCTCGAAAGTGGGGAAAGTACCAATTTTGGTGTTTCTGAACCGGTGGAGGAATTGGAGAGGATCGAACTGAGGGAGATCGCACCCGTAGGGTTTCCACCGCCACTTGAAGATATCGAGCGCATTGCTTTTGTTCCTCCCGATGCAATTCCACCCCTTGAATATCTCCTTGCAGGTATGATCATAGCGAGGAGACTTGGCCGTCGAATCGAAGATCCACCGGCCATCTGAAACGTTGCACGTCGGCGAGAACGCCGCCGGCGCTTCCCGGCCGGTACTAGGGTTGTTCTGAGGCGGGGAAGGAGAGGTCTTGAACAGAGAGAAGCTGAAGAAGAGAGCGGCAAAGCAGAGGATATAGAGAAATAGGTAAGAGGGGGAAAGAAAGAAGGAAGATGAAGATGGCTGTTTCAGCTTCTTCGGAAGAGGGTTCATGGTGGTTGCTCAACCGGAGCTGCGGATCCGAACCGCCGCTGTATTATCATTCATTCAAGAAACCAGATCAGAGATCTGGCGGGCTTTTAATCCTTTTTCTTTTTATACAGACTATTATTATTATTATTATTATTATTATTATTATTATTATTATTATTGGAATATTTTTTGACCAATCCTTTTTGAAATCTTGGTTTGCTTTATTATTTGCTGAAAAAAATCAGGTTTTTTTTAATCCTTTTTCTTTTTATACAGATTATTATTATTATTATTATTATTATTATTATTATTATAATTATTATTATTACTATTGGAATATCTTTTGACCAATCCTTTTTGAAATCTTGGGTTGCTTTATTATTTGCTGAAAAAAATCAGGTTTTTTTTTTGAAATACTCCCTATATTATTATTTATTTTTTAGGTGTAAGAGTGGAAAAAATATTCAACATTTCAAAAAATTCACTTTTTTTTAAAAAAAAATCAATGTTATAAACTTTGATGGGAATATACAAAAAAACATTATGATATAAATTTAATAGATTTATTTTAAAAACACAATTTTATAATTTGACATTTTTATAATATATCTACATATAAACATAAATACTTATAATCAAAATACTACATTAGAGATGGTGAAGAAGAAAAATTATACAGCATAGTTGAAACGTAAAAAGTGATTTTTTTTATCAATTGCTAAATTCACTCCCACTAAACTCCCTTCATTTATAATGAATAAACAATTTTGCCCTTAAATACAAAAGAGGAACTTTAGATGCAATAATCAATTTTTTTAAAGATAAAATTGTCTATTTAATACAAAAGGGATGGATTAGCAAAAAAGAAAGTTAATTTAGCAACACCCTTTTATTAGTTGTCAAAAAAGGTGAAGTCTGCAAGCTAAAGAAAGAGATGAGACAATCCAACAACCAAAAGAATAACAAAGACATCAATTGAGAGAATAAACACAAATTAGGCACTAGTGTTTAAGTGTTACAGATGAATAATACCCAAAGACCAGACCTCCATGCAAATCAACAACCAAACAAGAAATCATCTCTTCTTTTAGTTGCAGCAAAAGAACAATGGTTTATACACAAACAAGAGAGAGGGTACATATGCGATTCGAGGCCAAGAATGTGTATTTAAAAAGAACTATAGGTTAAAAAAAATCTTCCTCAGATCGTCTCACTCATGGGACTTGTGTCTTTCTGAATGTACCTTTCTACCCTTATCTCTTGATTTGCTCTTAGATTTGTACTTACTGCTGTGATATTTGTCTGGTTTACCCTTCTTTGATACTTTCATCACATCTTCATCATCTGAAGACTCCGAGGACTTCAACCAAAGAGGCTTCTTGGGGCCAATCATGGGACGGTCTCTAAACTCAGAGCCACCCAATGGCTTTGATTCGTGGTCTGAACAAGTGGCAGGGTAAGGACCGGTTTCATCCATCCGAGCCCCAACTGCTCCCCTTCCTCTCTTAGGCCTGCACAACATGTTTTGTTGGTTCAGCAGAAATTGAGGCTCAGTGATTTTAATTTCATAGACGGTAAATCTCGAGTCAGATTTTGAGGAAAAAAATCCTCTTAACTTTCCAGGGAGACTGAGTATTTCCTAGTTCCTGCCGTACCAAAATGCTCTTAAAGTGAACGACACTCATACCTAGGAATTAGGAAGCTAATGACACATTACCAGAAGACCCATCTCAATGTTTTTGAGGGCCCATGGCGAACTAATGAAAAGAGAACCTCAAAGGTAATCTCACTGACATTGTTTAAAATACGCCCCCAATGGGATCAAAACCCAAATTCTAAAACGGTAGACTGGCATGGACGGATGAACCCCAACATGTTCATTTAAAATTTTAAACTAATTGAAATAAATTATATAGAGGGAGCAATGTGATACTTACATATCTCATGACAATGCAAGCTAAAATATGTTATGTGATATGAAAAATCATGAATTACATGCGCTGTTTTGCAAGCTCTTCAAGATTCAGAAGTTTTCGTTCGACAAGCAATGAAAAAAAGCTACTCCGTATTAAATTAGGGGAAAAAGCAGATGCAAAAGTAAATCAAGTACAGATTGCAGGTCGCCTTAATGGACAAGACCATAGTTATGTATGGCGAGTGGCGAGTGGTGGGCGAGCAGTTGTTTTTTGTGGCGAGTGGCGGGCGGTCAAATGGCGAACCAAAAAAAGCGAACATATACATACATACACACACACACACACATAATGCATGGCATATCAAAAAGTATTAAACAATATATAATTGTGAAAGAAAAACAAAAACATCTTGCTGGTACAAGAAAACAAACGTTATAAAGTTATTAGGCATAAAACATTAGAAAATATAGTAGTGATCTAGCAAACTTAATCATTTCTATTTCTTGTGGAGCCGGTGGAGGAAGTGCCTTCCATTGGGGTTTAGGAGAAAGCTGTTATACAATAATATACGGAGTATCTATTAAATGAAAATACAGGATAAATAATATTAATATTTTAAAAGAAAAAAATCAATAACTATTAATGGTAACTATTAGACTAAAAGAATAAAATTTATAAACTGAAAAAATAATAAAAGAAACAGTATTTTTCTAAATTGAAAGAATAATGCACAAATTAAATATATAATGGTAACTATTAGACTAAAAGAATAATATTTATAAACTAAAACAAAGAACAATAGACCTGATTAGCTGAAGCTCCTGCGAGGTGCGAGTCTGCGAGGCTGAAGAACTGGGAGGTTGACTTCCGATTTAGGAGCAGGAGCAGAATGGCAGCGTCGACTTCAGACTTTCAGAGAGGGAGGAGAATCGATTTTGGCAGGGAGTAGATCGGCGATGAAAGACGGAAGATTGGAAGGGGATGGCATCGATCGATTAAGGTAATAGTAAACCTAGTAATGGATCCAATTATTTAATTTCAAACGGGCTTAAGCCCAATTTAACAATTTAATTAACGCCAGATCTGACTGGCGACTTTAGCGCTCGCCAGACGCCATAGGCAACCGCAAGAATGGCGACCGCCTTTTCTCGCCTCAAGAAGAATGCCATGCACGACCCAATTCAGGCGTTTCAGCCTCGCCACAGCGCCATAAGCGCCACAGGCGAGCATGGAGAACGCCATTCATAACTATGGACAAGACATTGCATGTGTACAATGGATTAGAGAAGGAAGAGTTCCTCGACAAACTATTCACACTACTTTTGATCATTGGATAATGAGTGGGTTAATATACACTGAACCTGCTAATGCCTAATGCAATATATTGGGACAACATACTTTGGGTCCCCATAAATCTTGGGAAGGAAGCACAAGTTGTCGACCTATCTAAGACGATCCTAACTACTAGATCTGCACATCACGAAGAAATAGAGAACAGGTGCAAGGAACAACCAAGGAAAGAATTTACAGTAGATAATAGGTGGACTGACCTTGAATGCAAAAATTCATGAACTTCATCAACCCGCAAGCCTTCATCCCTTGAATAGTAATCTTTAGTGTCTCTACTCTTTGACGAGCATGAAGCAATTGAAATAGAGCCACAATCACTGTGCCTCTTATCATTAATCCTAGACGTTGTGACGCCCCTTAGGCTCCTTGGACTGCTATTCTCATTTCCCAATCTACGTTCCTTCCTATCATCAACCCCCAACTCTTTCTGCCTCAACCGCCACATCTCGTTTACTTCAACAGCTCGATTAGCTGTAATAAGAAAATAAATTTAATTAAATAAACAAGAAATCAAAGAAACAATTTCTCTTCCGACCAAAACATGAGTCCTATTTGAATGCTTCTATGTGTTCTAAAAAGGAGTCCTCCTTGGACAAGAGGATCTAATTTTCATTATATTTCAGTGTTTTAGAGGGGAAAAATGTCTCAAGCAAGTTAAGTATGTTCTACTCCTCCGTGTTTAGTTAAATGAACATTAAGATGAAAAATATGCCTAGAATTAATTGTTTTCAATAGTTTTACTTTGCCGATATCAAAAGCTTGAACCTTTCTAAAACACGATTCTTTTTTGAGATTCAGGTAGTTTAAAATAACTTACCAGCCACAATGGCAAGGAGATGATTTCACACCATAGCATTTTACACTTTAGACAATAGATGGTTCATCTAACTTTAAAAAAGTCTCACAATATAGAAGAACCAAACACTTCTACATCCCCAATGTTTCAATCATAACCAACCCAAAAGAGTTTATTCTAAGCCATAGCACGTCACATTTTATAGCTCAGCACTTGACACTTCATGAGAGTAATACAGAGCATCAATATGGCTCAAAGTCACCATTGAACTCAATCACCACATAAATTGAAGCACAATCGTTTAATATTTTGCTGGACGAGTGAACACAAAGAAATTTGGAAATAAAAGTCTATTAATATTTAGGAATCTTTTGACTTCACAAGAACAGAGATTATTAATCAGGGAAGACAGGTAAGGGTATTTATCATGTAACAGTTTGCAAAACCAAGAAGATGTTTTTACCTTGTTGTATGCCAAGCACAGTTGCCTTCAGAAATCTTGAATTAGGCCGTCCCCTAACTGTTGGTTTACAAAGATAAGCAAGGGCACCCTCTTCATCAGCTTTCCGCCTTAATTCCGCAGCTTCTCTCAAGAGAATTGCAGCAATTCTGTTTTCGGTTGCCAAATCCATGGGCAATCTGCTCTATCCGGGAGCAAGAATGGACAAGAAGTATCCAACAAGACAGAAATAGCCAGCCAAGGCAGCAAACAAAGAAACTCAGCCAAAGAAGCTGAATTTCTCAATTATGTTCTCTCAATCTGTGTGGGGTCCCAACTCAAAGAAATATCATCAAAACATAAACCACGGAACAAAACAGCACACCTGCGAACAAGTGAAATAACCAATATAAATAACTTCAGAATTGCACACAAAATCATAACAAGTGAAACTACAGAAAAAGATGAAAACTTTTCCTTGATGAAATACTAAACGCTTGATTCAGTAGTGGAAAAAGCACTTGACTCTATTCTTGCCCTATCTTTAAACGACTGGATTAGCAAAATCTCACGAAATCTTCTAAAGAAAAAAAAAACAAAAAGATAATGCCAGAACTCGTGAAACCTTCGTGTTAAAGAGTACCTAGTTGTGAAATTCTATCCAAATTTATCAATTCTGGAAGAAACGCAATGAAGAAATGAACAATCAGAAAACCCTAAATTGATCAATCGTAGTCAGATGACGAATCACTTTACCCCCAACTCAGGGTATCATCAAAATCATGAGTAAAGGGGTGTTTCGCGCACATTCTCGGAGGAAATAGGGCTAATAGTAGACCTGAATACCGCGAATCCAAACCCTGAATTTCGACCATATAGATCGAAGAATTCATCTGGATGGTCGAAACAAGACTTGATTTTTGTTTCAGAATATGAGATAAGGGATTGAGCCGAAGCAGAGAAGAACGAAGCCGGGGCGTGGAGGGAAGAAGATAAATACGTACCTGGTGGAAATGGAAGAATCGTCAAGGGAAAAGGATGAACTTGGGAGCAGCCAGAGCCGATGGTTTTGAAGTCCAATTGGAAACGATAGAACTCTTTGTCCACGCCAATTCGCCAAACAAAACTTCACACTATTTTTTCAAACAAAACCTAAAAAATTGTGAAATTTCTTTTTTTCTTGTTCAAAAAAATGTAAACTTAAATTTTAATGTACTCCTTCCATCTCTAAAAAAATTGACATTTTTTATTAGGAAATTTACTTAAATAGCACTAAAACATAATGATTTTCACTAAATAACATCACATGTGTTTTTCTTCCCAATGTAGCACTTTTAGTCATTATGCATTAGTCATTATTCAAGTAAATATTTGTCATCACTGGACACTATGAACATTATTAGGTGTTATTTAGGGAAAAAAAATAATTTAAGTGCTATTTAGAGAAATGACTTAAATTTTACTGCTATTTAGTGCAAATATTTCTTTTTATTATTCTAACGTCACAAAAAAAGTTATGGAGTATTTATTTATATACTTTCATGGATTATTTGATAAGAATAAAGAATAATTGTCATGTCTTGTTTTATAAAAATGATGATTTAATTTTTAAATATTAATTTAAATTTTTTTTCATAGACTAATTTTCAAATAAAATAAGTTTAGAAAATTAAAATTTAACGAAATACTTTATTTTGCATAATGTGTCAATCTTTTAAGAATAGAGAGTATATCTTTTAAAAAATCTCATATTATGTTTATTGCCATGTTATATTTTCCTAATCTACTAAAGAATCTCTTGTATAGACATTGATGAAACCTTTACTCTTCAAAAATATCAATTATTATCAAATTGTATCATGATATTGGTTATATATTCTCTTCATCGTCTTTCATCACTATCGTTGCCGTCTCTCACGCTCGACCATACTATGCCACCACCGACCACCTTGCCACTCTCCCATCCAGAATAATATTATTTTACCGCGCAATCTTCACAAATCTTGTCTCTAACAAACTGACAAGTGCAAATAATTTCTCTTGGTCTCTGAATGATCGTATTGCGCATAAAACAAATCTCTTGCTTAGATGGATCAATGGCTCAAAAGAAGCACCACAAAAAAATGATCATGAAAGGAGCTACAACCTCTAGCATGTGTTTCGTGGTGTGCGATTGATATCCACAATTTATATTTATTAACCGTGTAAAGGTACAAAAACTATGACTGAATACCTAGACGATAGAGATCTCAAGACCAATGATCGGCCTTGTCTAGGTTATGACAGTAGACCATGGCCCATAGGCATGTCTTAAAAGCCAGCTGCTTAAGAACTGATTAACTTATACGACTTGCCCATGTTCTATTATTTAATCATTAAGTTGGTATGAAAATCATATACTTATACTCTTATTTATTAATGCTCCTCCCCAACTTGTGGGAAGAGGACATACTTTTATTTGCACATACATATTTCAAATATAAGATGTGTGTTCTCTTTATACAAATTTCTCTATTTACATTTCAAATATTGAAGTTAGATTGAGTTTATCACTTAAATTTTCAACTCTAGCTCAAGTAGTTAAGGGTCATTCACTTAAAAGAATATGGTGTATTGTTTGAAAGCCATTTTTTTTTTGTGTTTGGTTGTTCTGAAGAATAAGAAATAACAAAAAATAATTTCTAAAGTCAAGGAAAAATGAGCATTGTTTGGGAGAAAAATGATTTCTACTCCTTTTTTTTAAGAAATATTTTCTAGCGTTTTCTTACTTCGTAGTTTGGAACGCATCAAGTTCTTTTAATGTAAACTCAAAAAGATTTGTTATGCTATAAAAAAATTACTCATGTGTGGTTTTTTTAATTAAAAAAATTACTCCTATTTTAATTCTATATGTCTCTATTTTATTTTCTTATTTGCTCGTCATACATAATTTAAAGAAGATAAACCTCTATGGTTAATAGAGTGAAGAGAGGGAACATGAACAAATCAATTACTTACGTTTTTTCAATTGGAATAAAATAGGAATAAATTTTTCAAATTTTCAATCAAACACTAAAAATTGAATTTTTTTTCTAGAGATTACTTTCTAACTCCATTAATTTTTCAAGTGAAATTATTTTCCATCTCTAAAAAAAAGTGAATTTTGATGTGTGTTTTTTTGGAAATTCCACATCTACCCCAAAGCTGGATCTGTTTTTAAGTTCCCAACGGCTACTTGCAGACAGCCATTTGAAAAGCAACCTCTGTTTCTGGAAAGAATCACCGGACAACAATACCACTCCTCTCTCTCTCTCTCCCTTTCTCTCTCTAACGCTCTCTGTAACCGTCTGGAGACGCTCCACACAGCAGCAGGAATGGTAAAAGACTTCGGAATTGGGCCTCTTTCACTGCCGGAATCTGTCTGTAGCGACGGCGGCGGCGGCGGCCGGAGCAGTAATGACGCCGGAGAAGATGAAGTGTTCTATGAAATGATCGAGGCTCCCAAGTTTGTCGATTTCACCTCTCCTGATCACTACTGCCCGGACGACCGTTACTGGTTCTGCCTCCGTGTCGGTATACACCGTCTTCCTCTCTCCCTCTCTCTGAAAAAATTCCTCCTTTCCTATGGATCTGATATAATTTGTTCATTTTTAAGTTTACGAATATAGAGAAAAATGTTGAAACCAGTAAAAAAGAGAAACATTTTGGTTTAGAGCATAGAATATAGGTTTTCTCAAATTTGAAGTGAAAAAAAAACAAAACAAATTTGAGTTTTTTTTAATTATCCACTTCATTATTGTTCAGGATGTGAACAAAAACATGAACAAGAGATGGACTCTGAGAAAATCTACAAGGATTTCGTTCTTCGGGTGGGTCCGAATTCGTTGTCTATATATATTTCTTTCTTTCTAGCTGTGATTGTCAAGAAGAAATGGCAGTATTTATAATATGATGATTCTTATGTATATATGACTACAGGTAATGGCAGCCAGGAGTCCCAATGTAAGGCTTCAAAAGGCACTATGCAGGAATGCCTCAAGGTACTCAAATGTTAGGCCAAGAAAATAGAGAGGAAAATTGGAAGTAGAAGTGGGTGAAAACAAAAAATGGGAAGAAAATGTGGATTTTTGCTCATTCTATTAAATATTTTCCAATCTTGCATAAAGACTTGAAAAATGTAAAAAAGAATGATTTTTTACCCCCATGGCTCTTCTTTTGATAATTGACACTAGATCCCATCATGAAGTGATTATAACACTGGGATCCAATGTCATAACACAGCCTCAAGAAGTTTGAGTAAATTCTTGTCCATTAACATAGAACTATTCCTATGTTACCTTGACAGAAACATGAAGTGCCCCATGTCAGTTCCTTCAAAATTCTCAAAGCCCAGGTTACCAAGATTATCAGTTCCTCCATCCATCTCTAGGAAATTGGGATTTGAGAAGAAAGAAGAGGTTAATAACCCTTCTTCTCAAAATCCAATCTCCACTCCAAAGGTTAAAACAAAGCAAGTTGCAGCCAAATACCTTACAACCCCAAGGAGCAAAGAGTGTCTCCCGGATGGAAGTTTGTTTCGAAGCGTTCAAAACCCCAAAAGTGCCACTGGTTCATCATCAAAGAATCATCGGATGGCGGGAAAGAAGGCTTTGGCATTCCACTCTCCAAAGAAAGCCATCAGCTTGAAGAAATCTGTCGAGTTGCGAACTCCTCTTATGAAGCTGTGTGAAGGGATGAAAAAGCTTGCAATTACATCTCAAAAGAAGTGTTTATTATCGAATGATCGCGGTCAAGGAAAGTCAATGCCATCAGATAGTGCAAAGAAAACCAAGAGTTCCAAGAAGGATAAGAGTGTTGCTAAGGCTTCTTCAATGTCTCAACCTCATGATTCCAAAAGAGTACGAAATTTCAAGGGCTTGGTGGGGCCCAGCAGCAACAAGATTAATGCAGAAATCCCATCAGATGTTCAAAGAGAGAATGTGAATGTGTTTAATTTGGAGCAGACAGACTCGAAAACAATTGAAAATTCAGAGAACTTAGTAAACCTTGAGAAGCACACTACAGAAGCCCAACTATCTGAAGTTCAATATCATGAAACAGAATCAGACAACAAAGAAAATGATGCATCTGCTGATGAAAACAGGTATATAAAATTTTCTTTATTGTCATCACCGATAATAATGTACGAACTCGGTCCATAAAGATATACAAATTCTAAATTTTAATAAGGATAACTATTGAAGATCATCAATTCTGTCTATAATTATAATTCATTTATTTAGCTAAATTTTAAAAAATTTGAGCTGATTTTGTTTTATCTTAATATATCATACAGAGCACTATTAAATAATGACAACATCCAGGCAAAAGTTCTTGGTGAACAGATAAAGATCATACAGAAGGTACTTACTTTAACTCTTAAAATTTCTTTTTTGTGGTGATAATTAAGGTTCACTGATATGTATATTATCCGTGATTGTCAACCAGATTGCCCAACCAGTAGACAAGTACCATAAAGCTTTCACGAACACTGGTAGTGCTCCTTCTCCAGGGCTGAAATTCAAGAAACCAAAGCCTACAAACCCCAAGCCTTTCAGGCTAAGAACTGATGTAAGAAATGCTACACTTTGGCTTCTGATTCGGTGTGTTAGAATGTCAATATGTTTATTCATTTTTTGATAAATTAACATTTTTGTTATATCAGGAAAGAAGCATTCTCAAGGAATCTAACTTTGAGAGGAAAGGCCATCATCCAGAACACGTCCCCAGTGGAGATTTGCCCAGAAAAAGTGGAGCAGATAGTCGGGTAAACACCGTGTTCAATATAGTCTACTTTGAAAACCTTTATTTTGGATTCCAAACATACCATGAAGACAAACTTTCATTGGGGTCTAGGAGTTAAGATGTGCGCAGTCTTACTCCGTTGCATTTACTACGCAAAACTTCCTTGAAAGTACGAACGAAGAAAGTTTTAAGCGTCATTTTGATTTATTCCATTATTTATCCGAAGCTAGAACTTTGTCAATTACGACTCTTTTAGCTTCATTGAGCATCATCTAAACTTTGGCCTAAATTTGTCTACGTACTCTAAATGTGCATTTGAATGTTTTATAACATGCAATTGATGATTATATCAGGACATTGCGGATACACCAAAACAACGAAATAATGGCAACAGTGCTGGCGGTGGTAACTGCAAAGGCAATGCCAAAGAGCCTGCAGACTTGAATGCCAAATTGATTGTAAGAGATTCAATTTTTTTGGATGTGTAATCCACCTGTTTGAATTCTTCTAAGTTGCCACATTTGACATTTTGCAGAAAGGGAACAGAACAGCAGAGATAGCTAACATGTCAAGAGGCAAAGTAGGATCAAAGATTATCAATGTGACACCAAAAACAGCTGTTAATGCTTCTGTCTCGAGGAAGGTTGAACAGCCCGTGGAGAAGAAACAAGCCATTTCTCAAAGGTTAGAACATACTTGTCTTTTCATAGATTGATCATAAATATATTACCCCAGTATAAATCAACTAAGCTGTGACTAAAACTTTGCAGGCTTTCTTCTTCTTCCAAGAACTCAATGGCCTCGCACGTGATTCCTGGTCGAAAACTTGCAACAATCGATGAAAGTTCATCTAAAGTTGCAAAAACAACCAAGACAAGAGAGGGGAACGAAAATGGTGCTTTCGCCACTCACCAAGAAACACCTTTTCCATTTTTAAGGTCAAATTCGCGGGGAAGAAAACAAGTGACCATCCCCAAGGAGCCACACTTCCATACCACACATGTCCCGAGAAGTTGTGCCAGAAAGTTAACATGACATATTCATTTCACGTGCCATCCCGTGTTTCGTTCAATTGTTTATTGAAGAGCCATGCTACATTGTCCAGAAAGAAAGCCAGAATGATGTCCCCATAACGCAAAAGACTAATTAACACTTAAGTCATGTCATTTAAACGACAAATTTGATTTCCCACATTATTTTGGACAAGTTCTGGTTCAAAATTTATGGACATGTAGGCATTTTCCTCCTTAAAGGTAGTATCTTGATTGTTCGTGTGGCAAGTTTTCTTGTAAGCTGTAGGCAATAGTCATATTTACACTTTTTTGTAATCAGGTTGTGTACACACTCGTGGTTTGTCATATAATAAAAAGGAATGAACAACTCTATCTTCCACATTGCCTAGCCCCATTGCATCCTCCTCGGATGTTATGCTCTTTTTCCGCGAAAAAAATTGGAGCAAATCAATTGCTTCACTGTGTGCAAATGACATTACATGGTATTCTGGTTACCGTTGATGATAGATTGGGCTTGGTTGCCAAGGCTAATCACTGACACATTCGGTAACTTGTTCACTCTTGAGTATATTTTTTGATCTTTTGAGACCTAGTGTTTTTGTTCCCCTGCATAGCTAAAGAGATAGGTAAATGAGCTAAAAAGTACAAGTATATAGAGTACATAGCTAGGACCTAAAATTGGAAAACCAAATTGCCATTAGATGTGTTCACTAAAACATTCTTCGTACTCACTATTAGACGACTAAAAGTACCAAAAACAAATTAAAACATCACAAACTGAATAATAAAAAATGATACTAAAGGAATAGGAGATAGCTTTCCAAATAAGTGCTTGCTTAAAAAAACTCTCATTCGATTTGTCAATATTTACGACTTAAAATAGCTTATAAACTCTCCAATATAATGTATACCACATAGGCAATTTTCACGAACAATCTTGCCTTAATGTCAAGTGATCTCCGACTAGGTGCTTAACCATAGTCTACGCCTAGCGTGCACTTCATTTTTTACAACATTGTCTTTTTGCAAAACAAAATGTAAGGTCTGAGAAGAGTGTATGTACACACATCTTATCCCGACTAAGAAGTAGAAAGACTGTTTCCAAGAGACCTTAAACTCAAACGTAAGAACAAATAAAGAAAAAGGCTGATGATTTAATGATCTAAAAGTCTGATCATTCATTTAAAACGTGATGCATCTGACATTCTTCTCCAACAAGACACAGTTACATTGTATACGAAGTACATAGTATATGATTATCATTCCAAAAGAAACAAGTGTTTGACTGTTTGTGCCGGAGAGAAAACAAAAAGAATAATAAAAAAGAATTAATTTACATATACAATATGCGGACAAGATTGATTCTGTACCGACCTGAGGAGTTCATAATGTGAATGGACTTGGAGGTAGATGGACAATGGGAGTGGTAGACATGGTCCTATTGCCAGAAAGCACATTTGGTGCCACAGTGTTCTCTATACTTACAGGATGAACCTGGACCACTCTCTCAGGCACAACCTTGTCTCCATCTACTTTCGCCAGTACCTCAAAATGCATCCTCACGGTTTCAGGCTTCGTCATCCACTCTGGGAGACTCTCGGCACCAAACTTGTCCCCTGCCTCCAACTTCTTTTCCAACCCAAAACCCATCTTCACAAACGTTTGGGCCGATATGTCAGCCTTCAGCAGCTTGAAGGAACCCTTTGTGCTTGCCTTGGGACCCAGCAGGGAAGACAGCAAAGACTCAAAACCAATCAAGTTGTGGTTTGAGCCATTGATAGAAACCAATGGCCACATTGTAGTGAATTGGAAAGGTGTTAAGAGGGTAGTTGTCTCTCCAAGATCGACAGTGGAGATCGCTTTCATTTTAGGTACGGACGATAGCTCCACAAGGCCGGGTGCTAAGCGCTTAAGCTTAAGTTTGTTTGATGAAGATGATGGTGATGACGGAGTGGGTGATGTGAGAGAGGTTGGGCCCACGATGCGAAGGGATAGGACGGGACCACCTTTGGTGCGGATGGCTTGGCGTAGATGTTCTGCTAGAGTTAACAGACCAGAGGCAAAACCGTTATGGGATGTGTTAAATGGAAGAGGGAACTCGACTGGATGGCGTAGACTAACAGATCTGGCACCCTTAACGGTGACCATAGCACCGTCTGCTAACACCACTTTTTTTACTGTACCAGCCTCCACATCATGCTGCATATATTATTGAACCAATCAGTAACATGTCGTAATATAGAGAGTCAATTTCAAGTTGGTCTTTCAACTATACAAAATTTCTCAATTTGGCCATCCACTTCCTTTTAGACTCAATTTTGTGTTTGAGAATGCAATTTAGACTCAACTTTGTTCTCATGCATATTTTGCCATTCTTTACAAAAAATATTTTTGCAGGCCAGCGGCTACTAAGAATCAATATATAAACCACCTAGGTTGGGAAACTGAAGAAAGATGGGCACAACTAGAACAAAAATAGCTGAATCTATGGAGTGAGAAATTGTGTGCAAATTGTATATTTTCGGATCAAAAGATAATCTTCAACTTTTTGCCAACAACCAGGTGACTACTTTTCCTCTATCCATTCTCTGATGCAAGACTGTTTCTTGACAGTCTTTTTTGTCCATTTAGTGGAAGAAAATCAGTTGTAAACTGAACGAGAAGTGCTCAGGAGCACAAAATGGAAACAAATCCATAGTCGTGCATCCAAGGCAGGAAAACAAAAGACCAGGACTAACAGTGAGAATGACCTAAAAATCATTCAGCCAAAGTGAAAATATTTCAAGCATGCAGTTATGTATATTAAGTGCAAGAGCAGTTGCACTGTTTTTGGAAGTTTGGATCAAGGAATAAGGAAGAGAAAGAAAAGAAACTCTTTTTCCTCAGCAAAATGGAAGGAATTTTATTTTCTTTACTCTTAGTTCATTTTGTCTTCTCATTTTCTTTTCTTTTTCCTTGAAAAGAAAAATAGTTTTCCGTATCATTATCCCTCTCAAATTCTTTGAACCATAGTGTTAAAGTCAGATGTAAAAAAACAAGCAACTAGGCATTGCATAGGAACAAATAGAAGTTCAACTTACAGGAAGAGAAAGCCTCATGTTCTTGCCATCCTGGATCCAAAGTTCCATTGGGCCTGCCAGAGTGAATGGAGCTAACACAGGCATCTCACTCTCTAATTTGTTCTTCTCCACCAGCCCCTTTTCCTCTGCCGGATCCTGTACCCGGAAAATAGGAAGATCCACATACTCCCATCTATTCACATCCTCCAGAAGTTTCAAGGGAAGAACTTTATCATCAATCTCAACATCAAATTCATACGCCACCGACCGCCCGACCAAGACATCTCTCCAGTCAAATCCAGATATCTTGAAATCCTCTTCCTTGAATCCTAACCCTTTCGCAATCGATTCCTTCAAATCCTATTTCAAACACAAAATCTATTTGTTCAATGCCAACACTACAATCTTACTTCTATATAAGCATCATCCTGAATTACAAAATTTCCATACAGAAAAACAAATTTACACCCAAACTCCATCTTTCTTTTAATCCCGACCACACCATTTCAAGGTTCACGGAAAATTGAGCTATGCAAAGGGAGCGTTAATTAAAAATTCTAAACAAAAAATACACAACATGATAGCAAACTTCAAACTTGGCTGAAAGATAAACAAAACTTGGATGCTTTGGTCTCCATGAAACCATATATAGATCAAAGAGAAACGAGAAAAAGAAAAAAAAACAAGCTTACATATATGAGTTTGGGGTAAGGAGGGTTAGAACCCGGGGAGGCGATTAGAGCTTCCGATGCCGGAAAAGGAAGCGAGATCAGAAGGAAACAAATCGCCGCGAGGCTCTCCGGTCGAATCATCCGGTAGGCCATCAAGCCGGAAGCGGAACCGAGAAATGGAAGGATATCGAAAAGCAAAGGACAGCAAAATCTTCGTTGAATTTGCAGCGGAATTGGAGAAGAAAATATAGGGTTGGGATGAACCTGGGCGTATATGGTGGAGCCGCGAAGGGGGTGCTGACGTGGCCGACGCTCGACCAATGGGAGGCGAGGGAGGGATGCGAGTGACGTGGCCAATGAGAGCGCGGATTATGCGGGATGCCAATTTGGTGGGTTCCAAACGACGGCGTATTGTGGATACAAAAAATCAAGAAAAAAGGTACGAAAAAAAAGAGATATGGCGTCGCCCGGGTTTGAACCGGAGACCTTCAGTGTGTTAGACTGACGTGATAACCAACTACACCACGACACCTTTTTGTTCAATAAATATGCGTTTACAAATTTAAAACATTAACAAATCCTTTTTCCCAAAGACCCAAAAAATACATTTTTTTGTCTAAACTAAGTTCTTGTTTCCTTAAAAAAGTTTATCTTTTGTAAATTCGTTCTGGATCTCAATATTCAAAAAATATATATTTGTAAATCAATCATGAATTTCTTGCTATAAGTAACAGAGAGTAGTATCTGCATGATACTCCCTGCGTCCACAAAAAACTTCCTGTTGCGCGTTACGATGTTTGACTGAAGTTATTTTCAAATCATTTTATATAAAGAATGGTAAAAAAATTAAAAATAAAAATTATATATTAAAAATTACTCCCTCCGTCCGGGAATGATAGTCCCATTGTACGTTTTTCTCTGTCCGGGAATGATGTTCCCATTGTACGCTTTTTCCTCTATTCTCCCTAAAATACTTCTCTCATTTAATATCCTCACATTCACTCCTCCTATCTACCCAACCCGCCCACCTCCCCAATTAAACTCTCTCGCCCCTCTTTAGATCTAATCTACTCTCTCTCTCTGTCGGTTCTTCTTCTCTCCCAAACCCTAGATTACAATCGTTCCTCTCCCAGATCTATACATCTCCGCCTGAATTCATGGAATCTGAATACTTTCTTTACGATTCCATCATCCCTGAGACAGAATTTCAGGACATTGGAGTTGAGGACGATGTGATTCACCTATCTTCCACCTCTGACGCGAAGAAGGAGGACGAGGTCATCGTCATCCACAGCGATGACGATGATGCCGATGTTGCCCCGGTCAGAGATAAGAACG